AATTCAAAGCCCATCTGTCTCATCTGCAATGCGAGCATGGCTTTATCGAAGAAGGGTCATTTAGGAGCGGCATTTCAAAACAGTGCACAAACGATACGAGACGGAATTCCCTCCTAATTCTGCCCTACGCTCCCAAAAGGGGAGGGGCCTGAAAGGACAGCTAAATGCACAGCAGTCCATTTTCACCAGGCCCAACAACAAGAGCAAGGCTGCTACCATAGCATCTTAACGTGTCAGTCACGTTCTCGTTCTTGCGAAACACATGAAGTCTTTCAAAGACGGCGAAGTTGTGAAATAAGCATTCCTGGAGGCTGCCGACGCGCTTTTTGGGACAGTAAAAATAACAGAAGCATTTCAACAGGTTATTAATCAGCTGTAAGTTTTAGTTTGTTTGAACTTATTCATTATAATTATTGTACAAAATGGTATAAGAATGCAAACTTAAATTGATTATAGTCTATTATCAATTCAGGTTAAGAAACTAGTGTTGCTTGCATCCTATTTTAAAGGCATTTATTTTTATAATCTACTAAAATGCTACAAAAAAGGGTTTGATTCTATTAATTTGGTCTTTTTTATTGCACTGTTGCAGCAGATTCCTGTGTAGCTTCAGATCTGAGTTGTCTTATTAGTAAGCCTAATTTATACTTTTGTAGCAACACTATTTTTATATAATGGCAAAGAAAGGGTTCAGAGTCTTTTCCTTTTTTCCTGTGTCATATGTGGCAGCACTGTTCAATGTTTCTTGAAAACATTACCCACTGTTGTATGTGACGTGTGAATAAACTCCAACTCTGTATCAACAACACTGTTGTGTAACTTCAGTTAAATACTTGTATGTGTGTAAGATTAGAAAGAGGTAGATAAAGGATCTGCAGTATTTTATGGAGTATTAATCGTACAAAGGTCAGTTTTATACAAGTAGAAGTGTGTATTTACCTGGTAGGAGGCTGTCAGTAATGGCTACGCCTCTCTATTTGGACTGGTAGATCTCGGCAGACTGGCAACTTTAAAAGTAGCTCTCGGGTCAAAAAAGGTTGGGCACCCCTGGTGTAAACAGTGATATCACACACTGCCCAGAATATACAGTAGTTTGACTTCTTAGAATTAACATTATGTCTTTGTGGCCCAACATATTTTTAAAGATTTTGTATCCATGCAAGCAACAACATTGCAGTTGTGTTGGTGTTAAAGTGCTAAAGACATTAGGGATAAAACGTAGAACTACGGTTTAAAAAACTTGACATAAGAGTAAAGCTGTATTCACATGTTACACAATGTTCTCTTTGCTCGCAAGGTTGGGCGCAGGGCCTTGTGATGAAAATAGCTACAAAAGTTTCCTTTCTTTGATTATCTCCCCTGCTAGCCTGCCACTACATACAGCTATTATCTGAATTTGCTCAGCAGAAACCTAGGTATCTTTTGCCTTGTTCGACGACACAGCTCTTTCCATACAGTAAATACTCAACAGCAAGGTCAGCACAGAGCCTTTTTGCAACTTGTCATGTGAATGCAGCTTAAGGTTTCCAGATAAGATAGGTCCAGATTACATTACATTGCATTTAGCTGACGCTTTTATCCAAAGCGACTTACAATAAGTACATTTGACCAGGAAGACACAACCTTGAAGAAAACAGAATCATATAAGTACATCAGGTTTCATAGAGCCAAACATTTCAAGTGCTACTCAACTGGCTTAGATAAGCCAGTCCTTTATTAGTATATAAGTGCTTTGTTAATAGTTATATCGCTCGAAGTGGAGTCGAAAGAGATGAGTTTTCAGTCTGCGCCGGAAGATGTGCAAGCTATCTGCTGTCCTGATGTCAATGGGGAGCTCATTCCACCATCTTGGAGCCAGGATAGCAAACCCACGTGTTTTTGCTGATGGGAACTTGGGTCCCCCTCGCAGTGCAGGCGCAGCGAGTCGTTTGGCTGATGCAGAGCGTAGTGCACGTGCTGGGGTGTACGGTTTAACCATGTCCTGGATGTACGAAGGGCCAGATCCATTCGCAGCATGGTACGCAAGTACCAGTGTCTTGAAGTGGATTCTAGCAGTTACCGGAAGCCAGTGAAGGGAGCGGAGGAGCGGAGTGGTGTGGGAAAATTTAGGAAGGTTGAAGACCAGACGAGCCGCTGCATTCTGGATGAGCTGCAGAGGTCGGATGGCACATGCAGGTAGACCAGCCAGGAGGGAGTTGCAGTAGTCTAGGCGTGAGATGACGAGAGCCTGGACCAGAACCTGCGTCGCTTTCTGTGTCAGCTGGGGACGTATCTTCCTGATAAGTGATCTGGGCTGAGCCTGCTCCCAGAGTTTCATAAAATGCTATTTTAATGAAAGGAAGATGCTCTCAAACTTTGCCCGAATTAGCTTGTCACTTCTCAATCTAAGAGCCGTATAGTGAGGAGGATGATCTGCGTATGGAGATAAATTATTTACACTCGCGGGCAGCAACATTCAGGGTCTGCCAGCCGATCTGTTCCAATGAGCTTTTCTGTCTTGGTTATGATAGATATCATATTAAGTACGCAGCCAATAACAAGCCTCTCCATTTGTCCTGTGACATCACCAGTGTTTTCTGTATAGTTGAAATATATTATTATTATATATTATATTATTAATATATACACTCATGGTTCATTGGCTTTTACCCGTGACGACCACATACAACAGGATGCGACCACTCCTCATTTGAAAGAGTTGAAAATTATTTTATTTTACATACTGTATTGCAGTATCTGCTCATGGGAAGAGTAATGCTCAGCTCTAGTGTAAGATGCTGCAGTCATCGTTACTAACTCTGATGTGTTAAAAGTGGTCATAGTTGACGTTCATCTTGTCCATTACCTCTAAAGTCTTTGACAACATTTACTATTCTAAGCGCTCTGGAAAAAATGACTCTGTTTTACAGGAAGTGATAGGTTTCATGTTTCACTTTTTGTGAGTAGAAGCCCAGCATAGTGAGCAGGGGTAGTAACATCTATTCTTAACTCCCCTGAGGGCTTCACACATCTGCTTGGGGCCTCTCCTTTTACTGGATTCATGTTAAACACTCTGAGCGCAGTCACATGGTAGCAGCACGCTCTATTCTGTCTCACTGGCTGCACTGCAGTGCTATAAAAGTACTCTCCTCCTTTACATAACTTAAAGTAGTTATACCGCAGTCCAAAATACTCCACTTAAAGGTAAAGTCTTGAGTTTAAGTGTTACTAAGTTATCGTCCTGAATGCCTCTTGTACGAGTGTCTTATAATTACAGAATATTATATGTTTCTTATTTTTCAATAACAAATATGTAGGGTATAGTGTGCAGCGAGGCGGTCATTAATGAAAGAGAACACCAACAAGGTGATCAGGATCCTGCTGCTCATTATCCTGCTACTACATGGCTCCCTTCTAAATAAATCAACGACTTGACACATAATATTGATTTTTAAATAATTGTATTGCTTCTGCTAAGAAAACTGTCTGGAACTGTGGCAAAAGCAATGTAACAGCAGTGTTCGAGGTTTTGTTTAACTGTTCAAATCTGTTTACACTTTATTTTCCATTAACAAGTTATTAAAAGGCCCTTACTGTGTTCCCTTCCGTGTTTACTTCCCGTCTGTCTTCTTCTGCTGTCTCCTCAAAAGTTTACTTCCTGTCTGCCTTTTTCTGTTGGTTTCTCTGATGTCTCTGTCTTTTAACCTCTTTCCTTCTCTTGCGCTGTTTTTTATTTATATTCAAAAAGTATTCCATGATGAAGAAAACAAACGTTTTTTGCCCACAGCTGACCAGCTTAAATTGACCAGAAATGAACAACCTCTGAAATGTGTACTACCAAGTATAATTGTGGAAGTAGTGCATGTATGTCATATGAACACATCATGGTACTGTATATATCTTAAAAGTAACTAAAAGTGTCAAAGTAATGTTGAGGATTAAAAACGTACACTATATCCCTCTGAGATGTAGTTGAGTAGAAGTGGAGGTAAGTACCTCAAAATAACAATGAGTAAATGTACTTAGTTACATCCCAGCAGAGTAGAGGAGAATCACCTGCCAGAACAAACACAAAATTAGGTCTCCAACCTTGAAGCTCTGGAACTTTTATTTGTATTTCTGTTGAGAAATAACAGATCAATAAATAGTTAGTATTATACTCAGGTTCTATTTCTGACTCAGCTGTGTGGAAAAGCTGTTACATCCTGGAGTTGATGAAAGAACATTGTGCGTAATAAGATTTCAGTCACAGCGTGATTCGCACATCAAACAGCACGCGTGATTATAGTGAGTGTACTTCTTCACCGTGTTGCACTGTGTGGTGTCCGTGATTCATTCAAGTTTAAAAATGATTCCATCCCCTTCCTTTTTTTCTTATTTTCACAATTTATATTCATTCTCCTGTGATGTATTAGGTCTGTTGTATGTACAAAATAAATTAAAAAATACAGAGCTAAGGGAAGGGGTCTATAATCAGAGGAAAACCTTGGAAATGATTGGGTTAGTCGTACATTTTAATAAAGTGGTTGCAGGAATGTTAAGAAAACAATCTAATACCTGCCCCAATTAAAAAAGCTATGCATTTGTGAGAAAAGGCATCTTGAGAGACATTTTTATTTCTTTCAATTCTCACTACACCACAGACACTGCTGATAGAAAAGGGACGTGAGTGAGGAGGCATAACGGTATATAACATACATTTATCCTTCCATTGCGTTTTACTTGTGATGCGACAAAGTGGCAACCTCATCAAAATCAGCAAATTACAGGGATTGTAGCCTTTGCTGACCATTTACATGCACTATGTTTAAATAATAGAACAGTTGATCTCAAATAAAAGTTGGTATTTGAATAGGGGTCAGTACGGACAAATGTCATGTACAATAGAGTCAAAATAAAATGTTTTGACAGTAGCTGAACATCAGCTAGGAAGAAATGGTTAAGTACATCATAAATAATGATTGAATAAAAAACAGCATAATAATGGTGAACATAATTTATTCCACATGTTTGTGTTTCAGATGTTAACTGGTGTCCTGAAGCACACTCCACCTCCGGTCTCCGCTGCAGCCTGCTCCTCCGTCTCGGACCAAAAGAATAACGCACAAAACACAGTTCCCACAATCCCACGGGGTCACCTGGTTGTGGGCCCCAAAGACCAGCTCCGCCTCCTCACCCCCGTGGGCAGCACGGCGACGTCCAATCACTGCGCGGTGGCCGGGGCCCATGCCGCCAAACACTCGGGAGGGGCCCCGCGACCCCCTTCATCCCTGAGCGAGGAGGACGATGGAGGGGGAGGAGGCAGGGTGAAGAAGAAGCGAAAGAAAAAGGACAAGAGAGAACGGGAGAAAGAAAGAGGGGAGGCGGAGGAAAGGGAAAGCACCAAACCAAAGAAACGGAGGGAGGAGAGGTTGACCACGGTGGTCACTCTGAGGAAGAGCAAGGAGCCCAAGGAAGAAAGGAGAGAAAGGAGCGAAGGACAAGGGGAAGGAGGGGAGGACGGAGCTGAAGGCTTGTGGCGGGGGGGAGGACCACGGTGGTCCCAGTGCCTGTACCTGTTAAGGTGCCCGGCAAGAGAGGGAGGAAACCCAAGGTCAAAATCATACCTCCTGTACCACCAAGTCAAGGTAAGAACTGGCTGTGTGTGTGTGTGTGTGTGTGTGTGTGTGTGGTGTGTGTGTGTGTGTGTGTGTGTGTGTGTGTGTGTTGTGTGTGTGTGTGTGTGTGTGTGTGTGTGTGTGTGTGTGTGTGTGTGTGTGTGTGTGTGTGTGTGTGTGTGTGATCATTTTTGTTAGTCATTTATTTTTTATTTAAATTAACTTTTTTGTATTAAATACTTTTTTCTTATAATTGTTAGAGTGGATACCAAAAGTATTTACAAAACAAAATATTCACAACAAACATACCTAGACATGATGAAAGAAAAAAATACAAATGATATAAGATTTGATAATTATGACAGCAATTATTCCTTTCATAGAGAAGCAACACTCCATTTATAAAATAAAAAATACTTCATATGACAAAAATGATCATAATTATCACTCCTGTAATAAAGGGTATAGATCTGTTATGATCTCCTGGTTGTTAGAGGGTTTTTCACACCCTTTACCCCATTTGATTTATTTATAGTTATAGCTTGTGTAAAAAGCAGTTGAAATATAAGGATTAATACTACATTTGAACGACATAGTAGTAACAATATGAAATTATCTTTAACTGCACAAGATGAAATCAACAATGTGACTGTCACAATATTTGTTGTCGCCTTAAATTCCCTTAGCCTTAGCTGCATTTAAAACCTTTCCTTTGATCCAGACAGACTTTTGATGGAACCTCAGATGTGTCTCTCTATGGCTGCATCTCAGGTCGACTATTTTCATTTCCTCAGTCCTTGGTATCACCGGAAGTTGATTTGTCTGCGCCATCTTGAGTAGCGTCTCAATGGCCTTATTTTTGCCGGAGGACCGAGGAGCGATAATGGAGGAACCACCAGACCATCCTCAGATGAAATCCTCAGACACTCGCCCCGCCCCCTTACTGTGTATCGCTCACTGATTGGACGATGCAGCGCATGCACTGATCTGATGCTTCTTGACATGAGAGCAGTTTCCCAGCGGAGTGAAGAAAACACATGAACCTCACGGGAGTCACTCCTCAGTTTATACCATGTTTTGTTTCAATTCATGTATCATTTAGTTACAAATATGTGATATATCTGAACAACAAAGTGGTCAAAAATCATTTTATTCATTTTTGGGAAACATTTTCATGATCGCTTTTTTCGTTTTACATTTTCATTTATTGTCATTTCCATTCAGTCAGTCATTAAGTGCTATTTAAAATGTTAAAGTGCTACATTTCCACACAAACAAACAAAGTGTGCAATCCAATGAATGTTAGTCTAACTGGGTTTTGATAGATAACATATCTCTTTTTCTTCTCTCAATTATTTTATTTCTTTTGTGCCCTCTAATCAATATTAATCAAACTAATGTTCGTTTATACATTTTAAGAATGGCGTTTATCTTTTTTGATAATTAGTTCTTACTTGATTTTATTTATTGGGGTCTACAACAGATGATACAAATGTTTGTGTCAGTAAATGTGTACTAACAGAGGCGGGGGTGTTTGTGAAAATAACGGGGACAGAGCTGCTGTCAGACGATCAGCTGTGCAGCGTCATCACAAACGGACGTAGCTTCACGTGACGCTCCGGAGGAAAGGACGTCCCATTGCTCTTAAAACTCATTTCCCTGCTTCTCGTGGTTTCCTTGCGTCTCTCCATGCTTCCCTGGTGGGAGGGACTAGTCACAGGGAAACAACGCAAGTGAGGGACGCAAGGAACCCATTTAACCGACCTGAGATGCAGCCTATGTGTGTGTTTGTGTTTCCTCTCGGTTGAGTCAAAAACCAAAGAGAAACTTCATAAGAGTCTCACATCGAGCATCAAGGCTATTGGATTTCCTCAGTTATTGGAAGACACAGTCTGTAACTGTTCTTTATTAAATGTCCTTAAATTATGCTCAGATAAAACTAAGCCTTATCTCAATGTGATTATTATATTTAAATAAGTCTGAGTGTTTGTGCTTGTACGCTGTTGGATGCATTAGCTGTCTTTTAAAGCTGCAAAATTGATTTATTTTGTAAATATGAAATTCAAAATATATATATTTATAACATCAATAGTGTTGTAGGACACCACTCCTCATCATAAACAGAGATGATGCCAAATGTATTTAAATCATGGACTATATGAATTGTATGAATTACGAACAGTATGTGTTATTACACCAGCTAAAGGCTTTAATGAATGCCAATAAGGATGCAAAGGACAAGGTCAAAGTGTCCTTTAATATGAATCGAAAGGATGAGCAGGTTTGCATAGTAACTAACATTTTCCAATATTTCTATATATTTGAAAGACTCTCCAATATTTCTTAATATCTCAAAAACACGAAAGCATGTTTTTCAAACGCTGGTTCTGCATCTTAGTGAGACACACAGAGATCTAAAATAAAATCCCTACAGAGAAGTGTTCTTTGGATTTAACCTAGAAATGTACAATTTTCTACACACTGTCAAATTATCTATAACCAAACAATGGTCACTGCTAACCCGGAGGTTGGCCTGTGTGGAGATTAGCGATGGGAATTTGAAAGCAAATGTATATTCGAATATTCGACCCCCAAGAAAACAGTTAACCGATTAACCAAAATGTACATATCCTATAAAAAGAGGGGAAAAAAGACAAATTAATATTCGATTAATCGTTTCCCATCCCTAGTGGAGATCCAAATGTTCAATATTACTTAAATAAATGAATAACTGTGAAATAATATAATCGCATGTATGTAAGCAAATAAATCAAACTATTTGTGAAACTATTTAAGAAATAATTACTTTTTAAATTAAATAATAGTTTCAGAGGATTTAATATAATATAATAACAGTATAACACTTAACATGTTATATTTTGTGACAGTTGTTTTGTCAATATACTCTCATCTTTGGGCACATTAGCCCTGTCTCTTAAGCAACTCATCTCAACAACTGCTACCAGTATTAGCCACCTACCATCTGTTAGCTTCAGGAACAACAATGTCAGAGTAATGCTGAATCAGCTGTTTGTCTGCTGGATGCCAGAATTAATCGCTTTGATTATCCCTGACTGTTCCATCTAGTGCCCCCAGCAGGTCAAAGTTTCTCTTATCCAGTGACATATTTTAATATTATAAAGGATCAGATGTTATCTCTTCTCTGTTAGCTGTACTGTTCTGTAGGCTAATACTCTAAGTGTGAATCTATACGACTACTGCCTGAATCTGCTTTACGGTTTTCACTTTATTTGCTTAATTTTTCTGTTTTTAATTCAGTAGGTGAACCTATATGTTCATACAATAGTGTGTGTGAGCTTAACTGTGTGTGTTAAACTAAAACGGAGCAGCTCAGATTTTATTTCTGCTTTTTTAAACTGTAGTATGTGATAGTGTATAGGCCTCTGTCTGAATATACTGAATGAAAGGCAGGTTTTCCTATCAATAAAATCTCCGGATAGAAAAATAATGGTCAAAATTATGTTCAAGTCAAAAATGAAATTGTCACCAATCCTGTAAAATGCTCTTGCTTTCTCTTACCAACCACAGCACCTCCTCCTACACCAGCTGTCCACATCAAGGGGCAGGTCCACCATGACAAGAACCACAGACAGGCCAACAGCAAGACCCCCGTCCCCTCAGCGCCAAAACAGAGGGGCCGCAAACCCAGGTAAGACATCCACACTGGACAGATACTTGTGGAACTAGAGAGAGAATTATAAATGAGGAAAGGATGGAATGGTAAAGATTCAGAAGAGGCCATGCTGGAAGAGCTCTCCAAGTGGACACTGATGGAGTGAGGCAAGCATTGAAAAGCAAGGGGGCTGTAAAGCTGTCACCCCCAACAAATGACCTAGTTCTTCTCTCCGGAGAACAAATATTTCACTTAAAGGACTTTGCTCCGGCTTTATTTTGTATCTTATTGAGCCTCAAAAGGAAGGAGATAGCTACAGGGCACACACACAATATGACACCACAAGGAAGCTTTGTTTTAGTTGTTCCGAAAGTGAAATGAAACCCATTTTTGGAAATTGGATCTCTGATGTTGCTTGTGATACAATTATGAAACACTTTTAATGGATAGCATTCCTTCTCTGTGTTAGGGTCGCACACAAACAACAAGCAACTATTCTAACAGATTGACTGATAAGCTCTGTTGTATTTGTTTTAAAAAGAAAAGTAGAACAAATTGCCTGATTCCATCCAGTTTGTTTTTGTCATATATGCTCGTAAACCAGAGTATTTGCGTTATTTGGACGAGTTTAACAAGCTCTATTAATATACGATAGGACTGGGTAATGGCTGTGATGAAGAGTGGTCGTCCACCAATCAGCATGGGGGTTCGTTCGCCAGTCCCTGCAGACGACATATCAATGGCCGATGGTGTGTGAATGTGTGTGAATGTCAGCTTCTCTGAACACCTTGTACGGCAGCCTCTGGATAAACGTGTGAAACAGTGAGTGCTCAATTGTAATAATAAAGCTTTATTTTTAAAGCACTTCTCATGCACAGGACGAAGCTCAAAGTGATTTATCAATAGAACACTTGGACTTGTATATTTAAAAGCACTCTCAGGGGTCTTAAGGACTGAAAAAGTGCTATTTAAAAGCAGTCCATTAAACCATTAGCCCGAAACAATGCCGCCGTCTTCTTACTTTACTGTAGGCTACTAGTACTCACAAAACATAAACTATTAGTTTTGGGTTTTTAATTATTATTAAACTGTGAATATTCACTCAAATAAATACAAAATATAATAAAATAAACATTAAGGTGCAGCTTTTCGATGAACTGAAATAATCTGTATTTGAACTGTACTGTACTAGTTCCTAAGCAGCCAGCTTGACATTAGGACTTGTTGTCATTGTATTTTCATGTTTTTTTAAAGAAAAATTAACTTGTCCACATTGCTTGCCGAAAGGGCAGATCTGCTGGCACTAACAATGTCTCCTGCTGTGGAGAACACCCTCTCTAGGGACAGAGGTAGCCGATACAGCCAGGTAGCGCTTTGCTAACATGGCAACATAAGGATATTTGGTGTTTGTAATAGCTTTGGCTCGGTCTGAACTCTCTGCGAGTAGTGGAGGCTTACATGCTAGTGGGAGTTGGGTTTGCACTTCAGTCTTTTTTCTTTTGGTACCGGTGATATTCACGTTCGGGTGATGCCTTTTCAAATGAGTGTGCAAGTTTGATGTATTGCCAGCCGCGTAACCAATTTTAGTTGAACAATGCCGACAAACAGCTTTGGTTCGGTCCACCTGTCTTTGTCCGTCATCCTTGTACGTAACTGCGAAACCAAAATGTTCCCAAACCGGAGATTTCAATGATGCTGGAGGATTTTCGAGCTCAACTTTATCTGCGTTCGCCATTAATTTTTGACAGTTCCTCAAATTACTGACTACATTTGAACGCATCCCTCTGACCAGTATGCCTCTCATCCAATGAAATGACTTGCTCGCTCTATGACGCGTTGAACCCAATGTGAGCAAATTACTCTGAATGCTGCGACGCAGCACCTGAGATTACTTCTAAAAAGTTGTTCACGTTCTCAATTTTTTACGTTTAACGTTATATTAGTTCGGTACACTTCGGTACACACCTGTACCGAACCGAAGGGCCCGTACCGAATAATTTCGGTACGGGTACGTGTACCGTTACACCCCTAGTAACTACCATTTTTTCTTTCAAGATTTTTGTTTGGAATATTTGGTTTTGGGTCGATGGTGGAAACACTGGGTGTTTTTGCAACTTAAAGGTCCCATGTCATGGCCATTTCTACTGATCATAATTCCATTGTTGAGGTCTACTAGAATAGATTTATATTGTGCAATTTTCCAAACTCACATTGGTTTCTCAAACAGCATCTCTGTATAGTATGTGTATTCACTCTCTGTCCTACACGCCTTGTTGGAGCTCCTGCCCCCCCCCCCCTCCCTATGAGCCCAGTGGCCGTCTGCGAGACAGCGAGACACAGCGAAACCCAGCCCGAACACACACACCCGCAGCCTGGCTGGGAGTTTGTGTGTGTGCTCACACACCGTCTCACAGCCTCGCCGCGTCCCGCCGTCTCAGGGAGGAGAAATCGGCGGAGCTGCAGCTGAGAAAAGATTGAGTGTGTGTGTGAGGAAGTCAGAAGTGAGGACTTAATGTAACGGCTCCGCGGACGTAACGTAACGGCTCCACGGATTGGTCCATTTGGATCAATCATAGACAGGTCTTTTCTGTGTTAGAGTTTTGCTCGCTACAGGGGGTACTTTGAGGGTTTTTGACTCTGCAGACCGTTTACATGCAGAAACACCTTCATAACACAAGGGGACGGGTAATAACCAGAAAAGCATGACATGGGCCCTTTAAGCATAGAGGTTTGATGTGTTTATTGCAACTTTAGAGTATTTTCTGCTCTATTTTTGACACGCAGTTACACTCACAAATTGGAGCAGCTTTGACTGTGTGTGGAACAGTAGCCTTCAGAAGTGTAGATTGGCCTTCCCTTGTGACATCAGATCGGGCTGTGGGCCGGACATTGAGTGACACCACAGAGCTGTGACTATAGAGACGTGCAGTGATGACGGATGTTTGTCGGAAGGACTCCTCGGACCAAAAGTAATGGGATTTCCCCTTTGGATATCGGTATATTGCAGAAAATAAGATCTGTGGCCAACAAACGTTTATAGTACTTACACATTATTGTTCAGCAGGTTAATCTTCACATTTTACCACTACTTGATGGTTTTTGAAATATAAATTCAATTGCCAGAGGTAAAAAGGTAATGCTAGGCTATAAACAAAAATTATCACGGACACACAGCATCACCCCCGCTAAATTTAAGGCGAACTTGTGTCGGTGTGATGTAGGGCTGGGCGATTTTTTCGGTTTTAACGATTAATTTGCATTTTTACTTTCCTACGGTTTTTGAAATGGCTGAACCGAAAAATCGCGATTTAAAAACATTTCTAGACTCCGCAGATTTGTTTTGCTTTAAGGGACTCCGTAGTAGCTTACTCTCTCACTTTCCAGAACGCGCACAAAACTCAGACACATTGCCTGTGACTACCCGATCTGCAGCTCTGTGTACACATATATCACTTAAATTATTCAATACATCCTTTGTACTGAAGTATTCAAGAGTAAATAAAGTTTAATATAAATGATTTGCTGTGGCCAATTGTTTTCATTGCATTTACAGACCCGTGTAAATCTCTGATACCACCCAATGAATGCATTGACTTGCTTGTAGAACCACGCTACACAAAACAGATAGCAACACCTATACAAACTATTTTTAAAAAAAAAGGGGCTACTGTGTCGACCTATATAAAGTATATAAAAATTTTTTTTTTTTTCAAAATATCAAAAATATCTTGCATTTTAGCCATGCCTCATTTTGCTCCATTTGCTTTTTCCAGCGCTGTTTTTGCAGGGGGCTGATTCTGTGAGCTGCAGCTGACCACGCCCCCTGCAGGAGAGGGGAGCGTGCTCTGAGATCAGCTGCTGGGCGGTCTGTAGAGGGGGAGGAAAAGAGATCTCCGTCCTCCGTGTTATTTTATTCTTATAGAAGTAAGAAGAGAAGTAATGGGGCAGAAACCCTCCTTTTTACGCAGCGGTCCAGACATAGACATCAAACGGCGACACATATTCAGTTGCCAGTTACTTTGGCATTAGGGCAGGGATATCTAGATACTTCCCAAGGTCTGACATCATGAATTGTGCTACTTTTAAAGCAAGCAACGATGTTTTCAAATCTGTAATCAAAAAGCTCCTCAAAACACTATCGAAGCAGTTCCTGCCGTTGTTACGTTAGTACAAACAGTAACAACGGACTATTTTTCTTAGCAGATGCATATCAATTTAAATCAATACATAAAACTATTTTTTAAGTCAATAAAATCATTTTCTAAATCCATAAAAGCATTTAAATTAATATTAGGAGTCATGTCGTTACTTTGTTGAGAATGTGGCCATGTGTAATAAGCGGGATAATGTGCACATTGCATAATGTGCCTTCATGCCGATCTAGATCCCTCCGCAAAAAAAAAAAAAAACACGGCTCGTTCGCAGGCGAGAGCCGGCTCCCGTCGTTCACTTAAAAGAGCCGGCTCAAAGAGCCAGCTCGTTCGCGACCCACACATCACTACTGACAGTGTCGTCTACCTCCCAGTCAGAGCAGGACAAAATTGAAGCTGAGCTGTCATCCTATTTGTTGTCGTCTGAGACAGACCCTGATACAGACCCACTGCAGTGGTGGAAGCTACATGAAGCTAACTTCCCAAGACTGAGTAATCTGGCCAAGAAATATCTCTCCATTCCTGCCACAAGTGCCCCTTCGGAGAGGGTTTTCAGTACGGGGGGTAACATTGTAACATGCCAAAGAGCATGCCTCAAGCCAGAGGCAGTAGACAGGCTTGTCTTCCTCGCGAAAAACCTGTAGACAACTTCCTAGAAGTTAAAGTGATGTTATTTTGTTTGAGGGTATTTTTGTATTATTCATTTCATTATCATTATTTATTATTTGTTGTATTTCATTTTACAAGTTTTTTCAGGGATGGCCTAAAAGAGATTTTGTTTCCAGTTTGATTTAAAAAAAATCTTTGCACATTAATGACAGCCAAGTGCCGTGGTGCTGTTTTTATTTTATTTTTTGTATTCTTGAACAACTGATTTGTTCACATAGGCCTAGACTACTTGGTAATCTCATTTATTTGTATTGTGTTAATAAAGAAAATATGTATTTAAATGTTCCCTTGGTCTGGTTTGTTTAGAAAAAAACTGAAAAAAATCGAGGTTTAAATCGAAAATTGTCCATTAGTTAGAAAAAAAATCCCGATTTTATTTTTAGGCCAAATCGCCCAGCCCTAGTGTGATGACGTTTAGTAGTTTATTTAGTCGCCCGTTAGCTACCTCTGTTTTTAAGATACATACAAGCTTCGGACATTTACCAGTGGAGTATTTACTGAGGTATTTTATGTCATAGAACAAAACAGGAAAATCTCTTCAGCTCGTGTTAACCGCAGACTTTATCTTAGGTATCTAATCACAAACGCATTCAAAAACCGTTGACTTGCAGACGAGGAAAAACTGGAAGTGTTAAAGTGCTAATTCATTTCTGGGTTTTAGGACTCATTCCTGCAATACTGCATCATTGCCAACGTTTGGATCAATACATTTAATCTGCTATGGGATAAAAAGTGAAGTGAAAAGATATCAAAAAGACATCTTGATTCATGACTTTTGGAGTATATGTGTCATGTCAGGATACCAGTCACATTTTGTCTGAGAGTCTGAATTCACTCTAAACTAGAGAGAAGTACAGATCAGAAAATATACTACTGGTTGGTGTTCAAGAGAGAAACGTTGAATCAGGGTTATGATATTTTGATGTGGAAGAGATTCTGTCAGACATCTCGATATTTAAGTAGAGGAGTGAGAGAGTGGGAAGAGGAGGAACGTTGGAAATAACATGTGAGAGATGAGTCACTGATTCAGAGTTAAAAACGGAAAGAGCAGACTGATGAGACGCAGAGAGAAAAAAGTTGTGGATGAGTTGAAAGAGAGAGAGAAGAAGTGCCGACATAAAGAAAAAAGGATTAGGGAAATGGAGAGAAGAGAGATAACTATCACTGCTGTGAAAGAGAAGGAAGGAAGATAGAGAGATTGCTGATAAAGGATGAAACGCAAGAAGAGAGGATATGAAAGAAAGGAATAAGGATAAGATGGAAGGAGAGATGGAAAACAGATCAAACATGTTGATATAAGGAAGCCTGGTGAACTTTGCTGGGTCAGAGTCATCTCTAGGTCGAGCTCCGGTATCAGGTCATGTTTTGTTCGTTCACAAGAAGATGATAGAAGTGGTCATGCAGTTTTAAATCCATCTTAATGTGTTGCTTTGTCTTCCCTCCCTGCTCACTCATTAACAAGGACAGCAGTTCTATCTCCTCTGCCACACTTTCCAGTGACAGTGTCTTAAATTCACCCGTCGCTTGGCTGTTACCAAATATATCTCTGAGGGTCTGAAAGTCTGATTATAGCAATTTGAAGATCTGGCAAACCTCACAGGTGTCATGGAGGAAAACAGAACAATTCAAATGAATAATTGTGCTTAACATAATCACATATGTGTACAAATTACAGAATGGACATTGTTTAAAAATATAAAATAAACTTGAGAGATTAATAAAACATTTACTTTTCTTCTTCTTCGTTTTCTTCTTGGCAGGAAAACTGTAATAGTTTTAATATGCATGCAGTTACTGCCTGCATAAAGTAACTCGACTAATGTTTGTGGAAAACTAAAAATGATACTCTCACCGGCACATTTAATGCTCTTTTTTTCATTCTTTATTTTATTTATTTATATTGAATTTTTATAAGTTGTAACTTTATGCATAATATACATATATCTTCTAGAGAAATGCTGTTGTTTTAATGCTTAACAAAGGTCTGATATAGTTCTGTGTATAAGTGATGCTTCACACACAGGGTCTCGGTGTGCGATGCATCAGTGACAGCCTTCTCTTGGTGGGGTCAGACGGTCAAATGCATGTCCAGCAAAGTGGGTCAAACCATCTCTCTTTGTCTGTAGAAAAGACATATGAATGGACAGCTCCCTCTGAGAGAAGCTGCTTCGTGTGATGAAGAGGCGTGTGCATTTGTGTCACACTTTCTCACTGCTTTTCATTCAGCGGACACATCAGGCTCTCTGTGCACATACACACAAGCATCAGACATTTATTTGGGGCAGATTTAAATACCAAATTCAATTACATTTGAACGTCTATTCTTCTATCTCTTAGATTTTAAAATATAGCATCATTCACTTAATTATATAAACAAACATACTAAAAATGTATATTACAATTTATCAATTTTTGTTTTGAGTTATTTTGTACTAGTCTTGCCCTCAGGCCCTGCACGTATACATTACATGTTTCTTTTTTTAATCAAATGTATTTAAATAGACCAGCTAATACTTGTATGAAACTCATTATACCTAATGCTCATGGGTGAACCTAGTGTAAGAAATGAAGAGCTAATACCTCAAATGTTTTGATTTTAGCTACAAAAAACGTGTTCAATTAGAAGTCAGCAGTTTGGTTTCTGGATAATTGTTCTCCCTTCTTCCCATCTTAATCAATTCTTTTGGACTGAGTGGATGTATTTATCTTAAATGTCCTGTTACTTAAAAACCCAATGAGTCCAAATCAAATCCCTGTATGCTTTAATGAAGTGCCGCCTGAAAGGATATGCCTTTCACTCAGATATGTCACACAGCATGACCTAAAGCTGCTCCGCCATTGCCTCTGTCTGGAAGAAAAGCGTCTGTCAGCTGAATGTGTCACACACATGCAAATGAATGATTAGATCACCACTTCCAAAGACATGTAGTAAGCCGGGACACTTTCACATTCATGCTCTGATTCTGGTCCAAATCGTGCTCCGGCCCTGTGGCCTGCTTTTCACAATCAGATTCACAAAATTGTATTTAACGCAGAGAAATTGGGTTTTGTGACAGTTGCTCCATTTAAGAATGAAATACAAATAAAAAATAAGAATAAACAGAAAAAAAGAAATAGAGTAAAACCTATTTTCCTAGTATTCTCTTTAGATGTGCGATAGAAAGATAAATACAAATAATGGTTTTTACATACTGTAAAGTAAAATGACCAATACATTCAAATAAAGAAATACATACAAATATTTATACAAACAAAGAAAGTTAAAGCACATTGTCAAACAAAATATTAAATAAAAGTATTTTGTAAAAAAACAGTAATATTAAAAATTCACATCATACCACACAATAGAATATGTACTGTATATTCCAAGCTATATATATCGAGCATGACAAGTTCTTGATGCTGGAAAGGCTTTGTCTGATGATGATGTTAGAAGTTAGTGAGAGTCTAGTTCCCCAGCCAGTTCTCCTCAGTGATTGGCAGGTGGTTGTCCTTTGTCCTGAGGATTAGAAATAAGCAATACTAGAACAAAGTGAGGATAAACATTTGTTCTGTCTTAACCAGCTCTGTATAAATCCTCGGGGAGCAGAGGAGTGTCAGCTGCTGTTAATTACTCACCAGAGTTCCTCTCCTCCCAGAGATCCAGGCACAGCGCCGGTGGAGAAGAAGAAGAAGGGCAAGAGGAGAAACCAGGAGCAGGCTGCCAGGGAGGGGGCGGAGAGTGACGACACTACCTCAACGCCAGCCCCCAACCTGGGTGGAGAGGAGAGCCAAGACCCCCTGGATCACACGGTGAGTGGACCTGGAGCAGTGTTGTGCTAGTTACTGAAAACCAGTAGCTAGTTACCATTACTAGTTACTTCATGTCAAAAGTAACTCAGTTACTTTACTAGTTACTTACACCCAAAAGTAATGCGTTACTGTGAAAAGTAACGTTTTCGTTACTTGTAAAAAGGGCTCCCATTAATGCCCTTATACTTATAGCCTTCATTTCAGTACTGTTATTGCATTGGAGAATAATACAATCTGTTGATCAACTTGACATGCATTATATGCAATCTGGATTGCATCGATATTAGCTGGCTTTCCATTTTTGTATATTCTTTCTCCAGGTAGTTGGAAAAAGTTTTCCGTCCCATATGCCGTGTGCCGCCCGGACATGCTACCATGCTAACTAGCTCCCTGAAAGCGGGTGACTCCACTGTAGCAATAGCCTGCATATGTGTTCTACAACATACCGTGCAATGGCTTTATCGACTTTTCCCTGGCCAGCAGTCCCTCGGTTAAAATCCAGCCGCTGATGCTTAGGTGGAGGTGGAGTGGCGTCGGCTGAGTCTCTGTGGTCTTAGCTACTAGCTTCGTCCCAGCATGTTGTTTTTGCAGATGTTTTAAGAGATTTGAATGACTGGTTTGGGCAGTAGATAGGATCTTTGACCCGCCAGGACACAACTTACATTTAACTAAAACGTTCTTTTCTTTGTGCTCGACAAAAGGGAAATAGTGAGAATATCTCCAGGTGGAGAAACTAGACTTGAGCTCCGCCGCCGCCATGATAGTCTTGTTAGTAAACAACACAAACACGCCCACAGCCCGTCTCCGCATGTGACACAGGAAGTATCTAAGTACATTTACTCAAGTACTTAAGTACAGTTCTCATCTCTGTTCGCCTGGCTGTTGACTATATTAAAAAACTAACGCAGTAACGGAGTAACGCACCATGTAGTAACGGTAACTGCGTTACTGAATTTAAAAAGTAATGCGTTAGCGTACTAGTTACTGCCAAAAGTAACGGCGTTACAGTAACGCAGACACTGACCTGGAGACACTGCACACTGTGGGCTTTATGGAACAAACTAAATCACATTATATAAACATTATTTTTTTATTTGATGCCTGTAATACATTCCAATAAAGCTGGGACAGGGGCATGTTTACCACTGTCTTACATCACCTTTCTTTTAACAATAAGCGTTTGGGAACTGAGGAAACTAATTGTTGAAGCTTTGCACAAGGAATTATTTCCCATTCTTGCTTGATGTACGACTTCAGTTGCTCAACAGTCCGGGGTCCCGGTTGTCGTGTTTTGCACTTCATAATGCGCCACACATTTTCAATGAGAGACAGGTCTGAACTGCAGGCAGGCCAGTCTAGTAACCCCACTCTTTAACTACAAAACCACACTGTTGCATTGCAATACGTGCAGAATGTGGCTTGGCATTGTCTTGCTGAAATAAGCAGGGACGCTCCTGAAAAAGACATCGCTTGGATGGCAGAAAATGTCGCTCCAAAACCTTAATGTACCTTTGACCTTTAATGGTGCTTTCACAGATGTGCAAGTTACCCATGCCATTGGCACAAACACAGCCCCATACCATCACAGATGCTGGCTTTTGAACTTTGCGCTGATAACAATCCGGATGGTACTTTTCCTCTTTAACCCTGAGGACACGACGTCCATGATTTCCAGAAACAATTTGAAATGTGGACTCATCAGACCACAGCATACTTTTCCACTCAGTCGTAGCGACGGACTGTGTTAACTGACAATGGTTTTCTGAAGTGTTCCTGAGCCCACGTGGTAATATCCTTTACAGAATGTTGTCGCTTTTTAATGCTGAGGGATCAAAGGTCACGCCCATTAAATGTTGGTTTTCGGCCTAGTCGCTTACGTGCAGGGATTTCTCCTGATTCTCTGAATCTTTTGATTTTATGGACTGGAGATGAGGAAATCCCTAAATTCCTTGCAATTGTACGTTGAGAAGCATTGTTCTAAAACTGTTGGACTATGTGCTCACGCAGTTGTTCACAAAGTGTAGAACCAGGTGTTTTTTCAGCGTTCCTTAACTTTCCCAGTCATTTGTTGCCCCTGTCCCAGCTTTTGTGGACTGTGTTGCAGGCATCACATTCAAAATGAGTGAATATTTGCAAAAAAACATCAAATGTATCACATATCTTGTCTTTGTAGTGTATTCAATTGAATATAGGTCGAAAAGGATTTGCAAATCATTGTATTCTGTTTTAATTTCCAAACTTCATAGGAATTGGGGTTTGTAAGTTAATGTACAAATGTGCTTCTGTCCTTCCTTTCCTCATTTGCTCGTTTCATTCGCTAACATCGTCCTGCCTCGCTTTATTCTCTGTGCTGTATTTATCTCCTTTCTGCTCTTTCACCTTAATATTTGTCTTGTCCTTTTTCTGGCTCACATCTCCTTTTCCTATCTACTTCCACTCACACTTCCCCCTCCATTAACACTAATATCTCAGTGTATTGTATCCTCTATTTCCACGTAGATACATGTGTCTTCCTAACTCTTCTTTTCCTTCTTCATCCTTATTCATACTGTTATCACACTTTTCTCTCCCCTTTTCCGCTTTACTGACCAGTCGTTTCCTCCTGTTGTTCAGAAGCGGCGTTCTGGACGTCAGGTGAAGAGGAGGAAGTATAACGAAGATCTGGACTTCAAGGTGGTGGACGATGATGGAGAGACTATCGCAGTTCTTGGAGCCGGTCGCATCTCAGCGCTCAACGCCACGGCGCTGGCATGGCAGGCGGAGGTGGGGAGGACACACACTAACCCCTTTGTTCATGTTGTATTACTCCGCTCCTCTCTCCTTTCAGTTTCCCTCCTCAATGAACAAGTCATATAGTAGAGTAACGCAGGAGTGAGTCTTAAAACCCAGTAATGAGTCAGCATTTTACAACAAGCAGTTTCCTCGTCTCAAAGGGTTGTGGTTTGATTCCTCAAATAGGGTCTTTGGTTAACACAAGCTTATGAGATGTTTTGTTCTACGATATAAAACAGGTCAGTAAATACCCCACTGGTGAACGATGAAGCTTTTACGTGTCTTAAAAACGGCGGTTACTAACAAGTGGCTAAATGCAACTACTGAACATTAGCCGCCTTTAGCTTAGCGGTGGTGACGCGAAGTCATGCTTCATGATTTGTTTATAGCCTAACACTAACTTTGTACTACTGGTGATCGCATTTACGTTTCCACTATTATACAAGTGGTGTTAATATGTGGAGTTTATTGTGCTGAACAAAATGTATTAAGTATCATAAACATGTGTTTGCCACGGAGCTTATTTTCTTAAATAGTCAATAATCCAATCAAAAAATCCCATTGCTCTTTGTCGAGGGAGCCCTTGTGATGCTAACATATGTCAATAGTGCATCACTCTGTGAATCAATAATATCCAGTCATTGAATAGTGTGCTGTCCACTCTGGACATGCAGGACATGAGGATGTTTCAAATACAAATATTTTCCCGGGTTTCTGTCTGTAAAATCTCCACCAACACTTTGGAATCATTGAAGAATCTATTTTTATACAATGGTGGAATTAGTAAATGTACTCAAGTAATGTACATAAGTAGAATTTTGGGGTACTTTTACATAAATACATGTTTATATACTGTAATATATAATTACTTTCTAATTTACTCAGTACTTTCCAATTGGCTCCATATTGACGAATAACAACATAAAAAAACTCTTTGTATATTCTAATGATATAAACAGAATATTATAATATCCTGATTAATGATACAACACATTTTTAGAGTCATTCTGCACAATGAGTACTTTCACTTTTTATTCTTGTACATTTAGCTGATGATACTCAGGAAATACTTATTATGGAGTGTTGGTTATTGTGTTATTAGTACTTTTACTTTTCCACTACTGCTTTTATATCACCACTCTCTCACCGTTTTAATGTTTGACGACAGAAAAATCTTAGTTTTTTAAAAATGGTATCTGAATTTGGGAGGTTAAAATGCTAGATTGACAGGAAACCCCACTTGCAATAAACCCTAAATTCATGAAAGTTCAAATGTTTTAGGGAGGTTTCTAGTTTTATGTTTTTCCTGTTTTGGATGCTGTTGTTCACGCTGCTGTTGAACTGATTTGTATCATCGATGTTGGACAAACCATTAGAGCTCAGTATGCTACTACATTACCTAATGATTTCTGCCAGAATTTAGTGTAATACAGATTTGAAATGTTGTGATGTGCTTCTGTGAAGGCTGCTGTGTGATCACACACTGTCAACTGACCTTCATCAGTGTAGGCAGCTAATGATTTCTGTCTTCCTCTCCCTCAGGAACCACCTGAGGACGAAGCCAACATCATTGAGAAAATTCTGTCCGTCAAATCAGTGAAGAAAGAGGTGAAAGACAAAGGACACACACACACACACAAATCTACTCTCCTGCTGCTCGTCACATATTTATTTCTGCTTCACTGAATCCGTCTCTCCCCTCCCCTCCCCCTCCTCTCTACAGACTTCATCAGAGGAGGACCAAGCGGAGGAGACAGAGGAGTTTTATGTCAAGTACAGAAATTTGTGAGTGTCTTTTCATCGTTGCTTATTCACACCTTCACATTAGACATCTATCTGACACCCTAAATGCTTTATTTATGGTAAGTGCAGCTTCAGGAGAATCTTTCCTGTTCTGTTGTCGTTGGAGATTTTTCCAAACAGGTGTTGCACTGTTTTCAATTACTGGATTACTTTGCAATATGGTGACCTGCTATCACAGGCCTTTGGTTTTGCTCATTCCTGCATGTATTGGGACTGTTAGTGTAGCCTAAAGCAGGGGAAACCCATGTGGTCTTTTGGCCATGCTGGCATATTGTTTGTGAAATTCAAACATGATAAGATAGTGTTCAGTCAGCGTGAGTCTGTATCAGATTGATGGTATACTTTTTTAATTTTGAGTCTGAGTGGGGCGGCTGTGGCTCAGGAGATAGATGTTTATCCTCCAATTGGAATGTTGTTGGTTCGATCCCCAGCAGTCACCATGTGTCCTTAGACTAGATACTTAACTACACATTTATCCCGATGCCCAGCAGTGTGTGAATGTTAGTCTCCCTGAGCACCTTGTAAAGCAGCCTCTGCCTCTGTATGAATGGGTGAATGCTGACTTGTAAATCTAAAAGCACTATGAGGGGTTGCAATATCTGGGAAAGAGTTATATAAAAGCAGACCTCTTACCGTTTACGACAAACCTTTTATTTAGTCTGTATTGTTTACAAAGCTGTTTGTTACACCACATGTTTTGTTTGTATTAAACCAGAGGCGTGTTCTCCTACCTGTACTACATACGGGTCAGGAAGCTGAAACAAATAAGAGTTCATATATGATGTGATATGATGTAATAAGACTAACAGTGCCGTGGACTGTATGCATTTCTCTGAATACTTTGCTCCGGTTAATCATGTTCTGGGTTATTATGACATATTTAAGTAAGCTTGCAAACCAAAAATGTAATTAAAAACAGATTGTTCTGTAAATGGGCCGTGATACTATATTAATTTAGTCAGCGATTTAGTGCCAGCTGTCTTTCCTGTATTCGTCAGTTTAAGCCTTAAACTCTGTGCACTGAGCTCTGATTGAACATAACTGCTCTGCAGCTGGTCAGCAAGTAAGAAGTCAACCAGTGTCGTAGGACAAACAATTCAGAAATAACCCTGGAGTGACCTCACTAACCCCAAACCCTGTTTCGTAGCACAGGTCACAAAATTGTACCAATTTGGTTTTTGTTTAATATATAAATTCCACCTGGAACCAAGTCTGCGACCCCCAATTCCAGACCCTAACATGATCGAAGAAATCTCCAAAAATCCTCCCTCCCTGGTGAATCTAAAAGTCCTGGAAGTCACCTTGCACAACCTTGGAGGTGTTGAATACTCACTCAAAGCATTATAGAAATGACTTGACTTTGTTAGAGCTACTTAGTAAACAGTTTTTATGACATTGATCCCTCCCGGAGAAGTTGCCTTCACACGGCTGTGTTTGAGCAGTGGTCTTCTCTCCAGAGGAAGCTGTTTCTCTTGCTCTCACTGAGGCTCCGCTCGGGGGTCTCTGGAGACTCTCCTGCTTTGTTCCAGCACTTTGTATCTTAAAGAAAAGGTCCTATACAGATATACCACTATTATTATCATCCTAATTTATTCCCATGGGTGATGAATAATACATGGGGAGTTTGCTTATATCAAAGTGAATGGATGTGAATGTCTGTAACATTTAGAGTGTAAAAACATTATTATACATAATGCCATGTCGTCGTTGACAGCATGGTTCATGTACAGTAACTGCAGTGACATCTATATTAGTCCGTTTATAGTTGGGCCTTATGGATTCAACCATCCATGTCAAACCGGCTCCATAGTAACAACATTTGTTCTGCTTTCTCTCCCATGGACTATTATGGGAGGCGTCCTTATTCTCCCTTGTTCGTTTACATTCAGCAGCCAATGGTGCATACAGATCAACATTATAGCCAGAACCGTTTGTAGGAAACAGTGAAGGACAAACATCTTAACTTCATTTTGTTTAAAAATAACATTTATATCTGTTCACTGACCCCAAATCATTTGTGGAATTTCTATCAGGCCTTTCAGAAGGAGGATTTATTTTGTCTCATCGAACATTTATTTTACATTATATATTTTTGAGCAGACTTTTTCTCATTTGAAGCTTCTTACATACACTCAATACCATAGACATGCCTACAGGAGCAATTTGGGGTTAAAGAGGCGCGGTTCTGCTTTTTAAGGGTGATCCCTTTCCTGTAGAGTTTGATGGGTTGTTGTGCATGTAAATGGCTGCAAAGGCTCTCGGTGTTCCCTCCAGAGGGAGTTTCTCTCCCACCCAAGAAACTTTCATGATCTGATGATCAAAATGTTTTATCCACGTTGACAACAAGCGTGTTTGGAGCTTATTATTTGGGTTGTTGCCCAAGGTGAGAATAATTCAAGTTAAACTTGGACCGCACCAAACAACAAAACCGTGCTTACTGTACCTGACAATGAAGATTTTGGTCCCTTTTGAAATAAATTGAGCTGCTGTTCTATGGTAATGCTATTAGAATTCAATTATACCTTTTTGATATCCCTCTATCTCAGGGGTCACCAACCTTTTTTAGAGTGAGGGCTACTTTCAAAAAATAAAACAAGTCTGGGGCTACTTTTACTCCTCTTTTTTTTGTTTCTTGCAGTGTATATATTTAGCACATTTTAACATTATTATATGCTTACCTTTAACCTTTCTGCGCTGTTTGGGTCTGTGGGACCCGTTTTCAGTGTTTACTAAAATAACATGTTTTCAAATTAATGATTTTAACCTGCTTTATTTGGGGGTGGACCTCACCTCCTCTAGGGGGGCCCTCACCTCCTCTATTGGGGTCCAGGGGCATGCTCCCCCGGGAAGATGTTTTTTTAAATGTTGCAGTGAAATGCATCAATCTGCTGCACTTTGAGCACAGCATGAACTCATGGATACAGCTCTCAACACTCAGATGAAAGAGAGCTGTATACTTTTCAATGATCCAAACATCTTTAGAATATGATCACAACCAATAACAAATCATTTAAACTTGTTTATTCTTATCTTGTGTTACCTAGTTAGCATTCTTTCTTTTTATTTATGCATATTTTACTGATCACTCCCCTTTTAAACTGTTTTTGTACTGTCCTATATAGTAGTACACATTGGAATGATTTCTTACTTTATCTATATGAAATAGATAAAGGTGCTCTCTCCCTAGCTCTCGCGCTCTCTCTCTCTCTGTCTCGTTCGCTCACAGAGGCTGTGTGCTCCTGTGGCGATGACGGCTTTATAATAATAAACATATTTGTAAAGTGGGGGGACACAAACGGGATTTCGAAAAGAGCGGGGGACATGTCCCCCCTGTCCCCAGTGGAAATAAGCAACACACAGAGTACAACTCTGCCCCTCATGTGCTGTATAGGCTGGCATGATAGGCTGTTTAATGGGGCTGATGTGTTGTGTAGATTCTGCTAGAAGGAAAATCAGCGGGGAGGTGCCACATTGCTTTTCTTCCCGACTGCAACGCTGGTCCCGCAAATCAAGCAAGAACGTGATTGGTCGATATTCATTGTGGGGTGGGGGGAGGAGGGGTGTTGGATAGATATAGAGTTGTAGTAAGTAGATAGAGTTCGCTATGATTTAGGTTTCGTTTATGCATAGGGAAGATTCTTTTAATTACATTTCCTTTTTTGTTTTATGTATTTTTTACATTTTGGATTTGCTTGGCGAGCTATTTTTAGAACATGCCCCGCGGGCGACCCACGTTGCCCTTGCGGGTGACTAAGTGCCCGCGGGCACCGTGTTGGCTACCCCTGCTCTATCTAAATGTTTTTCTCCCTACTGTACATGCAAAAATGGGCTTTGTGTTGAAATGATAATGGAGAGGAAAGTTATTGTGATTTTCCATTATATAAGTCTTATTGGATTTTTAAAACATGCAAACTTCATACATATGCTTTACTTAATGAAAGGTGTGTTGATTATTTTGTTTTGTGTGATTTTAGTTCTTATATGCACTGCAAGTGGGCCACTCTGGAGGAGCTGGAGAAAGATCCCAGAATCCACCAGAAGATTAAACGCTTCAGGACCAAACAGGCTCTGACCAAACATCTGTTCACAGAGGTAACCATTCATCCACCCCTGTATTCTGTCCAGGCCTATCTTCTCCTTTCAAATCTGGCTGGACACATTTATATTTAATAATGTAGCAAAGCTGTTACTGACAGTAGTTATTGGAAACATGTAAACGTGATTACTTCAGGGTCATAATGAGGGTCACACTGTCTCATAATTAACATCCAGTGTCGCTGCAAAGTGTTGAAAGTGCTGGAAAGGTTAACGCCATCATACTGTAACCAAGGCAACACCAATATTTAGAAGTCTAATTTGCCTTCAATGATTAATTTCAATTTTATGGTAGTGTTTTTTAGACTTCATTATTTTCCTATATCAAGACTATTTTGAATAAGTATTGTTAAATCTCATTCAGAACAACACTGTTAAATAAAGAGAAATTACAAATTGTAATAAGCGTTTGCTTTTATTATAATAAGGCTATTTGTTGAATGGAAGCTATTGAAAAGAATGGAGACTATTCATATAAAAAATGATAATGATCTTGCAAAACATTGAAATGTTGCGTTGATTCTGTGTCATGTGTTCATATGATATGAAAGCAATGGAAAAGATAGACATTTAAATAATTAAATTGAATTTTCAAAACAATATTCGTACAAAATAGAATTAATCCTAAAAACATAGATGCTAGTCTTACTCGTTATTTTACCTTCTCTACAAAGCCTTTAGAGTGGTGGTGCAGGAAGTTCTTAAACTTGGAAATGAGTCCGCATTTTACCACTGAATACATTTCTGTAGTCAACACAAGCTCAACAGATTTTAAAGTTTTGTTCTACAATAAAGAATACGTCAGTAAATAATGCACTCGTCCTCACATCGAGCATTAGCCACCTTTGACCTGAAGTCATACAACTGTGATTTAGTATATTTATACTTCTAGCCATTGCATTTACGCTTCAAAAAATCATATAGTGGTGTAAATATGTGGAGATTATTGTGTAAGTATCATAAACGTGTGTTGGCCACAAATCCTAGTTTTTGCAATATTCCAAAAACCAATGGACAGATCCCATTGCTATTTCTTGAGGGAGCCTTAATGTTGCTAACTTCTGGGTCAGGGTACAAAAATATGTATCTCTATTGCTTTATAAAATAGTTCCATGACCTGATAATTAATTAATGCTGAATAATGTTGTTGTTCCATCTCTATGTGTCCCCTACTCCAGTCCGATGAGGACTTATTTAACCCGGACTACGTGGAGGTGGACAGAGTGCTGGAGGTGGCTGTTACTACAGACACTGAGACTGGAGAGGTCTGTACAGGAGCTCAAAACACACACACACACACACACATACGCACACACACACACACACACACACACACACATACGCACCCACACACACACACACACACACATACACACACACACACACACACACACACACACACACACACACACACATACCATGTATACATCACTTCAGGGGACATTACATTGACTTACATGCATTTCCTGGAGACTTATCCTAACCTTAACCATAACCAACACATGCCTAACCCTTATCCTTAACCTAACCCTAAACCTAACCAAGTCTTCACACTAAAATTAATGATTCCCCTCATGGGGACCTCCATTTTGTCCCCATAAGGGAGGCGAGTCCCCACACATGACTGTGTAAACAGATGTAGGTCCCCACAAGTATAGTAATGCTAGGCCACACACACACACACACACACATACACACACACACACACACACTCTCTCTCTCACAGCAGCGTTTGTCTGGATTGTAAATGGTTACCACTGAAGGTCCTCAGTGTGGGGGTGCACTCTTATTCCTGTGGCATGTTTTCCCGTGTGTTATCGTAGGAGGTGACCCACTACCTGGTGAAGTGGTGCGGCCTCTCGTACGAGGAGGCCACCTGGGAGCTGCAGGAGGACCTGGACCCTGAGAAGATCAAGGAGTTCGAGAGGATCCAGAAACTACCGCCTGACCTCAGACACATGGTGAGGAGGAATACTAAACAAGAGGGGAAACTGCAGTTTGATACAATATTTATGGAGGAAAAAATGTAGAAAGCTATCTTGTTTTTAAAGTGCTACATCAACAAAGCTGGATTACTATAGACAGAAGCACTTATCTGTGAAAGGAGAAATAGTCAGAAAGAAAATGTATTGTATTAAATACATTGGCAGAGTATTGTTATCAGGGGAAACTAACATTTTGAAATCCTGTGAAATAAAAGCCAGTGAATGTAAGGCTTTCATTGGAAAACTAACATCATTTACCAATGCATTGTTGATAGAGCAGCAGCCGGTCTGGATTTGATCAGAATCAGAAAGAGGTGTTCTTGCCAAGTTGATCTACACATACGAGCAACTGACTCTGGTGTAGGGCTGTGCGATTATGGCAAAAATCATAATCACGATTATTTGGGTCAATAATTGATATCACGATTATTTTGACGATTATTCATTGACCATTTATTGAACTTTAAAACAAATAATATTTTACCAATAAACAAGATCAACAAAATATGTTGGAGCGCACTTCCAAAACCATATAAACATATATTAATATGATAAATAAAAATAAATTAGACCAAAATAAATTAAATCAAATATGATGCAGTGCACTGTCACAACCTACTGAAAACTCCTTAACATATAGCCAACATTTTGGTAAAACATATTCAACATATTCCACTCAGTTAAACGTTGAAGGCTGGCCCACCGTCATGGTCCAGAAGTAACAGGAAATAAATGTTGAACTACAATTTAAGACCAAATTAAAATGTTTAGGCCACCATGGCAAATGCTGGTAGGGCTGCTCGTATCAACTCTTAAAGATTTTTTGCAATAAACACCAGCCTGTTTACATGGTCTGGTTTCAGAGATGAGCGCAGGCAGGTGACAATATTGCCACCTGTACTGAAGACCCTCTCTGAAGAGGAACTTGTGGCAGTGCTGCCACATATGACACAGGAAAAAAAGAAAAGACTCTGAACCCTTTCTTTGCCATTATATAAAAATAGTGTTGCTACAAAAGTATAAATGAGGCTTACTAATAAGACAACTCAGATCTGAAGCTACTCAGGAATCTGCTGCAACAGTGCAATAAAAAAGACAAAATTAATAGAATCAAACCCTTTTTTGTTGCAGTAGAGTATAAAAAGAAATGCCTTTTAAAATAGCAACACTAGTTTCTTAACCTGAATTGATCATAGACTATAATCAATTTAAACAGAACAGATCTTAATGTTTGCATTCTTATACCATGTTGTACAATAATTATAATGAATAAGTTCAAACAAACTCAAATTTACAGCTGATTAATAACGGTATCTAACTTGAGTTTGTATTATATCAAAAACCTGTTGAAATGCTTCTGTTATTGTTACTGTCCCCAGGAATGCTTCTTTCACAACTTTGCCATCTTTGAAAGACTTCATGTGTTTCGCAAGAACGTGACTGACACGATAAGATGCTCTGGTGGCAGCCTTGCTCTTGTTGTTGGGCCTGGTGAAAATGGACTGCTGTGCATTTAGCTGTCCTTTCAGGCCCCTCCCCTTTTGGGCAGAATTAGGAGGGAATTCCGTCTCGTAGCGTTTGTGCACTGTTTTGAAATGCCGCTCCTAAATTACCCTTCTTCGATAAAGCCACGCTCGCATTGCAGATGAGACAGATGGACTTTGAATTAGAATAGATACAGAAATAATCATCCTCCCACTCGGAGTGAAAATTATATATTTTGGGCTTTTTTGCTTCTGCCATAATTGCGGTCTTGTATGTGTGCGGACTGTCACTGCACTGCCCACTGCCCAGCCACGCCGGCCAATCACAAAGTTTTGATGCGTTCAAGTGCATTATTCTGGCACAGGAAGATTATGTTACAGGACATTAACGATAAAACAGAATATTGTTGTTCTATTTTTAGACACATCTCGCGATCGACTAGGAATCTCCCCGCGACCCTTCTTTTTAACGAGTTGCTGCTCTTGTTCTGACATCTTCGCTCGCGCTGAACACATGTCACTCCCACGTGGCCGAGTGGGCTTTTAGGGAGGGGCGAAAGCACACCCAGCAAAATAATCGTATTTTGTCAATTATGCTGTTTTCATAATCGTCACAAGCCATAATCGTAATCGCGATTAAAATACGATTAATTGCACAGCCCTACTCTGGTGTGTATGGTGCATAAATAAAACACAGTAAGAAAAAACGAAAAGAAATGTAGGATTATAACACAAACTTTTAACATGGGAAATAAAAATAGAGAAATATTCAAACCAAATATAAATATACAAAAAACGAACTACAGTATAATAGGACAGAAAAGGTCCTGAAGCCTCTTGCCAGAATGTGTCCAGGGTGGGAGGGATTTGCAGATTGCAGCCAATAACCTTCTCAGCAGAGTGGATGATACGCTGCAGCCTTTTTTATTTTGTATTTGTCCTTATAAGTTTAAAGTCAACACAGAAGTTGCAGAACAATTAGCTTGAAGCATTTAACCCAACATTCACATTTAAATTGAATAAATGTCCCAAATTAAGACTTTTTACATCTGTAAATGGTCTTACAACACTCTCCTGATGCTCTGTTTCTTTTCCAATCACGCAAACATCTGTCAAAGAGCACATCACCAGATTTGAATTGCTAAAAGATACAGAGATGTGGGCGGCAATTCAGACCTAGATAGAAAATAGTGAGCGAAAACACTTGAGTCGGTAGGCAGATGAAAGGAAAAGGAAAAACAACATCATGTGTCTATTTCATCTCAGGAACAACACCTGCCCACTTCTGCTCCATCTCAGATTCACCATCTTGCCCTTGTTTATTTTGTCGCTGGAAGTAATGGGAAACAGTCAGGGTTGTGGGCTTTTCTCCTCCAGCTGGATTTTATGTTTGTTTTTGGATGTGAAATTGAGGTTTTGAAAATCCATGTAGAGCCGTTTCTCTTCTGTGACCCACAATCCTCTCCACATCTATGATTCACACTGCATCAATATGAAGAACAATCAAAAAACCTCAGCAGAAGCCATTTATTGTAAGCTACTCTTAACATAAATCATCTGTCTAACATAATCATTTACTTTGCTGGATGTTGAATGCAAATTACTGCTCAAAATGTAGTCATTTTCTTTTTTCTACCCCTGAGGGAAGCAAGAGTGAGACCTGAGAGAATTATTCCTGCTCTCTTGCTGTTATTCTTTTCAAAACTAGTATTTTAACTTATTACGCCTCGGCAGCAACAATCTGTTGCACCACTTATTTTATTTTTGGTCCATTTCACCTCAAAACTCACACAGCATCCTCGCTTACCTTTTTCAAAATTGGAACAACTTATTTACCTCATCAGAATCAGAAATACTTTATTTACAGCGGGGGATTGTGTTTCATGATAATTGTTCCATTTCAGAAGGAAATACAACAAAAGATTTACAAAATAAAATATTTGTATTAACATAGGAAGTAAGAATGTGCAATTAAAAGATTAAATAAAATGCAAAGAATTCATCAAAAATCCTTTTAATACCGGATTCTTTGCTATTTCTGTGGTTGGATGTACCGTGGAGATCTAGTAGAGGATAGTGGGTAATATACGTTTGAAATGTGTGTGTTGTTATTGCAGGAGCGTCCTCTTCCAGAGAAGTGGCAGAAGTTGGATAACTCCAGAGCTTACAGGAATATAAACCAGCTCCGAGAATACCAGTTAGAGGGAATGAACTGGTTACTGTTCAACTGGTACAACAGGTGAGTAAAACAAATGCTCTGAAACCAGTTTTAACACTATTTAGCAGGTGGATTTGGAAGCAGTGTTTAGAAACACAGGAGAACAAATATTTTGTAATCTCTCCTGTATGTTGTCATTTTATATAACACAGCGAGACAACATGCCATTAACGTATTATAAAACCTAAACTGAATTAAATGTATTACTTTGTTACAGTAAATGTACCATCACCTGTATAACTGAATCTTTTCTCAGTCCCATCATGCTTGACTATATTTATCAGAATGAACACTTCGTATCACTAAGTCTTTTAACACCTCAGAATGAAATGAATATTTAATGATGAGTTGTCCATATATTAACATTTAGGATGAACGTTAGCAGCAACTCAACGGTGAAACAAAAAACTCTCTCTACAGAGAAGTGTAAAAAAAGGACACAATTTAATAAGTTACTAATATAAAAATAGGAAGTAAGATCAAATAAGAAAGCTAAAAGTGAAAAACAGCTGCAACAGGCTGCACTAATGATGAAAAGACATACAAGTTTTGATACATTGTGTTATGGTTTGTGGTGCTGAATTGCATTTGATCAAATTAAATATTTAATTTCTGTTTGAAATGTGTGAAATGCTTTGCTCAGATTTCACACAAATACGTTTTATGTTGCTAAAATGATGATAAGAAATGCAGATCCCACTGTTGTGATCACACAAACAATAGAAATTGTAACCGCTGTGTCACGATAAACATTGTACTACCAGATTATTGCCAATTCATCTCCCCAACACAAATCGTTATTAATGAACTTAATTAATGCACTCATAAGAATCATTTATTTATTTAACAGGGACAGAGAACAATACTAAACATTGTTGTGTGTGTGAAAGTTAGCTAAGAGGCTTTTTTTTCATCTGGCCAGATTTTTCAAAGTCACCCTACAAAACAAAGGCAATGACATCATAAAAAACATGCAAAATAGAGCCGCATAATCAATGGAGGTATGTCCTGTATTTGGATTATAGCTCTTACCGATCTCGCTGTCTGTTTCGCTCTAGGAAAAACTGCATCCTGGCAGATGAGATGGGTTTGGGAAAGACCATCCAGTCCATCACCTTCCTGTTCGAGATCTTCAGCATGGGGATCCGCGGCCCCTTCCTCATCATCGCCCCCCTGTCCACCATCACCAACTGGGAGCGGGAGTTCCGTCAGTGGACCAACATGAACGTCATCGTGTACCACGGATCTCAGATCAGCCGGCAGATGATCCATCAGTACGAGATGTTCTACAGAGACACACAGGTAGAGCCTGAACCTCTAAAAGTGTGGAATAAACAAAATGCTGCAAGAAGCTCAAAACACAACGGAAACCAGGGGACACGAAAAGTGACGCACACAGCTGGGACCGGAGTGCACGTTGACATTCAGGTGTTTTAGAAAAGAAAAAAAAAGTTGGACCTTTATTGATCCCCCAAAGGGGAAATTCAATGTTCCACTCTGTTTTTTACTGCCAGGAGCAGTTGGGGGTTAAGTGCCTTGCTCAAGGCCCAGGAGGTGAACTGGCTCCTCTCCAGTGCTAGTCCACACTCCGTATTTCTTTGGTCCGATCGGGACGTGAACTGGAGACCTTTCGGTCCAAAGTCCAAGTCCCTACAGACTGCCGCCCAAAACTTTTGTCAGTATATCTGAAATGACTAGGTTCACTTTTTTAGCTAGCTAGCTTAAAGCAGATCTGTAATAATATCTGAAGGTATCATACGATTCAGTTGTTAAAAACAAGCCAATCATACTTACATTTGAGACTTTATATCTCTTAACGTTAACAAGCCATCCGCTCCCAGCTGTGTGCGTCACTTTTTAGTGTCCCCGTTCCCGTTGTGTTTAAGCTTCTTGCAGCGTTTTGTTTATGCAGTGCTTTTAGTAAACGCATCTTTCGTCAGGTTGGTGAATGTTTTTTAGATGCTTTGCATGTGTTGGTGCAGTCGGGGAAGATGTTTCTTCATTTGCATGTGTTTTGGTGCATTTGAGTTGTTTTAATTGAATCTCTTCTGAAGCTGCTGTGCGTTTCTCCTCATGGGAGTGTTTTTGGCCAGTGTAACGGGTTTGCACCTGTCGGCCACATTTAAGACAGATATCCATCGAACAATCTTTATTTATCTCACCTCTTTTTCCTCTCTACTTCACCCCCCCATGTAGGGTGTCTCCATGTTTGGACATGCAATGATCACATTGTATTTGCAGTGTAGTTATTTACCATGACTTCTACATCTGGAGTAAATGCACTAGTTGATGTTTCTTCTGCTGCACGTCCAGTCTGATGAACTCATAATTACAACACAGTATGCAGCTCCTAGTTCTGACTGTCTTCTTCAGAATAAATGTGCTCATGCATAATACAATCACCGTTCAGCACTTTCAGAGGCATTAAGCGTTTTTATTATAAGATTATAATGAGTGAGGCATGGAATGCAATGAAGCTCCACTCCCTGATTTAAGGATGATGTCCTTCCCTGAATCGATACTGTTCCGTTCTCAGGGTAACACCATCCCAGGCATCCTGAAGTTCCACGGCGTGATCACCACCTTCGAGATGATCATGGCCGACTGTCCGGACCTGAAGAAGCTGCACTGGCGCTGCGTGGTGATCGACGAGGCCCACCGGCTGAAGAACAGGAACTGCAAGCTGCTGGAGGGACTCAAGCTCATGAACCTGGTGTGTGTGTGTGTGTGTGTGTGTGTGTGTGTGTGTGTGTGTGTGTGTGTGTGTGTGTGTGTGTGTGTGTGTGTGTGTGTGTGTGTGTGTGTGTGTGTGTGTGTGTGTGTGTGTGTGTGTGTGTGTGTGGGTGTGTGTGTGTACCAATCTGTTCAAATCACAAATCATAACCTCGAAAGAATATTGTCTATAATCTGCATTTAATGTCTATTTAAGGTTGTGTGTGTTATATTTATTTTGTTGTTTTTAATGATTTTTAAATTAATCAACCTATACATGCAGCGTCTATGAGTACCTAAAAAAGTGATCTATAAATGAAATGTATTATTACTTTTTTTTATATATTATTGTTTCTTTATTTTATGTTATGCCACTCTTAACCATGTAGGGGTGTGACCAAAAATGGAATTCGATTAGTTAAGATATACATATTAACTTTATCAATATTATCTACACAAAATGAAAAATACAGAATAAGTTAGAATATTTATAATTCAGACCAATCTTATACTAAGAGAACATATATGAACATAAGATGCTATACACTATACAGAAGTGTGTTGCAGTGTGCCAGGCTCTCATACAGGCACTCTTCTCCTGTGTCTAATCGTCGATCTCTTTTATTTTCTCTCTTCTGAAGGACCTCTTGGGATACCGTTTCAGTTCAGTTTGAATAAATGTCATGACGAGCAGCATGTTCTGAGATGTAGTGTTTGTGTTGAAGATAACGCTGTCATGGTTCTCACAGGAACAAAAGGTTCTGCTGACAGGAACCCCTCTGCAGAACTCGGTGGAGGAGCTGTTCAGTTTGTTGAATTTCCTGGAGCCACTGCAGTTTCCCTCAGAAAGCACCTTCATGGAAGAGTTCGGAAACCTCAAAACAGACGAGCAGGTGTGTTGAGAACAAATGTTTTAATCTTGGTACAAAACATCGTAGACTTCAACCAGAGGCCTATACTACGAAGCAGGATTTTCGCTTAGCCGGCTAACTTCAGGGAAAACTCTGGGTTTCCGGTCCTACGAAGCTGGTTCTCTTTTTAGCAGGCTAGATCTCCATGGTAACTTATGCTGTGCGGCTAACCTGGTCGGGACCAGGTTAGGTTGCAGGCTAAGAGCTCAACTCAGTGAAAGCACTGCCTGCTGACCAATCAGAGCTCAGTGTGCGGAGTTTAAAGCGATCAAGTCATATTACAGGAGAAAGGAAATACAGTTTAAACTGCCGTTGCAGGAAAGACGGCCGGCAAAAATCACCGACTGTGAACGTGAAAATGAATAGAATATCACCTCTCGGGTTGCCAACCGTCCCGTATTAGCCGGGACGCCCCGTATTTGAGCCAAAAGGGGCGTGTCCCATACGGGACTTTGTTTGTCCCGGACTAAAGCGAAAAATAAAAAACATTTTTCTGTTTGCGCGCAATGCAGTGTGTCTGGCTGCGTGCCTGTGTGTTTGTGTGCTGTATGGGAAGGGCGCTAGGACCGCAGCATCATTGTTTGTGTGGCATGTCAGCCTGTTCAGTCGTGTGGGAAAATGAGCGCTGCCGGTGGAGGAGGTGATAATGAAAGAGGAGAAAAGAGAGAGAGGATGTGGTTCTGGGCCCTGGCCCTTCTAAAAAGAAAAGACTTGTGTCTTACAACAAACAGTGGGAAGAAAAACACATTTGGGTAAAGCCTGTGAGTGGAGATCTGTCTCGGGTCTTGTGTGTGTGTGTGTGTGTGTGTGTGTGTCTGTGTGTGTGTGTGTGTGTGTGTGTGTGTGTGTGTGTGTGTGTGTGTGTGTGTGTGTGTGTGTGTGTGTGTGTGTCAGCTGATTGATGGGAAAATGCTGAGAAAATGGTTGGTGCAAGGCAAGTTTATTTATATAGCACTTTTCAACACAAGGCAATTCAAAGTGCTTTACAAAAAATGAAAGACATTAAGAAAATGGCATTTAAAATCAGTCATTAAAAAGAAAAGCTAATAAAATAAGCATTAAAAGAAAAAATACATGGATAAAAGTTACAGTGCAGTCTAAGATATGAATAGTTCAATTAAAAGCAGCGGCAAAAAGAAAAGTCTTCAGCCTGGATTTAAAAGTAGTCAGAGTTGCAGCGGACCTGCAGGTTTCTGGGAGTTTGTTCCAGATATTTGGAGCATAATAACTGAACGCTGCTTTACCATGTTTAGTTCTGAAGGATAACATTAAGTCTAATAATGATGTACCGTGCATGTTCACATCATGTATACTTTGCATTACTTAATACCATTTTTCAAATATTTTATTTTTTAACATTTTGGACAAAATAGCCAATTGTACATCGAGGTGCCCAGATGTCCCTAGTGCCCACATATCCGATTTGAACATGCTGATGTACAATGTGATGTCGTAGCCTAATGCAGGTGTAAGACCATTGTGTTTGTATTGTGTTATAGGTATGCATAGTTTTCTATGCATTTTGAGGGTTTTGGGGGGTTTGACCCCCAAAAACATTTTCAAACCCTAGGGGCTGGCTCCCCCAAAATAATTAAATAACATAACCCTAACCTAACCCTAACCCTAAAACCGAAATAAAGTAACAAAAAAAAGTAACTAAATCCGCCAGAAACCCAAAAATGTTCGCGCGCACACGCGCGGGGGACACATGCATATGTCCCGTTTCTCCATTTCTGGAAGTTGGCAACCCTAATCACCTTCCATCTTCAGAGCAATCTGACTATTATAACATTAGCGTTAAGAAAGCTTACTTAAAGGGGACCTATCATGGAAAATGCACTTTTGTACGTCTTTTAAAAACGGGGCTGCAACGGATCTGATACAGACTGATCCAGATTTGAACACGGTCCTGACGTCAGGACGGTGGTGCTACGGCTATTGGTTAATTCTCCGCCTATCAGGGGAATGAGAGGTTGGGCCACGGCCGGCCATTGCTGCTCGAAAGCGCTGGAGATGCTGTAGTACATATGCCAGGCCTGTAAGTGGCGCTGTAGTCTGCCACAAAAGCAGCGAAGAAGACTTCCGTTGCCATGGTTGCCCTTGTTTATTCTCCGCTGTGGCTCTTTTTCTCCCTCCCCGAGGCAAGCGTTTGCGCCTCCTGCTTTAAAACAAATGAATAATGACTCTATATAATCATATGTAAGGGATAATGTGCAGCGACGCGGTATTTTCCCCATAATGACCGCGTTACTGCACATTATCCCGCTTGTTACATGGCCACATTCTCAACAAAGTAACGACATGACTCCCAATATTAATTGAAATGCTTTTATGGATTTAGAAAATGATTTTATTGATTTAAAAAATAGTTGTATTGATTTAAATTGACATGCATCCGCTAAGAAAAATAGTCCGTTGTTACCGTTTGAACTAACGTAGCAACGGCAGGAACTGCTTCGATAGTGTTTTTGAGGAGCTTTTTGATTACAGATTTGCAAACATCGTTGCTTGCCTTAAAAGTAGCACAATTCATTATGTCAAACCTTGGAAAGTATCTAGATATCCCTGCCCTAATGCCAAAGTAACTGCCAACTCCCCTCTCCTGCAGGGGGGCGTGGTCAGCTGCAGCTCACAGAATCAGCCCCCTGCAAAAACAGGGCTGGAAAGAGCAAATAGAGCGAAATGAGGCATGGCTAAAATGCAGGATCTGTTTGGTATTTTGAAAAAAAATAAAATATTTATATACTTTATATAGGTATGGCCCTACAATATATTGTTCAAATATAGCATGATAGGTCCACTTTAAATATCTGCCACAACATAAGTAACCGGATCAAAGTAACATTACGTACAGTCCACGGCAGTGTGAGTGCAGACGTCGATGTGTCCCATTATCATTCATATCACATATCACATCATAATGTATCATATATCTCCTTATCTGAGTCAGCTGAGCCGTATCTGGCCGTGCAACACTCACAGTGTCACATACTGTATGCAGAAGTATTATTTTAAGCAACACATTAAGTTGACGAAACACTCGAGTCAAATGCAATTATAGTCAGATCCACTCGTGTCTTAGACGGGGCAGTGATATCATAAACCTGTTAATGTACGCATTCAAACACTTTTTCTTTTACCAGCTGTATTCACCTTGCAGGTGCAGCTATGTGGCTTTGATCCTGGATCAAGTGTTTAAGTCATGGATGTTTAAAGTTTAACTTCTTCATATTTGACTAATATTAAAGTTCACTTTTCATTCAGGAAGTATGACGCTGCGCTGTCAGTACACTTCTTCATGTTTGTGATTGGTCGAATGCTCCAAATACCACCCCTTTCATGTGAACGCGCACCTAACTAGATAGGACACGGCTGGCTTGAGCGATCCACTTGATAACCCGCGTCGTAGTACAGTTTAGCGAGAGCGCGTATGTTTTGGATTAGGCCAACCGGCTAACTCAAACATATCCAGGTTATGTTGAACCGGCTTCGTTGTACAGGCCTCTGGACTCAGTGAAGAGCAGTGTTGTTTGTGTTGAATGTAAATGCATCCACAAATTGCTTCCTTTCCAGCGGTTCTGCGTGTTTAGGTTTTTTAGAAACAGACTACAATTTTGTATCCGGGGGGGAATAAGGTTTGTGATATGTGCTTCATTTAGAAGTTAAGTGAAGAAAGTAAAAAATGGGCCAAAAAGATAGAATACAAAATGATAAAACACAAGTAAAAGTAAAAATGTGCAATAAAAGATATAATGAAATAAAAATAACAATATTATGTTAGGATAAGAAGTTTGCACATTTGTACAATATACACTAACTACAAATATATTAAAAGGTGTATAGGCAGTGTATTAGTAATGAAAGTTATATATGTAGAACTGCACAGTTCAAGAAGGTTGAATTACGCCCTGTGGACATAAAGTAGAAGCAATATGCTTTTCTTTGAAGAACAAACCTTATCATTTGCATTTTCATCATATACACACCTCCTCCTGTGTTCCTCTCGACAGGTGAAAAAGCTGCAGGCCATTTTGAAGCCCATGATGTTGAGGAGACTGAAGGACGACGTGGAGAAGAACCTGGCGCCTAAAGAAGAGACCATCATAGAGGTGGGCTTCCCTGAGTCATCAATATGAATATGTCTGCATTAGGGATGCCAGTGATTATTCGATTATTCGAATATTCGTTACAGTCTCCATAATCGAATATTATTTTTAAAAATCGATTTTATTTATATATTTTTTTATTATTATTTATGTTTTTTTTTTTCTGGCTTAGTTTCAACCAAAATATAGATTAATGCTAATAATAGTAATAGTATTAATAATTGTAAATGGCCATTGGTCACACCACCAGTTTGTTTTACTGTAAACTTGGAGAAAGCCTGCGTGCAGAGCAGACTGCTGCTGCAGCACGCTACACACCCCCCCCCCCCGCCCCCACCCCCCCTCTCCCTCACACGTGCGACTAAAGATGAACAAAGCGGCAGGTAAAAAGAGTTCCTCCTCGTGGAACTACTTCGAACTTACAAGTCCAAAAGAAGTTAAATGCAAGCTCTGCGAAAAGACGTTGGTCTATCACAGCTCAACCTCAACAATGCGTTCGCATTTGAGTGCGAAGCACGCCAAAGAGGTTACAGAGAAAGACGCAGCACAGCCGGCCATTACCAACTTCACTTCAAGGCCACGTCGTTGTGATGACATGCTTGCATGTTTGTTGTTTGTACTGTTAAACATGTTCCAGTAAAAAAGAAAACAACGGAATTCCTTTTGTCTGAGTTTTTTTTTTCTCTCTCCCGCGGGTGGGGGGGGGGGGGGGGTCAGTCGAATAATCGATTATTATTCGCCAGGGCTGCCGAATAATCGATTTTGATCATGGTCAGTTTCTGGCAACCCTAGTCTGCATCTCAAGTGGTACATACAATGAATTCATAATATATTGATTATTTCCCTCCTTTTGTGGATGTGCAGGTGGAGCTGACCAACATTCAGAAGAAATATTACCGCGCCATCTTGGAGAAAAACTTCTCCTTCCTGTCCAAAGGAGCAAACCAGCACAACATGCCCAACCTCATTAACACCATGATGGAGCTCCGCAAGTGCTGCAACCACCCCTACCTTATCACAGGTGAACACACACACACACACACACACACACACACACACACACACACACACACACACACACACACACACACACACACACACACACACACACACACACACACACACATTTGTTGAATGCTGAGATCGCACTCTTTCGTCCTCAAAATAAATATCAGTGCCCTCTTATTCTTCCCTGGTTGTAAGTGCAACTCTTTAATGACACCACAGCTATAATTAGAAATGAATGAACATTCTATAATTACACTGCACTTTGATACAGCAATATGTTTTCCACCAAAAAGCAGTCATAATAAACAGAGTAAGAAACTGTGATCAGAATCAAAAATCCTTCATCTGTTCCGCAGCCGGAACATTTACATTGTTCCAGCAAAGAATACAGTGCAGGTAAAGGCAAAATAAAAGAGTAGGCAAACACATCAAATGAAGAGGAAAGCACACAATAATAACATCAAATAAAAAATTTAAAGGATTGGGGATACTAGGAGGATCACAATGTTCCTAAAAAACTCAAACGGAGCATTTCCTCTCAGCTCAGATTTCATTTCTGCTTTTGTAAACTGTAGTATAGATGAGAGTAACAAATGCGTCACTTCTGGGCAAAAAGTACGGCTCCGCCCACTTTTGAGGTAAAACAACGCTGTCATTTGAATGGCGGTCAATACAAATTCTGAAGTTTTTGCCAATCCGAAAGAAATTTAAGAAAACCGTGGATTTTTGGATCTTCAAAGAGCCCCATTACAATGACCAGACAGGCAAACAATTACATGAAATCATTGGAAATCAACGAGCGGGCTCGATATATGGTTAAATATAGCAGTAGGCTATCGATGTCCATAGATGAGAGGAAGAGTAACATCTACGTCACTTTACGGCCCCGTCCACTTTTGGATGAAACCAACGCTGTCATTTGAATGGCGATCAAGCCTGAAGCCACAGAGCTCTTCTTTTACTGTCCTTGTTTCTCAGAGGAAGTACAGAAACACTGAACCCTGGATTTGTTTTAATGTTTGAGGTGCAATAAACCAGGGGTTCCCAAACTTTTCAGCCCGCGACCCCCAAAATAACAGTGCCAGAGACTCGCGACCCCCTGTCAACAGGGGGGGGGGGGGGGGATTGATTTAAGTTTTCCGCACTCTCGCGGGAATATCTCCGCAATCGAGCGAGCTTAAGTTTCTATTTCGATTTCATGATATAGCCCAGCACAACACCTTCGTCAAACATGTTGCCACTTGTTTGTACCATTTTCAGGCGATTTGTAATCTGTTCTAGAAAAACAATGTGTTTTTTTTGGATTTCAAGAAGCACATAGAACAAATGGATGTATTTTATGAACATTTATTCATGCTGAAAGTAGCTTTAGATGTGTTAGGAGTGAGATATAGATAATTATCTAATATATGTATCCAATGAAGCATTGCATAAAGTCAGTTGATGATCAGAGGCTGTTGTTGGGGCTGCATAAACATTTTTATTTTTGTAGGCAGACCATACAGGCCTCAGAGAGTTAAACTTGGGCCTGCGACCATAGTTTTACTGTATTTTGTTTTGAAAATCCACAGCGGAGGTTTGTGTCGTACTACATGTGGTGTATTTTTCATATCTCTCAGTAGCCAACGATCTGTGAGTCTGTTGGACATAAACTCCGTAATAAATGTAGTCTACATTTCATAAGAGGTGTAAAACCTGTGAGCATTTTATATCGCATTTGAACTAAATGCTTATATAATCTGTAGTTATATTTGATTTATTGTGTGAACGAGGCGATATAGAGAAGGTTAAGCTGTCATTATTAGGCTGTAATTTGTTATATACTGTTGGAGTGGTGAACAGGCCTATTGTTTTTGGATATGTGTGGAGTCAGGTGGTCCGTGAGTGTTTTTTTATTGGTTAAGTTGTCCTTGGTATGAAAAAGTTTGAGAAACACTGCGCTAGTGGATTGTCAAAGGGGGAGCCTCGTTGCAGGGAAATTAAACAGATGGCTAGTCCGTCCCTGAAAAATGTCTATGCACACGTTATTATTAATAATAATAATTACCAAAAAATGTATACAAAAAATTATTATAATTGTTTTAATTTTCAATTTTTATTTTGTAATCATCTTGCGCCCCCCACTCGGGGTCTCGCGACCGAACCCCTGCAATAAACGACACAGCAGCTTTTTGGCATGATAAAACTAATTTTCCGCCTCGCTTATGAGAGTAACAGCTGGAGAAATTACAGCCTCGCCTACCGAATTTAATTTAACCATATATCAAGACCGATTGTCGATTTCAAATGATTTAATGTAATTGTTTGCCTGACATCGTAATGGGGCTCTTTGAAGATCCAAAAATCCACTGTTTTCAAATATTTCTGATCGGATTGGCAAAAACTTCAGAATTTGTATTGACCGCCATTCAAATGACAGCGTTGTTTTCCCCCAAAAGTGGGCGGGGCCGTAATTTTTGCCCGGAAGTGACGTAGGTGTTACTCTCATCTATGTGCTCATGTGTTTCATTGTTGGGGAATAGCCTACTGCCTGAATATGCTTACAGTAATGAAAATCCTTTTTGATACTAAATATCTTGGTTTCTTCTTTTTTAAGGCTGTTCTGTTGTCTTACATAATACACTTAAGTAAAAAACATCTTATTGATATTTTTTTTCTCTTGTATTTATCTGCATTGTATTTGATTTTGAGGTTACTTTTACCCCCTCACCATTCTGTTCTTCCTTCCAGGAGCGGAGGAGAAGATTCTGGATGGCTTCAGGAGGTACCACAGCCCTGACGCGCTGGACTTCCAGCTGCAGGCCATGATCCAGGCAGCCGGGAAGCTGGTGCTGATCGACAAGCTGCTGCCCAAACTGCTGGCCGGGGGACACAAGGTGCTCGTCTTCTCCCAGATGGTGCGCTGCCTGGACATCATGGAGGACTACCTCATACAGAGACGGTGAGGGGGGGAGCGGTGGAAGACGCAGGGTGGATATGTGGGAGAGATGAACCACAGATGAATGGAAAGATGCATTTATTTTACAACCAATTCAATAGTTATACAAACAATGTACAAGAAAATAAAGTTATATCAAGCAGGAGGGCAGAAAACATTACTTATGAAGAAGTGCCCCCTGAGCGATATTCAATACATTTTACAGCAAAATCACTATGAACTTTATGATGAACAAGATCCATACTGTACAAAGATACCCCAAAAAGCATAATAGGGAATCTTTAAAATATATGTACAGTATGTAACCTGCTACAAAATATTCTTAAAATGGTATTTGAGTATTCTTGAGAGATTTAGGTTCAGACCATTCCATAATTGAACACTGATTATCGATTAGCTTTGTGATGTAATGGTAGTTCTACAGAGCTTTGTTGTTTGGCCTGGTTGGGTACCTGCTGACATCAGTTTGGATGTTTTTTGCATCACCCAAAATGTCAGGAGATTTTAATATATTTAGTTTCTTTGTTAACCTTGACATTATCAACAACAACTGTTCTACATGTTTCCTGCAGCTACACGTACGAGCGCATCGACGGGCGCGTGCGAGGGAACCTTCGGCAGGCGGCCATCGACAGGTTCTGCAAGCCGGACTCGGACCGCTTCGTGTTCCTACTGTGCACCAGGGCGGGGGGGCTGGGGATCAACCTCACCGCTGCTGACACCTGCATCATCTTCGACTCTGACTGGAACCCCCAGAACGACCTGCAGGTGGGGGGGGGGGGGGGGCACAGAGTCACACTACACACAGGGGGCGGGGTCCATGCAAGAGTCCAGAGTTGCTGCTTTATGAGCCGTTTAATATTTAGTGGCATGTATTATTCCTTTTGAGACTGAAATACTGTATAGGACAAAATGCATACTTCAAAGAAATATTCTGCTGCTAAAAATGAAGTAAGCACACAGTGTCACCTGTCAGTATGAATCTGTCACAGTTTTGATGCAATGGCTGTTTCAATTTCTAGTCAAGTGTATTCCTCTCAGTGACATTTCCCTAAATGATTGAGACTGCTCTTTGTTGGCAGAAAGATTTGTTCTCCTCCGCAACCAATTAGTATGTAGAGAACTATTGGATTGAATGGGCTCTATGTGTAGCCTAATAACTCAAATCAGTTACTCTTATTAGACTCTTTCTGCTTACATTTTGAAAACGGGGGGTTACAATGGTATTAAAACATTGTAACCCTATTAATGTAGGCTCACACTACATGCATTCATTAATAGATTCGAAAGATTGCACAAAACCCTCAATACGTCTAGTAGCAAGGACATTTATAAAGCATCAGTATTATACGTTATACATATATATTATGTTATATTTCATATCTTTACTCTGATCCGCTCCATGCCAGGCCCAGGCACGCTGCCACCGGATTGGCCAGAGCAAAGCGGTGAAAGTTTACCGACTGATCACCAGGAACTCGTACGAGAGGGAGATGTTCGACAAGGCCAGTCTGAAGCTGGGCCTGGACAAAGCCGTGCTGCAGGACATCAACCGCAAGGGCAGCGTCAACGGGGTGAGGGACTATCAGCCGATATCAGGGGTCACATTTTCAAGCCCATTTCAAAACCAGTGTTATTATTGGCATCAGTAGATCGTTTTCCCCTGCAATGACTGCCTTGACAGACAAATGTGAACAATACAACGTTTTTTAAAGTTTTTTTTAATCGTGTTCATTTTCTTCTATGGAAAAGTCAAAAAGACTGAGCACAATATTTTATATATCGGTTCTGAAAAAACCCTGTACAGAGAATTGCTCCGTGAATGACGTTAAAGTTATGACGGATTCCCCCTTTCTCTCCTCACGAAGACTTTGCCTCCTGTCTGCTCATCATTGAAAATAAGAATTTGTTCTTAATTGATTTTCCTGGCTAAATAAAGGTTCTACTACTTTCTACCTTTTGTACCGATTGCAGCGTGAACATCGGCTGATGTCAGGCTGATGCATCTGGGCATAAATATTAGATATTGCAAGATATTGGGTGTTTTCTCCAGGATGTCCCTTTAGATACTTTACACCTGGTCGATTCTCATTGTGTGGCTGACTCTTGCTGCAGGTGCAGCAGCTTTCAAAGCTGGAAGTTGAAGATTTGTTAAAAAAAGGAGCATACGGAGCGCTGATGGACGACGAAGACGAGGGCTCCAAGTTCTGCGAGGAAGACATCGATCAGATTCTTCAGAGGCGAACTCAGACCATCACCATCGAGACTGAAGGGAAAGGGTCCACCTTCGCTAAGGTAGAATGATGACATCATCTGTTCACAAAGCTCTAAAGTTATTGTTGTGTTGTATACATTTGAAGTGTGTTGTTTTTATTTAGCATGTACAGTGCCTTTTGAGTAGCATGAAAAGCACTTTATAAATACAAATACATGTATATACAATATATTTACGTATACTGTCTGAAAGGTTTAGTTTTATAAAGTGTTGCTTAGTTTTTTCAAATCTTTTTCATCACTCTTTTATAATGTGCTATGTGTTGGATGGTGTACAGCATGGGTCGGCAACAGGCGGCCCGCGGGCCATTATTGGCCCGCCAGCAATAATATTTGGCCCGTAATTTTGAGAATCAAAAATAAAATATTATTTTGAGATTTAAAAAAAAAATGTTTTTAACAACATAGGACCGAGAGTCGCACATCAGGGTTTCCGTTAGCCGATAATCACCGGTTTTTATCTGGTAAAATTCATTAAAACCCGGTAAATTCAAAACCTGCTGGTCAAAATGTCTGGTAATAATTAAGGATGCTCCGATCGATCGGCCGCCGGTCATTATCGGCCGATATTCAGTGCTCTCTATAAAGGCCGATCAGCAGAGCAGGATCTGATCGATATGGACATAAACGCGAGTGAAGTATAACCGGACCCGAGAGAGAGATCAGATCAGCTGCTGCATAATCACCTGAAGCCCCGCCCACTGTTTAGCGAGCTGCATGAGAAACTGACCTGCTGTCAGGAGAGAGGGAGGATCCGTTTCTCCCGTGTTATTATCCAAAGTTAATGTACACTTTTGAATAATGTACTTCATCTACTACAAGTAGTTTGTTTGAATGTAATAATTATGTTGTTTGTTTGTGGAATCATTTATTGAAAAATGAATCTGAACTTTTCGATCTGTAACGATTATAAACTGAAGCAATATTAACTGAGTTTTAAACATCAGCATATCTGCTCCTAGTCCAGTGATTACCTGCTAACGGAAACTTTGCTACACCATTCTTATTATTATTATTGAAACATGACCGGTAAGTTTCAAATTTGTCCGGTAAAATAAATTCTGTCCCGAAATATCCGCTTACATTCATAATGTCAGCGGAGGGAGGGGATGCGGCGCTGTGGAAGAGCAGAGTGGCGAGGGAGAGCTGTCATCGTCCCTTTACAAGCTGCAAACATATATTTATCGTGTGATTTTGGAAATAAAAGTTTCATATTCTGAAAGCCAAGACTTTGTTTATTTAAAATCAAACAAAACACCCGAACCCTGAAAAACTACGCAAATCCACGTTTATTTTTAAATGAGCCGTTGCGACTTCCGACTGATTTCGATAGAGCGGGTCACATATGGCAAATGTGTGGTTGTGGGGAACCAGGTCAATTAAAGTACTTATTTAACTATTAAATACATTGAGTTTGAGTAAAATACTTGGTTACTGATTAATTTAGGTTATAATATATTAAATTGCAAAGCAAAACTGCTGTAATTGATTTATTTTGTCCTTTGGTATTTTTTATAGGTTTTCAACCTGAAAGAATCCTAATGTGTCCTTGAAAAGTTGAAATAAAGAAAAGGAACAAGGATTCCAGTTGCCCCTCAAGCCTCTCAAATGTGGGCAAACACTCAAATAAATGCCAAAAACCCAGAGAACTTGACAATACTTATCAGAATAAAATGTTAAATAACACTGCTAGTTAATAACTCTACTTTACTCAGTGGAGGCTCGTCCATTGAGGAAAGGGAGGACCATCCTCCCTAACATTTCAGAGAAACATTTACTTTGAAGGGAACAATAAATACACCTCAATTTAAAAGATAAGTCTGTTAAAATACAGATAATAGCCCTGGCTTTGGGACTGAAATGGGGCTAGAGAGGACGAGCCTCCCTTTGGGCGGGTCTAGCCAGAGGCTCTGGATTGGGCGCCTATATCATCAGTGAACCAATCAGCGGATCTGACTGCGCATCAGAGTGTTGATGGGGAGGGTTATCAGCGATATCAAGAGTTTTTTCTGAACTGGGGAACAGGGGCGCTGTGCGATCTTACCAAAATCAATTCCTTGAATTAGGCTTTGATTATGTTCTGGCCCGCCATCTTGTGGCTCAGCAAAAACTTGGCCCAAGGCCAAATTTACTTGCCTACCCCTGGTGTACAGTATATCCTAAATCATTTTTGAGGCGATGGAATTGAATAATTTAAGGCCTTTCATTTTTACTAAGGGTAGTTTTCTTGGCTTAATATGGTGGTTATTTTGTCCCACGGTCTAAATGTTGTTCCTGAGGCTTTTTGCAGGAAATGCTTAACATCAACCAGAGTCTGACTTCTGTTATTCTTCCCTCAGGCCAGCTTTGTCTCCTCTGGTAACAGAACGGACATCTCTCTGGACGACCCCAACTTCTGGCAGAAATGGGCCAAGATCGCTGAGGTGGAGATGGACTCCAAATCAGAGAAGGTACAGAGAGAAGAAGAGAAGGAGAGAAGAAGAGAACGGATGTAAAACAGGAAACAGGAGAGGAGGGAAGAAACACAAAGAAGGAAAGGATCTTCAAAGAAAAGGGACAGAAAAGGAAAGCACAAGAAGAAATCAGGGGAAATGTGAGCGGAGTGACAGAAAGAAAGGTGGATGCTGAAGGTGAAGCAGGAAAAGAGTGAACAGTAACCATTCAACAGGAGATATTCGTGGATCGTGCAAAAGTAAGAAGAAGGTAGTAGTGGGAGAGGAGGAGTACTGGGGGAATGGGTGGAGAAAGCAACATAGGGAGCAATACAAGGCTCAAAGAGAACATACATGTGATCCAAGTTAGAACACACCAAGATGGAGGGATGTGGAAGCTAGACCAAGCTCATAACTGGGGAATAGTCAAGAAAAGATGATAAAGGAATTCTGGTTTTCCTTTCATTCTGGCTTTTCTCTCCTCTCATCTGCGCTACCCTCCTTTCCTTTACTCCTCTCTGTTACTTTTATACTTCTTGATCTTCCCTTTCTCTCTTTTCGTTCTTTTGTTTTCCTCATCTCCTTTCTCCTTCCTCTCAACTACTCTCCTTTTCTCTCCTCTCCAATTCTTCTTCATCTCTTCCCCTATCATTTTTTCTTCTCCTCTCCTCTCCTTTCCTCTTCACTCTTCCTCCCCTCTCATGTCCTCTCCTTCCCCTCATAACAGATGGACTTCCTTAATGAATGAAGCAGATTGCACACAAAGCACTGCTTCTGTCCCCATACCTGAATGTGTGTGTGTGTGTGTGTGTGTGTGTGTGTGTGTGTGTGTGTGTGTGTGTGTGTGTGTGTGTGTGTGTGTGTGTGTGTGTGTGATGACACGTGTCTTGAATCTCTAATAAGTGACAGTTGTGTGTTGAAGTGTCGTGTCTCTGGTGTTCCTCTCTTATAAACACTGCATACAGGATGAAACCCTCCTCAGATCTCCCCTCATCTGGTTCCTCTAAAGTTTCCTTTATACTTCCTTCTCTCTCTCCCAGGAGTCCTTGGTGATCGACACCCCCCGGGTGAGGAAGCAGACCCGTCACTACAACTCCTTCGAGGATGACGAGCTGATGGAGTTCTCGGAGCTGGACAGCGACTCGGAGGAGCGTCCGTGTCGGACTCGTCGTCTTGGAGAGCGCGCCCGCCGCTACCTCCGGGCGGAGTGCTTCAGGGTGGAGAAGAACCTGCTGATCTTCGGGTATAATTCATCTGTGGCTGCAGTTTAAAGAGGCCCTTTCATGCTTTTGGGGGTTTTCCCTTTCGTGCAAATTGCCCAACATATTATGCAAGTTACCATCCGGCAGTTTCTATGTGCTGGGGACTATACAGTACATGTCTAACATAGACCTTTGCTGTACTCAGCATTTATGGGTTCACACAACCAGACTCTATGAGCTGGCAACTAGACTATAAGCACAACAAACAACTCATCTCAACTGAAATGTTCAATCTTTGTGAAGCCAAATATGAAATTGATCTTCAAATAATTACTTGATAATTAATAACACACAACAAATTATAAAACTCATTCTTAGCAAATGTATGCCCTGATCTTAATTCAAATGTATCATTCCTGTGCTTTCAGACATATTCATTTCCAAGACAATGTAGTGAAATACATAATAATAAGTGCCTCTTTTTCATTTCCCTCTAAACAATATGAACACACACATCTTACAGACTTAAACCTCAGTGATGCTCAGTCCAATAAAAAGGTTCTTGTGAGTTTATATATCTATGTTTACACCGGGGTTCCGTTGTGGGCTAAAGAGTGAACATAAGTACATCAGAGCAAACTTCAAAGATGCTGAATTGAAGAGAAAATGAATGTACACTCTTTTTGTTTTATGTGACAAATGAAAATGTATTTACTGTATCTATTGCTACTATTTTGTCTCTCAGTTTATTTTTTACTTAGCTCTACATTCTTTACTGTGTGTTTCAGATGGGGACGATGGAAGGACATTCTTAACCACGGTCGCTTTAAATGGCATCTGGCAGAGGGAGACATGGAGGTGATCTGCAGGTAAGGGAAACATCCTTTTCATATTATTTGACTCTACATTCTGAAATGTTTACCAGGGGTAAAACAGTGAAAAGTCAAACTAGAACATCCCAGGGTTAGAGCTGTCATGCGAGTACAGGGTAGGTACTTTAAACATGTATTAAGTTAGAATTACTGAAAATGTCAGTAACCTAATTTTGGCATCACAAAATAAAATGAATCTAACACGATTACTTTGTCTTTCTTCTGGATCACCTCAATATCAAATGAACTGTAAATACAAGAGAAAATAAATATTGATAAGATGTTTTTTACTAAGTGTATTACAGTATGTAACACAACAGAACAATGTAACCTCAGAAACATGGAAATATTCAAACTAATATATGTTTGTTTTGCAGGGCTCTGCTGGTGTACTGCCTGAGACACTACAAAGGTGATGACAAGATCAAGAGCTTCATCTGGGACCTGATCACCCCCACCAAGGAGGGCCAGGACGAGGCGCTGCTCAATCACTCCGGTTAGCATTTCACCGTTAGCATGCAATGTAACGTTAGCCTAAGGCCTTATACTCCACTACCTCTGTTTAAAGAGCACTGCACACATTTAGTATTGCACTCTTACAGTATAACACACACTAGACAGATTGACGGCCCCTACATACAGCGGCGTGCGTTGTCGCTTGCCGGCGGGGGGGGCTGAAACTCGACCAACAACCAATCACATGAATCTCCCGCCCCAGACACACAAGCACGCGGTTTGATTGGCTAGAGCTTGTACTGGCATATGATTCGATTGGCTAACGCCTCCGTCGAGGCGTCAAAAGTAGAACATTGCTCTACTTTTGCAGCGAGCACCGCGAGAGAAGCTACGCTTTGCTCCCACAATGCAGTTTGACGAATCGTGACGACACCCCATTCAAAGTGAATGGGCAGAAGCGTTGAAGCGGCAACGCACGCCGCTGTGTGTATGGGCGTGAAAGGGAAACACATGTATTCAGCAGAACCAGACTTTAATGTTTAAAATTGGTTACTCCTTAAAAATTATATTTTTATCATAATACTTCATCATTTCCGGTCACTCATATACTTTTTGCACTATACTATAATTTCCATAGTTGTAATAAATAATAATCTTTCTGTACTGCGTATTCCTTTCACTTTCCAGGGGTATAGGCTGAGTTTATACCAGTGTTGGGACAAACGCGTTACTGTAACGCCGTTATTTTTTGTAGTAACTAGTACTCTAACGCATTACTTTTTAAATTCAGTAACGCAGTTACCGTTACTACATGGTGCGTTACTCCGTTACTAGTTTTTTTATATAGTCAACAGCCAGGCGAACAGAGATGAGAACTGTACTTAAGTACAGTACTTGAGTAAATGTACTTAGATACTTCCTGTGTCACATGCGGAGACGGGCTGTGGGCGTGTTTGTGTTGTTTACTAACAAGACTATCATGGCGGCGGCGGAGCTCAAGTCTAGTTTCTCCACCTGGAGATATTCTCACTATTTCACTTTTGTCGAGCACAAAGAAAATAACGTTTTAGTTAAATGTAAGTTGTGTCCTGGCGGGTCAAAGATCCTATCTACTGCCCAAACCAGTCATTCAAATCTCTTAAAACATCTGCAAAAACAACATGCTGGGACGAAGCTAGTAGCTAAGACCACAGAGACTCAGCCGACGCCACTCCACCTCCACCTAAGCAACAGCGGCTGGATTTTAACCAAGGGACTGCTGGCCAGGGAAAAGTCGATAAAGCCATTGCACGGTATGTTGTAGAACACATGCAGGCTATTGCTACAGTGTTGTCACCCGCTTTCAGGGAGCTAGTTAGCATGATAGCATGTCCGGGCGGCACACGGCATATGGGACGGAAAACCTTTTCCAACTACCTGGAGAAAGAATATACAAAAATGGAAAGCCAGCTAATATCGATGCAATCCAGATTGCATATAATGCATGTCAAGTTGATCAACAGATTGTAGTATTCTCCAATGCAATAACAGTACTGAAATGAAGGCTATAAGGGCATTAATGGGAGCCCTTTTTGTAAGTAACTAAAACGTTACTTTTCACAGTAACTCATTATTTTTCGGTGTAAGTAATCAGTAAAGTAACTGAGTTACTTTTGAAATGAAGTAACTAGTAATGGTAACTAGTTACTGGTTTTCAGTAACTAGCACAACACTGGTTAAAACTCATTATAAAATGAAATGTTATGTTTTGTGATGGTTGATATAAAGCAATTTTGGTTTGTATGAGTGATTATAACTACAATTATAAATTGCTAGCAGATTATAATACATTATTAGAATGCTTATAATTCATTTTAGACATGGTTATCATAAAAATCAAATCTAACTGATTTTATATAGCAACAAAGTGATTGAAAAACAATAGAAAAAAACTGATACAACCCCAATAGTAACACATAACTTTGTGGTATTCTGACAGAAGTCAATAAACACATAATTCAATTAAACAAGAATAAAATAATAACATAAGAATCGATACATAAAATTAAAGTTGACCTATCTCTTTGAATCTCCCACTCTAATGGCGCATTTCCACTACAGCGCGGTTTAAGCGTTTTTGGTTGTGTTTCCACTAGGCGTAGTTTCGGCTAGCGGGTACTTTTTCACAGTTTTCTGGCTCTCCAAAATCGAGGTTATTTCCGGGCCAACAACCGGGCTGAGTATGCTAAACTAGTGAGAGAATCGCTGGCAACTACAACAAGATGAACATATTTGACCGTGATTTAATTGTAATACACGTTTCAAAATGATGCCGATGTAACAACATACTGATACCGGTTTATAAAAACCATGAATTAATGCTTTGACAAATCTGCAGACGAAAAACCCTTTTAAAATGCGTGTTTTCTGAATGGAGATCGGCTAAGCTAACGCAGTATATGCTCCGACTGTCCACACTCACAACAACGGCCTAGAGACATAAATAAACCAGCGACTGTATTCGCCATGACACAGGCAGTCTGTGGTTTGTACTTGTTTAACTTTTGTCTAGTTTCTGAACAGATATGAGGAGCTGTGAGCTCTGAGTGCTAAGCTAACGGCTGTGTTGGTTTTGTGTTTCGCATTGAAGATGACGTCACGGTTCCGCCTGCACTGCGTTACTATAGTTACTACCCCAGTTCCTAAACTGTAATGGAAGCGCAGCATAAAGTGAGCCTGGCCTAACACCCCCTTCCCCCCCTGTGTTCCAGGTTTATCGGCTCCAGTTCCTCGGGGGCGGAAGGGGAAGAAGCTGAAGATCCCGCTGAGCGTCCCTGAGCTGAAGAACGCTGACTGGCTGGTGCACTGCAACCCTGAGGTGGTGCTGCAGGACGAGAGCTACAAGAAGCACCTGAAACAGCACTGCAACAAGTCAGTGCACCCTCACTAACAGCAGTCTGTGTGTGTGTTGGACCCGTGTGCTGCCACAAGTTTAAAAGAGTTGTTTTGGTTGAGCTGCAGAACAACAGCTACTTGAAACATTACAGAAGACAGGAATATGAACTGTGCTGTGATTATTATTAGGGCTGCCCTCGACTAAAGATTTGTATTGTCAACCGCTAGTCGTAATTCGGTTGATGAGTCGACTAATCGTCACACGTGTATGATAAATTATGATTATTAATAATATTTATTTATGTATTTATTCTCAAAAATTGTTTACGTTTCAAAGGCTGATTACTATAACATTACTATAACTTTATTATAACAGCATGGTATGTTGTGCTTCACATAAAATAAAACTGTAATAATGAACCTTTGAAATATACATGAAATGTTACTTGTAGAAAGCACATTGCGGTCAGAATGATTATATTATAGGTCTGTATATGTTGATACAAAGCTATCCTGCTGAGGGGGCTCGTCTTTTACACGCTCAGAAGGATCCACACACTGGATTTTCTGCATGACCGGTTTTCCGGCTGACGCGTCAAAGTTTAGTTTGGACATTCAGCGGTCGGCACTTTCTTGATAACAGAATGCTTAGGACTTTCAGATCATGGACTATGTGCAGTCATATCAATCCGCAGAAATAAGTCCTGTCAATATAACGTCAGTAGTGGCAAGAGAAGGACATTTATTTTTATTTTAAGTTATGTAACTGTTACCGCATTAGAAGTGACTATTTTTTTCTTTTAGATTTTCACTAAAATGTCCGCCTTGCTGCACATGATCCCTTACCTCTCTCTCTCTCTCTCTCTCTCTCTCTCTCTCTCTCTGCAGGGTGCTACTGAGGGTGCGGATGTTGTACTACCTGAAGGTGGAGGTGTTGGGTGAAGCTGCCAATCAAGCACTAGAGGGGATACCTGCCAGGTATGGAGTAGAAACCATGTTCTTGAAGTTATAATTATTGGACTGTTTGAGCAGGTGGTCAGTTTAATTGTTGATAAACTGTCCTGCCACTTGATGCAAAATCTGGCAGGAAATGTACGTGATGATTAATTGAGGGAATAGCATGAACAAGGCACTTGTATGTACATAAGGATCTGATTTTTTTTTCTTTTTAGCCCTTAAATGTATCCTGTATGCTGTATCCTGTATGTTCCCCTGTATCCTGGGGAATACAGTCATTTGACAGGATGTGTCCAGGTGTAAAATGGGTGTAATATTGTTAAAGCATAGGGGTAATATGGGTATAATAACAGTCTAATATGCGTGTAATAATAGTGTAACATGGGTGTAATATAGGTGCAATAATGGTCAAATAGGGCTTTCATAGGGGTGTATTAATGTTACATGGGTGTTATAACTGTGTAATATGGGTGAAATAGCATTCAATAGATTCTGCAAGATATTTACATGTGAATGCCCATTCAAGAGTTAGAATAGCAATGGTTTAATGAATGAAAAGCCAAAGTCATTACTCCTTTAAAATAAATTAAAAGAAAACACTTGTAATGTAAACACATCTACTTTGTTTGTTTGTTTGTTTGTTTGTTTGTTTGTTTGTTTGCATTACCAGTACATTAAAAGGGGTGAGGAGGCTGAAGTGGTGGTGAGACCCTCAGTCAGAATCATTTGCCCCTGAGTGTTTGCTTGTGTCTTCAGTGAGCCTAACGGCCCGTCCACACTACAGCTTCACAAAAAGCTTGGAGCTGGGCGTGTCTGAAGCTCGACCAACAACCAATCACATGAATCTCCCGCCCCTGACACACAAGCAGCGGTTTGATTGGCTAGAGCTTGTACTGGCATATGATTTGATTGGCTGACGCTTCCACCGAAAGCTTCAGAAGCTTCAAAAGTTGAACATTGCTCAACTTTTGCAGCCTGAAACGCCAGGAAAGCTCCGCTCTGCTTCCCACAATGCAGTTCGGCGAAAATTGACGTCACCCCATTCAAAGTGAATGGGCAGAAGCGTTGGAAACCGTTTTTGAAGCTGTCGAAGCTGTAGTGTGGACGGGCCGTGAGAGTCCTGACAGCGGCAACTGACACGTGTGTGTGTGTGTGTGTGTGTGTGTGTGTGTGTGTGTGTGTGTGTGTGTGTGTGTGTGTGTGTGTGTGTGTGTGTGTGTGTGTGTGTGTGTGTGTGTGTGTGTGTGTGTGTGTGTGTGTGTGTGTGTGTGTGTGTGTGTGTGTGTGTGTGTGTGTGTGTGTGTGTGTGTGTGTGTGTGTGTGTTGACAGTAAACTGGAGGTGTCACTCCCTGACATCGACTACATAGAGATTCCAGCCTCGTGGTGGGATACAGACGCCGACAAGTCTCTGCTCATTGGAGTCCACAAACACGGTGAGCTGTCAAACTGCACCTTGGTATCTATGAGCGTTCACCTGAGCACAGTCACTTTAGTTCTCATACTCTCAGGTTGCTTCACCTTTTAGCAGTGTGTATGACCCAACACTATCCTTTGCATAAATATGAACCATTGTTGGTGTGTGTGTGAACATGTTTTTCACTGTGTGTTAATGCGGTGTGTGTTTTCCTTTGAACAGGCTACGAGCGGTACAATGCCATGCGTGCTGACCCTGACCTGTGTTTCCTGGAGAGGGTGGGGATGCCCGACGTCACGGCACTGTCTGCTGAACAGGGAGGGGGGGAGGGGCCCGCCGACATGGCTGACAGGTAGAACACACACACACACACACACACACACACACAGGGTCATACAGTGGAAAAAGCCTTATTTTAGAGCGTTTTGAAAAGCACCTCTGGTTGTTGAAGCTTGACATGACACATCCCTTTTTCATTCATTTTCTTCCCTTTTATGATTTTTTGGTGTTGTATGCAATTCTTTAACAGCAAAAGTGTGCCTTTAGCCCCTTTAGCTATTCTTTTTTTAAATTGTACAAGTTGAAGTGTTTGAACAGTTTGCAGGAGGCAGGTACTTGCTTTCAAGCAGAACAGGGCAAACAAACTTAGCGGGAGTGTTTACGTGTTCGGCGTAATGACGTACAACGTCCTCGACAACTTCTGTAGTCCTATTCAGCCACTTGTTAACAACCATCGTTTTTCAGACACGTAAACTCTTCAAAAATCACCAGCGGTTTGATTTTACACTGCTGATGTATTTAATGTCGTAGAACAAAACGCGATCCGCCTCTTCAATTTGTGATAACCACAGACCTTATTTGGAGCTATTTTCCAAAATCCTATGGAGAAATCCCATTGGCTCTGAGACGAGGGAACCGGTAGTGGTAAAATGCTAACTCACTTCCGGGTTTTAGGACTCGTCACTGCACCACTCTATAGACTTATGCAGGAATGAGTCTTTGAACCCTGAAATTAGTTAGCATTTTAGCCATTCTGGGTTCCCTCATGCAGAAGTCAACAGCTAACTAATCATTATTTAACACACGTAAACACAAGCTTAAAGGTGGGGTAGGTAAGTTTGAGAAACCGGCTCGAGATACACTTGTTGTTATATTCCATGGAATGCTCTTAACATCCCGATAGCAATGAATATCTGAAGTGCTTTGACAAAAAATCCATAAAATAAATTTCATCTGTGGAAGCCGTGGTACTGTAAAAAGCACGACCAATCATTTGAGCCGGCCCGGCTAAAATAACTGGATGGCCTACCTGCCTGTCAGCCTTCCATCTGTGCACAAACGTATCTCGTGCCCTCATTGGTCATGTGCGCGTTCGTGTGTGTTGGAGGAGGGGCTCTGTGAGGAAGTGGCCGATTTTTTTCCAGTTGTGTATTTTCAAATTCTAGCGCACTCGAGCTGGTTTCTCCAAAGTTACCTACCCCACCTTTAAGAGATATTTACGTTTTGTTCTATGACACAAATATATATCACTAAATACCCCACTGGTGAATGTCTGAATTGTCTATGTGTCAATAGAAGATCAGTTCAACAGGTGTCTCAATCAGACTACAAAACAGCATCACGCTAACATTAACAAGCCTTTTACTTTGCTTTTTACCAATACATCATAAAAGCGGTGTTAATATGTGGAGATTATCCTGCTGAACAAAACCTGTTAAGTTTCATAAATAGTGCTGCGTACCGGTACGCCGAACCGGTACTGGACTTGTAAAAAGTTTCGGTTCAAGTCCGGTTAAAACCGGAACGTCGGGAACCGGTACTTGGACTCGCAAAAAAACTAGCACTTACGTATATTCTGGTCTCTGTGGTTATTTAAACATTCCCTGATAAACGTTATTTAGCGGCAATAAATGAGTGCTAATCCCAGTGTGCTCAGTGTACAACATCACATGTCATTTCACCTTCGATTCACGGTTTGAAAACGTAGCATTTCGCCACATGCTAATGCTAACCGGAACTGAAGCATTTTCAGAATAAAAGTATTAAGTTAATAGTGTGAACTTCCGGTTTTTTCAGAATAAAACTGATTTAAATTAAATAGTGTATTTAATTCAAAATTACGCCATATCAACATTGATTTTAATTTCTAACAGTATGTATGTACATCACTATGTATGTAGTATACTGTATAATGTACACATGTAGAGTTGTAGAAAATACATGGTGTACAGAGAGTACAGTACACTCTGACTGTACTACAGTGTACTACTGTATAGTAGGTGTGTAACAGTGTAATGCGTATAGTCTACTCTACACTCTACCTTTCAGCAAAGCTTTAGGGATTTAGGCTCAGTCAGCTCAGGGACTGTTTGGTTACTTTAGTTTGGTAAATGAAATAAATGTTTGAACTTTGTAGTAGTTCACTGTAGTTGCTGTCATAAGTCATTTGTAGACTAAGTGGCAAAAAGTGTTTACATTTGTACTTTGTAGAGAAATGTAGACACAAGTTGGAAGGGAGCACAATAAACCTGACGAGTTTGAATTTGAGTTGATTATGATAATTAGCTCACAATAAGTTCACTTTAGTTACTCACACAACTTGACACAAGCCAGGTTCAGGTCCGGACTTATAAGTCCGGACCTGAACCTGAACCTCTGGACTTGAGTCCGGACCTGAACCTGAATGTCAGTCCAGGTACGCAGCACTAATCATAAACATGTGTTTGCCACAGATATTATTATTCTCTGCAATATTCCGAAATCTAATGGAAAAATCCCATTGACCTTTTGCCAACGGATCAAAATGCTTTCTTCAGGGTCTAAAGTAGAGACAGGTGCAGGAGGGACACACACGCACGTCCATAAATCAGCTTCCTGCTCCTTCCACGCTCTCTGCCTCCTTTACTCCCTGTAGGAGCCATCACAGCAGGAGGTTGCCAACTCTGGTGTGAGAAACACACGGTGCCACCTCTGTTGTGTGTTCTATCAGCAGCAGAGCCATCTCCACGCCCACACTGCTGCTTCACATGCTGAGTGTGAAGAACAATGTTATAAACACATAGGAAGATATGCTAAGGGTGACATTAGCGTGACAATTATTTCAACCAGATCAGTGACAAAAATATGAATGGGGAAAGAGAGACATTTATACAGATGACAGACACAGCTGCACATTCCGTAAAGTATTAGATTTTTTGCAAAACTCTGAAAGATGTATAAAGTCTAAGTAGAAGCTATTCTGACAAAAGCCTGAGAGTTATAATTGACAGAGAGAGTTGACCGAGAGGGAAGCGTAGACTTAGCGTAGGAAATGTATTTCCCAGAGTTGAGAAGATGAGACACGTGTGAAGCTTTGATCGTCTTCCTGAAGGTAATTGAAGTTATCGTCCGCTTTATTACCTGTTGAACCTGAAGCTGCTCCCCGCTGAGCCACTGTGCTGCAGGAGCATCTGCTGGGTCAGAATGCTAACGCAGCAGGCGGCCAACACAGGGTGCAAGCAGGATGGGGAAATGAAAACATTACCAGGATGGGTCTATAAACCGTCAATATGCTCAAAAACTGCATGAAAAGTCCAGATGCTGCCTCAGGAATGGCCGCAGTGTCTGGACAACAAGTTTGCTATTTATGGATCTTAACAATTCTGGACTGGACTTAAACTTGTAAAGTTGTTATGGAGGATTGCTCGCTTGAGTTGCAGAGGGACTTTTATTTAACTTTTGTCATTAAATAAATGACAAAAATACATATAGTGTGTATTATTATTAAGTGTGTAAATATCCAAAATACAACAAAAAAGTAGTTGCACATAATTCATCCCACCTGGTTTACAATATACTGTATAGTGTTTCACAAAATGTTGTATTTACAGTATATACTGTAGTATTGTATTATATAGTTGAACTATATATTGTTTTGTTTATGTTAACTTACAGATTGCATTATTCAGATTTGCGTGAGCTTACATTTTTATTTGAAATAGTGAATATGTGAAAAATGTCTCAAGTGTCAAAGTGATTTAACATATTTTAAATCAAGCCTAAAAGTTAGTTTTTTTCACACTTTAGCTCTCTATTAAATGTTGATAAACATATGAAACACATATTCAATGATTATACAATGTATAATCATTTACTTGAATCTAATTTAAATCTGTGTGCACGTTTATATTAGCAAAGACAGAAATGGCTATTGTATTATGTATTCTAAACTCTCTCTCAGTGTCTCTCACTAACACGTTGCTGTGATCAACACTCGATGAAACAGGAAGTCGTTTTATTTCCCTGCTGTTTATTCTTTAACTCCTACACACTGCATCAGCCACAGGGTGATGTGCTGTCATGTCAAACCTTTGTCCCCTTTCTTTTAGTTTGTTTTGCTGCCTCAGGAAATTCTTCCTCTGTGGTGCTTTTAACTCATAACACTTTCATAGTCACATCTTTTCTTTACTTCAGGTCATATCTGACAGGACTTTGTTGCATCTCTCTCTGCATCATGGTAGCTTTTTCTTCTTCTCCAGTCGTTTCATGTTTTCTGACATCTTTAGTCAAACATAAAGGGAACTCACAGTGTGTGTTCTCTAATCCTTTTAGTTCCACCCTTGCATGTGTTATCCTTACAAGACATTGCTCAGTAGGACATAGGCTGAGGTATTAAAGGTTATTTTCTGTCATTTCTTTTGTCAGCGTGTGCAAAGCAGAGGAGGTGAAAGACGAGGCGGAGAGCAAAGCTGATGGAGAGGACAGAGACGAGAGCAGCAAGGTGAGGAGAATCTCTCCTGAGAGTTTGAACAGATCTCTTTGTCTTCTCCCTTTCTTCCTGAGATTCAGTTCAGTTAGTTATGGACACATTATTGACCTCAGCGTAGGCTTGAGATAACAAATCAAAATGTTTGGGTGATAAAGTTTCCACTGGGAAAACATTTTTTAAATTGTATTTCCTTCCAAGTTGATGGGCAGCCGACCCTAACGCCCTCTGGGTACTGTACAAAATAATTGTGAAGAGTTAATGATGTATTTTAATACCTACGTAACAACACTTCCAAAACCAGATCAGATAATGTTGTCATATCATTTGTATCTACAACTTTGTATTCTTAATGTGCTGTTAAATGTAAACTTCATAGTAACAAAGTAGCTTTCAGGTAGCTGCCCTGTTGGCCCTTGCTACTTTTAATGACATGCTCCATGAAAATGGAATTTGCAGCTTTATATCAAATATAAAACACAGCTATTTAATGTATGGTTATAAATGTAATCCTAAACTTGTACATATGTTTTGTAGTTAAAGAAGAATATTATTTGAATTGTGTATGATCAATTTAATTTGCAAATGTAAGCTGTACAAAGTCAGGTAATGGTACAAAGACAATATAAGTTAGCCTCCTTTTGTTTTAATAGTATTAATATTAAAATAGTTGTTGTGTTTGTGGAGAGAAAGGTAGGACTGGATCGTAACTGAATACCATTGTCTTAATGACGTCAAAATATATCATTATTGTATGTTTGTTTACTTCTGTAACATAATGACATCACTACGGAACACTCACGCTTCTATTGGCTAGCGCTTCAACACATTGTGAGTGATAGGCTAAGGGGCGGGACATCTTTAAGCGGATGACCAATCACAACAGAGCCGGCCAGCTAACCAATCAGAGCAGACTGGGCTCTGGTTTCAGACAGAGGGTGAAAAGAGGTGCTGCAGCACAGGCAGTGTGAGAACAATAAAGAGCTTTTTGAACATTAAAGCATGGAGACATGTCCCAGTGGAGACACAACATACTGATATACACCTGAAAATGAGAAGAACATGTCGTCTTGAAGAAAATACGTATTGATATGTGTTTGAACCGTAGTGCCCAATCATAACCCAAAATGATAAACAAAATCCTTCTGAAATAAATAATAAGTCATCGTAAAGTCCTGTATATTTCTCTTCAGTCAAATCTATGTGTGTTCCTTTCACAGGGAGAGGAGACGTGCTCCAGCACCGACACCTCAGACAAGCCTGACAGCACCGGGCCAGGTGAGACTATTACCCACAGACACATAAAGTGCAATCTGTACACTGTGTGCTGCCACAGGGAGAGACAGAGCTCAATAAGAAGTTACAGTAGGTACATAACAGCATCCTGGCCCCGCTGCAAACTGAAGGGGACACACAGCAGTGTTTGCTGTCGGGCAAAGAAACAATCTGCCTGAGGAAACCGTCTGCTGAATCTGTGTCTTCTTTTAAATCCTTCTTAACACATACCTTTAGAGGAGAGCCTTTCCTGATCGTACTTGTGTTTTGAATTTATTTTCCTTTTACAAACGGCTGTCTATTGCTAGTCAAATTTTTTACCACAGTATATTGATTTATTTTACACCTAATGTCTTAACCGTAATCATGTATGAATTATTTATTGAATAATATCTCTCTAGTAATAAAGTTAATACATATTGGCATGTTCGTTTCCAACACATATGTAAATTGATGCCAACAAGACATCTGTATAATGTGTTCGTATTTATATTCTTAAAGGCACTTTTATATAATTTCAAGTAGTCATTTAATTTTTTTCTGTGATGATTCAGACATCTCTTTAGACGTTATGATATAATTTCTCTCCTCTGGGTTTCATTTCACCTATTCAGTTCAACACCTATCATATCTAAACCCATTTCACCTTTCACCTAAAGTCTTCATTTCAGAGAGCGCAATCACATTTAATGAACATCTAAATGTTTAATAGCACTCTGTGGAAAATGACATCCACACTTAGATACTAATACCTTGTTACCAATTATTCTGGTCAGAACCGGGGACATAACAGATAAAGTACAATTGTAAAAAATCATCTTTCCACTTTTTCTGTATGTAGTTTAAGGCAGAATATGTATGGGAACACTGGGGTATGCATTTGCATATTTAAAGATGGACCAATTGTTTTATCTGGATTTGCGTTTAATAAAGTTGAACCTTTCACAACTCATCTTAGCAAGTAAAATAGGCATTTTTTGTGATGGTCGAAAGAGTGAAATACCCGTAAGAATTAAAAAAAATGGCATCCTTGTAGCTAATAGCTATTTCCCTAGTGAAATGATACATTTGCTAAATTTAGTAACAAAAAGAATACTTGATTAGGATCAAAATGTCCATCCCTTATTCCCTCCACAGACTCCCAGAAGATGAAAAACCTAAATATTATTACGGTAATGAAACACGGGTGTTTATTAGTTCTTGTGTCATAAAAATAATGATATCCAGACATCCTTTAGGAGGTATTTCTCTTTTTTTTTTCAACCGTTATACAGTGCTAACTATTTGATCAAATTGTCCGTTCCTTACTCTGATAAATAGCACGTCATTCTCTTAACAGACTCCCACATGTCTGGTGACTTATGCGCCCACGATGCTACACTGGTTACCACGACGACGACAGCCGGGACAGGGACGGGGGTGGCGTCCCTCCACGTGGTCCAGGCGCGGCCCCTGTGGCCCCCCGGCCCCTCGCTGACGGCCCGCCTGCGCCGCCTCATCACGGCCTTCCAGCGCTTCACGCTGCGCCGCGAGCCAATGCTCCGGCACGAGTTCATGCTGCACGACGGCCTCGTTGGCATGGCGATGGGAGCCGGCGCCGCTCACGGTCACCACGCCGGGGGCCCGCTGGCGTGGCAGCTGGGGGAGGAGCTGAGGCGCTGCTCCGTGGTCGCCACGGAACCGGACCCCCTGTTCCTGGAGTGGCAGAGAAGGTAAGCATGTGGGAAATTCAGAGAAAAGATAAAGTGATAAATCCTAATAATATAAGTATTCATGTATAGCAACTTTAAAGATAAATATGCGATAAGAATGACTTTATTCTCATTTCAGAAACTTTTGAATATGCATTTCTGTGGGCTTTTATCCTGAAAGTCTTGCTTAATGCTGTCAAACCATGTTGGAAAATAAGAGACAAGGTCATATGATCAATGACATACTATCAGTTTCAGCTTATAGCAACTTTTAACATCGATATTGGTTCCTTCTAAGGCAGGGTCGAGTTATTGTTGATAGCACATTTCATAACTAGTATGTTGTAAAGAAAGTTGATGTTCTGAAATGTATGGAGGTCTGTTTCACACTTTTCAAAGACTTACATTTACAACTTTAGAATATAAATATTACTTTTACCAGTTCTCCACCTTTCTCAATTTATATTACCAATGTTTCCGATTCTTAACTTCTTAACGCAAACTTTTTGGAAACTTTTTTAACACTTTGCGATTTTTTTATTGGAAGAGGCCTACGCACACACTTTAGATTGCAGTATTCAAGGTATTTCAACTTCATGACGTTCTTTGTGTCACTCATATTGATGAACTGTGCTTCCTTCTTCTTTAAGCTTCATAATAAAAGCATTATAATGTCCCCCATTTTTTACGTTATTCATGAATATGATAACTGAAACATTATATCCTCATCTTCCTCCCTCTTGTTTCAGGTGGACTCGTCGGGAACAGGCAGATTTTTACCGCACGGTGTCCTCCTTCGGGGTGGTGTACGACCCGGAGAGGAAGGCCTTTGACTGGTCCCAGTTCAGAGCGCTGGCCCGGCTGGAGAGGAAGACGGACGAGAGTCTGGAGAGATACTTCAACTCCTTCGTCAACATGTGCAGGGCGGCCTGCAAGCTGCCTGCCAGGAAGGAAGAAGGTAAACGTGCTGTTATTACATTATGGTGAGGTCTGACAGAAACATCAGAGCTGCACTAAATCTAAAAAACCTGGATGTGGTCATTTTATTAATTCAATTGAATTCATGTTATTGACCAACAGCTTAAGAATACAAGTACAAAACATAAAACATATAGGAGCGATGTTAAGTCAGACATCCAGGCAAATGTTTGTGGTTGTAGCTGCCCACCTTATGTCCCTCCTTTGGAAACTTTACTGACCCCTGCTGGTGGGAGGACTGTTTTTAGATTTTCCTTTTCAAGTTTGCTGTTTAGTTTTTGAATTGAGTTAGTTTTAAACATTTCTTATTTTATCTTGAATTAAAATAAAGATCAGAGCTCCCTCCCCTCTCCCACTCTGTCCCTGCAGGTCTGGTGGACCCGGCGGTGCTGGTGGAACCTCTGACGGAGGAGCGAGCGGCACGGACCCTGTACCGCATCGAACTGCTGCGCAAGATCAGAGAGCAGGTGAGCTGTGGAAACAAGGCCAAATGTCACTGATGCAACTCATACTTATTGTTCAAAGACATTCCTCTCAAAATTATTTTTCTTTTTGTAAACTTCTATTTGGGGCTCTTTGTCTTCTGAGAATATCTAACATTTGATTGATTTGTATCATTACTGGCTAACGGAAGTATTATGACGAAAGACAACAATACATGTATCAAGAAACTTCCAATAAACTCATAGCATGTCTCACAGAAACCCCCTCAGGCTGAAGGCTCTGATGACGCACAGCTGACATGTTGCATCCTGTTTGCATCACCAAAAGCATGATGGGAGCTTTAGTGGCAGTGCTCTAAAAAGGTTCACCTTACAAGCAAACTAATTAAGTAAAACAATACGAAGGTTATTAGATTTTTAGGCATTTAATATTCAGATATTTGCTCTGGGTTAAAAACAAAAAAAATTCTATAACAAAGCTTGTTAGCAGGCTGTCCCTCTCATAATACGATACGATATACTTTAGTGTCCCCGTAAGGACATTTGTTCTCCGCCCTGCAGTTCCACATACATTTACGTATACAAAAAGTTTGGATCGTATTGATTAGGCTAACTCAATTTAAGCTAGGAGCATCAAAGATGTTTCTTTACTTGGCTTACGTAGGACACAAGAAAGTTTGTCAGTGTGTGTGTGCTAGGTGTATTTTCTGAGGAAAAACAAACAACACACACTGCCTGTTGTTATGCCGCTCAGTTGCTCAGTTGGCCGCTCGTCATTGTTCCATTTCAAGCTTCAAAGCTGTATTTATCATCTGAATTCTGGGATCATATTTACATTTTCTGAAAGCCAAGTCATTGTTTTTATTTATAATCAGATGAGAATCCCTGTCTCGGACCCTGCCATGTTACTATCAGCTGTCCATCATTATTTCAGGGAGACTTAGGGAGGGACACGTGAGAGTAAACAGTGATCGCTGAGGTTGACCCCCATCTTTACAAGCTTCAAAAATGTATTTATCGTCTGAATATGGCGATAAACGTTACATATACCAAAGGCAATGACCAAAACATGAGTTTTTCACATAAATCCACGATTTTACCCTCAGGTTCTCCGTCACCCGCTGCTCTCCGCCCGCCTCCAGCTGTGCCGCCCCTCCCTCTACCTCCCAGTGTGGTGGGAGTCGGGCAAACATGACCGCGACCTCCTGATCGGGGCGGCGCGCCACGGCCTGAGCCGCACCGACTTCTACATCCTGAACGACCCCCAGCTGAGCTTCCTGGAGGCCCACAGGAACTACGTCAGGGGCCACCCCTCCCACCTCCACCCTCAGAGCCACCACTACCCTCACCATCCCGGCATGGTGACACACCCGGGCATCTCCTCTTCCTCCACCTCGTCTCACCCGCAGCTGCCTCATCCTCACTGCTGTCTGTATGACTCCCCTCAGCCCCCCGAGTACCCCCACCAGTCCTCTCACCACCACCACCATCATCACCACCACCATCACCCTGTGCCTCCTTCGTCTTCCTCTCACCTCCACCCTCTACCGTTGGACGCCCACAACTCCTCCTCACCTAGTCTGGGAATAGTTCCTGGATCGCGGGGGGACTTCCTGGACTGTCCTCCCCTGGATGAGACTCTGGAGCTGGGCTCTCTGCAGCATGAGGCCGACGCTCTGCACGGAGGGAAGGCCTCCAAAGACGCCCTCAACGGATTCCCATTCAACTCCGCAGCTGGAGGGCAGAGCATGCTCAACTCGTACGGGGTCGGGGGGGCAGACCTGGACTCCAAACTGAGGAGCGACGTGCTCGTGGGGGAGCAGGGGTCCTCGGAGGAGACGGGGCTGATGGCTCCATCCGTGGAGCTCGATCAGTTACAGGTACGCACTTTGCTTTAAATCAATATTCTTATGTTCACTATTTTATTTTCAACTGTCCTTAGATGATATAAATTAAAGACCTACATTTAAAGGGGTCCTACTTCGCTTGTTTTGGGTTTCCCCTTATTGTGTTATAGAGGTTTTTTGTACATGTATAAATGGTCTTCATACTATAGGCAAAAATCCCTGTGTTCCCTCCAATGGGAGTTTCTCTCCCACCCTGTGCCTCCATTGGACTCCTTTGTTCACTTCCGTAACATAGTGACATCACTATGTAACACGCTTCTATTGGCTAGCGCTCCACACATTGTATGTGATAGGCTAAGTGGGGACATTTCCGACAAATCTCTTAGCGGTTGACCAATCACAACAGAGCCGGCCAGCTAACCAATCAGAGCAGACTGGACTCTGGTTTCAGACAGAGGGTGAAAAGAGGTGCTGCAGCACGGGCAGTATGAGAATAACAAAGAGCTTTCTGAACATTAAAGCAAGGAGACAGACATATCACAGGAGAGGAACAACATACAAATATGAATCGTAAAATGAGCATAATAGGGCTCCTTTAAGATGATAGATTACATTGGGGACCAATCCTTTACAAACCCATCAAGAGTTTTTCCTAACATATCTCACATGGCAAAATAGTTTCTCAAACCAAGGTAAAATATCAGGAGTCTTAACCCAACCATTTTTGTAATATGTTATAGCTTGCTGTCACACAAAGCGATTTCAGGAATGAGTCTAATCCCAGAACAAGAAGAAGTGGATATAGAGGTATATCTATCGCAACCCTTTTGTTTTGAACCGACCTCTACAACTTTTGGCAACACCACATGAGATAACTACATGTACAACAGCTGTTCAATTTGGATTCAATAAACCTGGATATTCAAATACAAATTCCCCTTATTTGTTAAGTCAAAATACGAGAAAATTGTATTTCTAATAATTTGCATTCACCTTCCCCCCTTCAGGCTCCCTGGGATGGTACAGACCACTCCAGTCCTGCTCACCACATGTTCAACGAGTCCGATCCCATCCTGGGTCCCTCCACTCTGGAGCCTGGCTTCCTGGAGGAGGACGACGAGGAGGCTCAGGGGGGAGACAGAGGAGGGGAGGAAGGGGGGACTCTGGAGGAATGTCTGGGCCTCCCACCCTCATCCTCTCCCTCCCACCCCTCTGCAGGAGACTCTGTGGAGCCGCTGTCCTCCAGTTACATGCTCTTCAAGGTGGGTTTTTGTATCATGTGCCATCAGGGGAACATTAGTGACTGGCAGAGTTAGTCCTTTAAAATATGAAAACAGTATGTTTAGTAAGTGGTGCATACGATAGACGCCAAACTATAAATATACTTTTATAGGATTGTATTGAAAAGAGTAAGGTAGAAAGAAAAAAAAACTACTCGAAACTAGAAAATGTAGCTAAACGTAGAAGAAAGTTCAGGCAGATTTTGTGGGTCATATTGGCATAAAGCCCCCACTTCAATGGTCAGGGCTGAGACTGGTGCTGGAGAACAATAGTCAATATTTGAATGGCATTTAATTATTTGTTTTGGTGTGCGAATAAATTAGACGTCTATTTTTTATAAATTGTGTAGCAGGGGATTTTTTTAAATGTTTTATTAATATGAAAAAACACCAACAATTAAAAGAAGAACACAGTAAACAAGGACTGGACAGGTAATTTGAATACAAATATTTATGTATATATTTATTTTGTTGCAAATCACAAAATCACATAATTGAAAATACATGCACTTAAGTCAAACTAAAGTCTTTAAAGATATGAATAAAACTTTATTTGTTTTAAATTATAATTGATTAACCTTTTGAAACTGGTATTTTTTTTAGTACAAGTACATTAAATAATCTTAATTAATCATCAGAATACTTTTTTATCGCAGGTCAAATTGTTTTTGTGACAGTTTCTCTAGATAAGAATTACATTAATAATAATAATTTGAAAAACAACAGTTGTTTCATTTAAGAATACAGTAAAAAATAAATAATAATAAATAAAGAAGACACATTTTATATAAGAATGTGCAATTAGAAGATAAAACTAAATGGTTTTTTAAAGAAACATAAGAACTGTGCTAATATAAAATGTGCTAATTGTACTATAACATATCAAATGAATTACAATATTTGATCTGATGTATTGTGAGTCTAAGAATCCAGTAAATCTAATTTTGACAATTTGTTCTGTTTTCAGGACATTGGTGTGAGCGAGGAACCCAGCGCAGATCAGACCGATCTGTCAGCGAGTCCCCCCCCTCCCTACGTCCCGCCTCCTCCCCTCTCTCTGTCTGACATCACTGCTCCTCATGATAGGCTGGGACACTCTGATGTCACTGCTAGCCTGACCAATCCTGTGGATGAGGAGGCAGGAGGGCAGGAAGCGGGAGCCGGGTTCGAGTTTGAGGACAAGGAAGAAGAAGAAGAAGAAGTGGAAGACTTGTCGGGGGTGCAGAACTTGGGGAAGCAAGGAGATCAGAGCCTGGGAAGAGAAGAGTGTGATCCAGAGCAAGGTATGTCTAAAATAAGTGTTAACTATATATCCCAAAACTAATTAATTGTACACCAGTGGCCAACAGACACACATGTCTGTTTCCTTAAAAGTGTCGGTTAAGTGTCATTATCCTTCCTAAAGCATATGAAATAATCCAACGGAACAAATAAAAAAACTCTGAATTTGTTGACACTCAAAATAAGCAATATTGAAAGATAACAATATCCTCAGAAATATTATACGTATAAAAAAGGGCCTACATAAAAGCCAAAAAAAAACAATGACAAAATGTTTTGGTAAATAATCATCTGGAGTGGAGTGCACCAGCTGGTTGTAAAAAAGTAGGTCTTAACTCTAATGTCAGGCTTAGCTACGTTGACTTAGTGATTCAAATTTACACCGAGTGCACCCAGCTTGACTAGTCATGGTCGTAGCTGCGCCTAGTCTTAAGATGCGCGTCCACGTCGATACCCGCGAAACAGTTATATCTCTCACAGGCTCCGCCCTCTACTGGACTCTATGGGTACTATCTTACCCCGCGAGCATTCTCCCACTGAGACTTCTATAGACGTAGCCGGCCTTGGGCGGGCCTACCTGAATGCGCGCGCATCACACCGTATAAAAAGAGGCCTCGCCTCCTGACTATCATCCTTTTCTCTTCAGCGGCGGAAGTGTTTTCACGGAGCTTAAAAAGACGAAGAAAAATAAGAGTAATGGAGTCAGTTCTTGACCACAGGACCTGCCCGAAATGTCCAAACCTGATCGCGGGGGCGGATCCACACCCCTTCTGCTTTTTGTGTATGGGGCCTGGCCATGCCGTGAGCGGTATGGGCCCGACGCCGGCAAGCTTAGCCTGCCAGATGCTTCCTTGGCTCACGCGTGAGCATCGTGGGTAGCATTTCCTGTCGGCAGAGGCCCCGCAGGAGGAGGTGGAGGATTCGGATCTCGACGTCGTCGAGATGGGCGAGTCAGGAGAAGAGGAAGTGCCGTTCCGATTCTCCCTTCCGTGGGGCCAGACAACCCCGGTTCCGGAGGAGGAGGACGAGGACGCCTCGGTGTCGGGAGGTCCGACTCTCAGGTCTGCGCGTTTGGATTTCCCAGCGGTGATGACCCTGGCGGCGGAGCGCGTAGGCCTACCGCTCCCCCCACCGCTGCCACCGAGGCCTGTAAGCCGCCTGAGACAGGGGTTTTACGGCCCGGTGCATCCAGCGCAGCCGACCTTCGTTTCGCAAAGGTGCCTGATATATGGCGGTGTGTGGAGGCGACATGGCAGCAGCCATTTAAAACGAAGGCCCCAGTAGCCGCTATGGCAGGCATCATCAAGGTGGAGGGCCGCTCGGACACAACGTGTTCGGGTGTGCCCCCCCTTGATCAGAGCCTGGCGGCCCATCTGCTTCCGCGGGCGGCTGGTTGGGCGGAGGGTAAGCGACCCCTGCCCCCGCTGCCCCGGGACCGAGACACTCTGGAATATCTGGACAAGATGTTCAAGCTCGGTACGCAGATGGCGGCTGCAGCAAATAATCTCGGCGTGTTGGGCGTCTCCCTGATCACCCCTCAGGCAGTCGCCCCCGCCCTCCTGTCTCAAGATGGGAGCGATTATCCGGACCGCGCTATAGGTCAGATGAACAATCTGATTCATGGCGTGGCCGCTGCAGCAGGGCGGGTGATTTCCTTGGCCACAGTGGCGTCTCGTCACGTGTGGTTGGGACTCACTGCCCTATCTAAGAAAGACCGAGAAGATCTCCTCGGAGCCCCCATGTCCACGGAGGGGCTCTTTGGGTCAATCTCCTCTGTCACTCAGCGCTTCAGCCGGCTGGAGGAGGAAAGGGTCCAGCTTAGCCGGATGCTACCGCTGGCCCCGCCTCCGGCCCCGCTACGCGCTCCTCCACGCGTTTCCATGCAGGCGAGGGAGCGCAGTGCGACAGTGAAGCGGAGGGAGAGGCGCCGGCACGGGGGTCCCGTGGCTGCGGCGCCCTCCACCTCTACGGCCCATCCCGTGGTACCGGCATATCGGCAGCCACGGGGACGGGCTGCCCGACCTCGGCAGGCTCCTCAGCAGAGAGAGCGGCCGGGTGGGGTGCGCCGTCTGCCCGGAGCTGACTGGCGGGGGGAGGTAGCATCTCGGCGGGGGGAGGAAATCTCTTCGCCCGGGACGCAAGGGTGAATCCCGCCTCCTCCCTATTCGATGCACAGATTCCTTTGAAAAAAATTTAAAATAAAGAAAAAGTTGATCTGTATCCAAGTCTAAGTGTCCTTTGTTTCCACAATGCTACACTTACACATGATGTCTGTACAGATTCCCCACTCACCGCCCCAGCCATAGCTCCTGTAAGGGAGGAGGCTAGTGGGAGTGCGCAGATGAGAGTGATAAAACGTAAACAAAGCTATCGTAGTGCTATACGTGTACAGAGGCATTATGGCCGGCGTATTGCTGTTAGGGAACACACTAAGCCTGGGGCTAGAACTCCAATTAATGCAGGTTACCAGAGTTGCATTATGGCAGCGCCCGCACTCACAGAAGAGCGCGTGGCGGTGCGTTCAGGGGCCTTAGTAGAACGCACTACTCCTATGAGGACTCCGATTAATGATGTTCACCGTAAGGGTGAGAACGGCATTATGAGGGAGCGCGCGCTCACACATGAGCGTGCGGCGGTGCGTTCAGGGTCCTCAGTAAATAATCGGCCCTTTCTGTGTCGACCCTCCATGGGCGAATCTTCCCTTCACGGGGAGTTTTGCGGCGGGAAGGGTCGCCAGAGAGTACCACAGCTTTATAGCTGCGGCCCCACAGCTGAGGGCATGCCCTTTAACACAGTGTTATGGGGAATGGAAACTCAGCTGTGTACTATCAAAGTGGATGGACAGGACGCTGAGACGGGGCTATTCACTCCAGTTTTGCAGCGTCCCACCCCCTTTTATGGGCATGCGAGAGGTGAATCTATCCTCTCGAGAGGGGATGGGTTTCCTCTCAGCAGAGATTCAGGCTCTGGTGCAGAAACAGGCTGTGTCTGTTGTGCACCCTCAGCGCATGGAAGAGGGTCTTTATTCCATGTACTTCCTGGTTCTCAAGAAGACAGGGGAATTCAGACCTATTCTAGATCTCCGCGACCTGAATCGCCACATTTCCCGCAGGAAATTCTGCATGTTAACTGTGAAACAGTTACTGGGGCTTGTGCAGCCAGGCGATTGGTTCACCACCATCGACCTGAAAGACGCGTACTTTCATGTCGTAATTGCTCCAGAGCACAGAAAGTATCTGCGTTTTGCCTTCCAGGGAATAGCCTACGAGTACAACAGGCTGCCGTTCGGCTATTCCCTATCCCCACGCACATTCAGAAAATGTGTGGCCACAGCAGTGTTGTAGTCAAGTCACCAATTCACAAGTCCAAGTCACTCTCGAGTCCCCACTCTTCGAGTCCGAGTCCAAGTCCGAGTCACCTGGGGAGATTCGTAGTCGAGTCCGAGTCCAAGTCCGAGTCACCCAAGGAGTGTCCGAGTCCGAGTCGAGTCCGAGTCACCATTACCTGTGTTCGAGTCCGAGTCCAAGTCCGAGTCACCCAAGAAGAGTCCAAGTCAAGTCCGAGTCACAAGTCTTCATGTATTAATCTTAGTGGATATATGTGTTGAAATGTAGCTGTAGCTCCTCTACATTGCTTTTAATAATATCACAATGTCCAACAACCAATAAGTGAACGTTTAAATGATATCAATAAAGATTAAGCCCCAGAAAGCACATTGCTACTTAGCATGCACAATGACGACATTCTGCATGTTAAGTAGCCATGTGCTTTCATGTTATCGGCTGAATCTTTACTTATTGATTTGATCACATTACTCTGATGATAGTGTTCAATACAGCCTACCTATATATATATATATATGAACTCCATCCTTAGAATAATGTGTTATGGAGCCTCCGTGACGGAGATCATTTTCAGTCTCTAATTTTCACGTTCATTGTAGGCTAGGGCTAGGCTACTCATCATCTGCAGTATCACCAAGGACATGTATAGCTTTTTAACAGTATCTATCTAGACAATAAAACTGCACTTGGTCCCTAGGATGTGATATCAACCCCTACCTCCATCTAACCCGACATCTTAAAACCTTTGTGGAGTCAATTTAGTGGCTAACGTTAACGTGGGTTAGCAAGCTAACAATAGCATTTCTACTTACTTTTCTGGGTGCTGCCGTGAAAGGTGTCGATTGAAATTCGACGTTGTCCCAGTCTTCTCTTCTATCTTCTGTCCGCATAATGTGCATTTTGCGCTGCTCTTTCCCAATATGGAAACGAAATCTTTAAAAGCATACAGCACGATGCGGGGTGTGTCTCTGGACATCTTTAGACTGGTATAGCAGCGGGGGCGCGCCCAGTACGTGAACTCGCCTCGCAGATGCACACGCCATGACACAGAGGACATCAGACTAGAGAGAAAACTTGCTCGAGTCCAAGTCCGAGTCATCCAAGGAGTGTCCGAGCCGAGTCCGAGTACGAGTCATCATTACCTGTGTTCGAGTCCGAATCCAAGTCCAAGTCATCGTGCGTGAGAATTCACGAGTCTGAGTCCGAGTCGCGTCAATCAGTGCGCGAGTCCGAGTCAAGTCACGAGTCCCGAAAATCGGCACTCGAGTACTCCATCTCTGGGCCACAGCGCTTCAACCGCTGCGCGCACACGGCATGAGAGTTTTATTTTACATAGACGACCTCATAGTCATGGCTGGGTCACGGGAACAGGCAATGTTTTGCACAGCACAATTGATCACACACCTGACCAAATTGGGCTTTGCGATCAATTGGAAAAAGAGCACCCCCATACCTCACCAACGGGCGTTGTTTTTGGGTGTGGTGCTCGATGCGGGCACGTTGCGCGCCACCCTGTCAGAGAGCAGACGTGCGTCCCTTCTTCAGGGGGTGCGCAGGCTGCGACAGGGGGAAACAGTGACAGCTTTTACTGTCATGCAGACACTGGGTCTCATGGCGGCTGCTCACATGGTGGTCCCGTTAGGGTTACTACATATGCACCGCCTGCAGAGGTGGTTCTCCAGCCTGCGCTTGGATCCCAAGAGGCACAAGCTGCGGCTGGTGACCATACCCCCCTCAGTGAGGGGCAACCTCCGGTTTTGGGGGTCCCCGGATCACCTCCTCACTGGGACGGGTGACCTCCTACATCACAGTGTTCACGGATGCATCCAGAACAGGATGGGGAGGGACCTGCCTGAAGAGGGCTATAGGTGGGCGCTGGGCTCTAACAGAGTCTCGACACAGCAACCTCCTAGAGCTACGGGCGGTAGTGTTAGTCCTCCAGCATTTCAGGCCCCTAATTCAGGGAAGACATGTAATGGTCAGGAGCGACAACAGCACCACAGTGGCTTATATCAACAAGCAGGGCGGAGTTCGATCTGCCGCCTTGTTGACCACAGCGGAGGAACTGTGGTTATGGGCTTCAGAGGTGGTGTTATCTCTGAGAGCCCTCCATATCCCGGGACTGGAGAACAGAGGAGCCGACCTCATGTCGAGGGGCGGCCCCCTGCCAGGCGAGTGGGTGCTTCACCCGAAGGTGGTGAAGCAGATCTGGGCCCAGTTCGGGAGAGCGGAAGTGGATCTGTTCGCCAGCCGGCGAAACAGCCACTGTGCCCTGTGGTTCTCCGTGGCTCGGAGCGACGACCCACCCTTGGGGGTGGATGCGTTTGCACACGAGCCATGGCCAAGGAAGCTGCTCTACGCCTTTCCACCGCTGCGTCTCATTCTCCCTCTCCTGAGGAGAGTGAGGCGAGAACGTCTGTCAGTCATCCTAGTGGCTCCGGACCGCGTTGGGGCGCCGTGGTACTCAGAGATGACACAGATGAAGGTGGGCCAGCCCTGGGCGGTTCCCCAGTTCTGGGGGGCGATGTCTCAAGAGGCAGGTGCAATCGGGGCGTTACCCACTCTCGGCCGTCCTCTCCAGGCTTGACTCCTGAGAGGGACAGGCTGAGACAGGGTGGATTGTCTGACAGTGTTATTCAGTCTATCCAGGCAGCTAGAGCTGGATCCACCACAGCCTGCCCCCAAAGTGGCTAGGATTCCAGCGATGGTGTGAGGAGCGGGGAATAGAGCCTCTATCTTGTGAGTTAGGCTCTATTTTATCCTTCTTACAGTTATTGGTGGACAGAGGGCTTGCGCATTCAACAGTGAAGGTGTATGCAGCAGCCATCTCGTCCTGCCATGAGGGATTTGGCGGCAGGTCAGCCTTTAGTCAACCACTGATGTCGTGGTTTTTACAGGGGGTCAGGAGGCTGCGCCCAGTAGTGCACGCCTCCACCCCACTGTGGGACCTGCCCCTAGTGCTTGAGGCTCTGGCCTCGGGGCCGTTTGAGCCTCTGGAGCTCTCCTTTCTGAAAGCATTATCGTGGAAAACAGCTTTGCTTCTTGCCTTAACGTCAGCCAAAAGGGTGTCCGAGTTAACTGCTCTGTCGGTGCACCCGAGTTGTTTACGGATTTGGGGTGACCGGAGCGGCGCGACACTCAGACGAGGGCTACTCAGAATAGCCCTCGTTCAGGTCGAGGGCTATTCAGTTAGGGGGGTTTAGTCTCCCCCCCATGGTGGGGCCAGGGAAGCTAGACTGCACCTCCTCTGCCCGGTGCGTGCGCTAGCATATTATGTGGAGCGCACGGCTGCCCTTAGACGCACCGAACAGCTGTTTGTGTGTGTGGGGGGCGGTGTGATCGGGAAAGCTCTGTCCAAGAAACGCCTGGCAGGCTGGCTCTGCGAGTGCATTGCACATGCCTACGGACAGGCAGGGAGAGCCTGCCCCACGGGGGTTCGTGCGCACTCCACATGGGCTGTGGCTGCGTCGGCAGCCTTATTCAACGGTGTGAGTGTGGAGGATATATGCACAGCGGCGTCTTGGTCGACGCCAGGCCCCTTCATAAGGTTTTATCTCTTGGACATTTCGGGCTCTTTCTCCTCGTCTGTGCTGGCGGGGGCAGCACAGGACTGGGAGGGGGGTTGTGGGTCAGTTGGCATCTGACCCCCTCCCCGGACGTAATGCGCCTTCGCTGTTCTCGGGCCCTCTGAGGGTCCCGGGATGGGCGAGGGGCGCATTGGGCCCTTACAGACGGGTGGCGCAGTGGTCTGTGCATCAGATAAAGGGGGGTGCTGGGGAACTCCAGTTCGAAACCCGCTCCTGCCACCACTGCGTCAGGCCGTTGTGTCCTTGGGCAAGACACTTCACCCGGATTTGCTCCTGTGGGTAATGTCCACAGTACATGTATGATACTAATGTGTACTTGTAAAAGCGCCTCGATGACTTTGAGGCGTGAAGATGGACGGTGTGGCGCAGTGCGCTGTGCAATGATCATCAGATCAAGGGGTGAAACCCGCCCCTGCTGCGTCTGTAAAGCCGTTGTGTCCTTGGGCAAGACACTTCACCTGAACTTGCTCCTGTGGGTATTGTCCACAGTACATGACCATTGCATGTATGATGTATGATATGTGTAATGTGTATTTGTGCATCTGCATGAGCGCTTTGATTATCTGGAAAAGCGCTATAATAAATATAAGGAATTATTCATTATTATTATTACAGGGCTGGAGGGCTGCTCTCCTCCTGCCGAGAGGCAGGAGGGGGGGTAATCCTCCACACTTTAGTCCACACACTCTGCACTGGGTCAGTGTTTGAGTGTGGGGCATGGGCTCTGGCGCTCTCCCTGTTATCCTTAGGGATTCAGGGAGGCAGGCAGGCGTGTAGTAAGCCCATTCGGGGCCGAGGGGGCTCTCCCCATCCGTCTATGGGCGGGGGGAGGGGTCCCCCAGCACTGTTTTTTGAGCACACTTTCTGCGAGGTAAGCGCAGCAGGGTGTGCTCTGTCAGCCACAGCCCAGATTTCTCCTCGGTCACAACCGGGTTAAAGGAGAATGTGGGGCAGCAGCTGCTGACCATAAAAGCCGGTCAGGGGCAGTAGGGTGGAATATTGTTGTTGGACGACAGTGCGCGTATACATCGTGGCTCCACCCACTGTACCCATAGAGTCCAGTAGAGGGCGGAGCCTGTGAGAGATATAACGTTGGGTTACGTATTGTAACCCTTGTTATATTAGCACAGGCGGAGCCCTCTACTCAGGGCACTGTCTGTCCTATTCCGCTCGCTGAAGAGAGGTGTAGGATGATAGTCAGGAGGCGAGGCCTCCTTTTATACGGTGTGATGCGCGCGCATTCAGGTAGGCCCGCCCAAGGCCGGCTACGTCTATAGAAGTCTCAGTGGGAGAATGCTCGCGGGGTAAGATAGTACCCATAGAGTCCAGTAGAGGGCTCCGCCTGTGCTAATATAACAAGGGTTACAATACGTAACCCAACGTTATTGTTGCCAAGCAACACACGTCTACATAATATTCTCCATTCAAAGCAGTCCGTTAGCATAAAATCTGAGCGCAATCAGCACCTGCAAGGTTGGAGAGGGCGCAGCATTTCTTTCTGATCCGTGCTGTAGTTGAGGGGAGATCTCCTCGATTCATTCTAAAAGAGCTTGTGTGCCGAAACGAAACCTCTATATCAGCTCACTATCCGAATAGATGTCCAGTGGGTTTGTTTGATCACGGACGACTCTCTCTTGTCTTAATGCCCTTTCGTTGTTAAACCTGTAAACAAGACGCACTGCCATCGTTATTTACCTTCTTGCCTGTTTTACGTTACTATGGATACTAGTCTGTCTTTCTGATTTACGCCTGCTCCATACTAGGCGTAAAAGTTACACCCGGGTGCAACGCATACAGGGCATACTGGTGCACTAGTCATAACTTTAGTTTGGTTTTAACTTTCGGTTTTACGTCGGACGTAGAGTTACGCCCAGTCTTACGCCCATCTGGTGCACTCCACTCCAGGATTGTAGTGTATAACATTTACATTTTACTGTAATGCAGCCTTTAAAAGCAGTAAAAACAACATTTACAATATTTAAATATCTAAGTTCTAAGACGATATCTAGTCTCACATCAGGATATTGATATTTAGCTGAGCCCTTCATTAAACTAAACTCTCAACAGTAGATACACTATGTATCCAAGACAAATTTTGAAATTTAAGTCGGACTTATCTTAATATTTTCAGGCAATACTAAAAATCGTGATGGTTTGTCCTCACAGATGCAGACCAAAGTTTGGGAGGCTCGAATTCGCCCATGGATGTAGCACAAATGGACGGAATAGGGCCGGACCCTAGCCTTGGGGAACAAGATGAACAAAACCCTCATGAGAATCATAAAGAGGGGTTACCACATTATCTGGGGAAGCTGGAAGAGCAGGGTAGCCTGGCGTGTCCCGAGTCGATTGAAGAGCCCGGAGAGGAAGTGGACGGGTTCATTTTGTACCAGGCGGTGGAGGAAGAGACCATGGAGAACTCTCTGGACACTGACACCTTGATGGGGAGCGCTACTGGACAGGAGGAGGGTCCGGTGGAGTGCACCAACCTGGCGGATCAGGTGGATGAGATCTCTGAAGGGCATCACATTTCTCTTATGGACGAAACACCAATGAAAGACGTCAAACCCAACAAGATGGTGCTGCAGAGCATTTACTCTGAATACGCACCACCTTCCTGCCCTGATGCTTCTGTCTCGACTCCTAATGGAACATTAAAGCCCAATGACACCAGTACAAAAAGTTCTGGAGTAAAAACTGATCAGGAAGACTACAGAGTTGAACATCTGAACTTGCCAGATGGCGGCAGAAATCAGGACAGCAAAGTCAATCTCCTGGAGCAGAATGAAATGGCTCTACCTTCAAACAGTATTGAAACAAAGCCATCTGATCTGAAGTTCTACAGAGGTGCTGAGAAGAAACCACAGCCACAAGAGCTGCCGGTTAAGTTAGAGGAAACAAAGACAGAAGCTTTGGACGTTTACCCCGACAGCTCTGAGCTCAAACACGGAAGATTCCTTCCCTACCGTGTAAAGTCAGAGAACTCGGTGACCAAAGCCGAGCAGTTAGACTATCCGGTCAAACCAGAAACTCCGGAGACCAAACCTGAAGATCTCAGCCTGTCAATGAAGACCGTAGACCGGAAACCAGAAGTTCTCCAGTTTGCAGCGTACTCTGAAATTAAACCTGAAGCCAAACCAATGGCTTATTGTTTTGCCACTTATCTAGATGGAGTTAAGACTGAGACGGAGCCGGAGGACTTGAGTATGACAGCCTTTGTGGACAGGTCTGCCATCAAGCCTGAAGCCAAGTCAGAAGGTCTGGAGTTCACTAACTACCCAGACAGCTCGGAGATTAAACCAGAGGCGAAGCCGGAGGACCTGGCCTTCTCATCTTTACCAGAGATTAAAGCTGAGACCAAGCAGGAGCTGCTGGAGGCCGACAGCACCGTCCTCACCCCCAAGCTGGAGCAGGGGGAAGGGCTGGGGGACGCCCCGGAGAGTCTGGGGGGCAGAGGCCCAGTGAAGGAGGAGAGGCCGAGTACACCAGGTGAGGAGTCAGAGTTTTAGAAAGAGATCATTGTTTAAGGAGGATGATAAAGAGTAGAAGTACAACATGGCGGCCTACTGCTCCTAATACTAGGATAGGTAAAAGGCAGAGACTCATTTGCACTGTGCGTTTCTGCGTACTTGTACATGTGTGTGGCGATTAAAGAGGATTTCATACGAATCCTCCGTTACCAATTGTGTTACCATTAATCATGATCTAATTATTAATGTATGAATTGATTTATCATCGATTATCTTATTAACTCTATACATTTACTATAAAATGACAGAAAGTGTTAACAGAGACCAACTGATCTCTTCTATTTATCTTACACATTTCTCAGGAAGCATTTTTATTAAGAAACATGTAAAAGTTCAAATGTGAGATAAAGCCAGCCTATGTTTAGTAATATCTCCTTTGAGAATGGCCTGAAATTATAAATAACAATGGTTAAATGAATTTTCTATTGATTGTACTCGACTTATTCAAAGACCCACATGATGCTATTAATTAAGGCTGTTGTATTAATCCTTGCCTTCTGGTTGTCAGGAAATTACATTGAGATGCTTCTAAAAGCCAGGCGTGTTGTTGAGCTGTAACATGTCCCCCTCTCCCTCAGTGCCCCTGGTGGAGTGCTATGGAGGCAGCCCCAGGTTTGCGGCTCCTATTTCTGTGTGTGAGATTCCCGACAGCCTCCACGACAGCCGGGAGCCGACCATCGCTCAGCTGCTGCAGGAGAAAGCTCTCTACTCGTTCTCTGAGTGGCCCAAGGTACCCAATTGTGTCCAACATATTTAGGAAATGCAAAACTTTGAAATGAGCTTATTTTTCTTTTTAAATGCACCTTTGTTCACTATAGTAGGCCAGTATCTGTAAGGGTTTCTTTAAGGTTATTCCCCCTAATAGTGTATCACCATGCACCTAAAGGTTATTTTTTCTGTTGTAAGAAGGCAACATTTTGACTTGACCACATTTTTACACATTCAGAAATCAAGTGGTGAGTTTTTGGTGTGATGCCTGAAATAAGATATGTGGTTAACATGAGATTTTCACGTTTTGTTCTACGACAAAATATGAGTCAGTAAATACCCCACTAGGGAATGTCTGAAGCTTTTGTGTCATAAAAATTGCGGTTGAAAACAAGTGACCTAACGAGACTACAATTAATCAGACCGAACATTAGCCGCCTTTAGCTTAGCGGTGGTGACGTGAAATCATGTTTTTTTACAAGCCCACGTTAGCATTTTAGTTCTGGCAATTACATTTACGTTCATCATAAGGTGGTGTTAATGTGTCGAGATTATAAAGAGATCAAATATAGTAGACATTTCAAATCAGCTGTTTTGGATCCATGTAATTACATTTTTGTTCGCCTATTATTATCTTTCAATCCAATTTCCAGCTATTTTATATTATCGAAAAAGATAAATAATGATATAAGGAAACTCTATTAATGCGTCTCCCAGTGGTTTTAGTGGAACGTTGATACATTTCCTTTAATTGTGTTGAGTAAAACAAAAACGTATAGCCATCTTGACCAATGCCTATGCTGTTGTGTGGCCCCCTGTAGGACCGGGTGATCATCAACCGCCTGGACAGCATCTGCCATGCCATCCTGAAGGGGAAGTGGCCTTCGTCCATTGAGCAGTACGACTCCCCTGGCTCCATGGTGGCCAACTCCTGCCTGGCCACCAGCATCGCCCAGCACCACCAGCGAGCCAGCTTCCTCACCACCACCACCGCCTCCAGCTCCGTCCCCAGCCAGGCCAGGGGTCAGCAGACCAGCGCCGGGCTGGGCTTCTCCCTCCCTCCCCCCCTCACAAGGCTGCCTAAGGTGAGAACATCCCTGGGAAACACTGACTGTATGAAACTAACTCTCTGCTGTACATATCTATGCATTTGTCATCCGTCAACATGTATCTCCACTATCTCATGCCATGGTTCATAAATGGTGTCCATGCTAATGGCTAATAAAGCTAATAGTGCTAATAGACTCCTGACAGCTAACAGACTTTGAAAGTGCTTCATCACTTTTACTTTTTATTATATTTGTATTCATGTATTTAGTATTGCTCTTTCCAGACAATTTTAATAGGTTTTTAAAAAAAATTAATAAACCAAATTTGTGTTTAATCCACTCTTTGTAATTTGCTAATAATGTTAAAATAACATTATGTAGATATATTTTACACATGATTTAATGTACCTTTGTTCGATCTGTAGCTCAACACATAAAAGATGTATTCATGTTTACACATACAAAAATAATTAAATATGGAGCAATTTTCCACTTGGCACCTCTCACCATTGTTTCTTCTTTGTAAAGTTTTGTCTGTAATGTTGATATTATACATGTTGATATCAGACTTGGGCAATAATGATTTAAAAGGCACATATGTATAGAAACAGTATTTATTAACTTTAATAACAGAAATTGAAAGAATATTGTAAAACTATATTCGGTCATGTACACCCAATTTAGGGTCTGAAATATTATCTATACAGTGTGTTTCATTCAACATGATTGTTTCCCAATGTTACACACTATAGACTAGAGGACAGATTGTCCTTTCAAATAAGTAAGAAAGCATATTTTGAGTTTTGTAAACTATTAGAAACAGGAGATTCTTAAAGTTATGCATTTTAAGGTTTTCCCATGAGACTGATTTTGATAGATCTAGTCACATAATCGAGCTCTCTGTGGTAAACACATCAGGCAGGGTTAAATACGTTTTGAACTTGAAACAAAAGGAAAATATAAATTCAACAAAAAAATCTGCTGAGCTGTCAGCCTCATGTTTTACCCAGGTCTGGTTGATAGCCCTCACTGTGTTGTGTCTCAGTCCATATGTGTGTCTAACAAACATCATCTCTCTCCCATCTTGTCTGCCCCTCACCCACCCTGTCCACTCTGATAGTACATGTCGCGGGGCGGCGCATGCGGGCGCGGAGCTTGGCGCCTCACCTCCTTGCCTCTCTTACAGGAGAGGCTGGTGGCTCCTCCCTACCTCCCCGAGCTCAAACGAGCGGGGGGGCGGAGGTCCTTCGACTATGAAGCCGCTGCTGCTGCAGCCAAGGTATTAGGCGGGAAATCGGCACCGTCATGCCACACTGCCACCACCACGAGTTCCAGTGGTGCCTCTGCGGTGGTGGCTCCGCCCTCTCATCGCACGGGGGCCATGTTGATTAACGGCTGGCAGGAAACAGCCATAGATCTCACCAAGTCCTCCGGAGAAATAAGCACCACCAGTGGCATGGGGTCAGGAGGAGCTGTGGGACTCAGCGGTCACAAGCTGCCCCCTCCACCCCCCATCACAGCGCCGCTCTCGGGCCCCGTAGGGATCGACATGGCCGGGATCCTGCAGGCGGGGCTCATCCACCCTGTTACGGGGCAGATAGTTAACGGGAGCCTGAGGGGAGATGACTCCCTGAGGAGGAGGAGAGGCAGGAGGAGAAACGTTGAAGCTCTGTACTCTGAGTTCACCAAGAGCAGAGGACTGCACCTCGCCGACACTCAGGTGGGTGCAGGGAGGAGTAAGGGCGTAGGGTAGCTCTGATTGTGTGTGCTTCACTGTGAGGGGGAAAAGTCATATCAAAAAGATGCAGGAGGAAACCCCTCTCCCTGCTCAGAGGTTAAAACAGCTGTTTGTGTGTCTTTCAGCTGCAGGGCCGGTTGGATGTGATCAGCCACTCCTCCGTCTCCTCCTCCACCTCCTCGCCGTCCCCTTCTCCTTCTGACCGACCCGCCGGCCCTCCAACACCGTCCTCCTCTTCTACGCCCACCCCCACGCAGACCCCCCCTCAGCCGGAGATAGTGGCCATCGACAGAGAGGCGGCCAGCAAAGGTCTGATGGAGTGGCTGAGGCAGAACCCGGGCTACAGCATGGACCTGCCCGCCTTCTCTCACGTGAGTCTGATGTTTGTTTAACTGCTTGGATGTGGAATGAAGTTTATCATCTAGGGCTTGCAATTAGACTCTCACTATAACCCTGAAGAAAGGCTCACTTCAGCATTAGCATCCAACACTTTTTAAACAGTGCAATTCAGCATTCATATCCTATAAATAGTTATACGCCACTGCATATATAATGTAATGTACATACACTTTATATAGAGCAATGTGCAATTTTTACTTTTAACTTCTTATTTTTATTTAATGTTATTTCATCTTTTATAGGACATTTTAACTTAATTAATTATTTTTTTTACTTTCTGTTTGTCTTTATCGCAAATGTATTTATCTTTTGTTTATGTCATTCTAAAATAAAGTAACTCCCGTGAAACCCAAATTCTGACAGCATAAAACAAGTATTCTGGTTCTGTTTAGTGTATATCTTCTTTGATTTTGGATATCGTAACATTTATTTCCTGGTTTTAAAGGTGGTATCAGCAAATCATTTAAGAAATCCTCAATGTCCATATCTACATTATCATTCCAATGTCGAATATATAGTACAATGCAGAGGTGGGACCAAGTCATTGTTTTTGCAAGTCTGAGTCAAGTCTTTGCGCTCAAGTCCGAGTCAAGTCTTTGCGCTCAAGTCCGAGTCAAGTCTTTGCGCTCAAGTCCGAGTCAAGTCTTTGCGCTCAAGTCCGAGTCAAGTCTTTGCGCTCAAGTCCGAGTCAAGTCTTTGCGCTCAAGTCCGAGTCAAGTCTTTGCGCTCAAGTCTGAGTCAAGTCTTTGCGCTCAAGTCCGAGTCAAGTCTTTGCGCTCAAGTCCGAGTCAAGTCTTTGCGCTCAAGTCCGAGTCAAGTCTTTGCGCTCAAGTCCGAGTCAAGTCTTTGCGCTCAAGTCCGAGTCAAGTCTTTGCGCTCAAGTCCGAGTCAAGTCTCAAGTCAGGATGGGCAAGTCCTAAACTTTGACAAAACGAGTCTTAAACAAGTCCTTATGTGCTTTTCAACAAATGTAATGACATCGATCAACAGAATAATACTTAATAATCAAACTGCTCTTTATTAGTCACATGGGGGTTGGAGACCCCTGAATTAAAGTATCAAGTCACCTCAAGTCAGAAGGCTCAAGTCCAAGTCAAGTCCAGAGTCATTGGTGTTCAAGTCCAAGTCGAGTCACAAGTGTTTTGTGATTTTGTCAAGTCGAGTCCAAAGTAATCAAATTGGTGACTCGATTCCAAGTCATGTGACTCGATTCCAAGTCATGTGACTCGAGTCCAAGTCATGTGACTCGAGTCCAAGTCATGTGACTCGAGTCCAAGTCATGTGACTCGATTCCAAGTCATGTGACTCGATTCCAAGTCATGTGACTCGAGTCCAAGTCATGTGACTCGAGTCCAAGTCATGTGACTCGAGTCCGCACCTTTGGTACAATGTGATGTTCTTCATATCGCCAAGCCCTATAAATAGCAAGGTGTTTTTGATTCTCATGAGATAAGATAGGTTGAGATTCATCTTTATTAACCCTCCAAGCAGTTAGAAACAAATGAAACATAGAACATGGTAGGTAAAAGTACAAACAGGAATACAGAATAGGACAAATGTAAGTAACAGTATCAATTCAAATAATAGAATGATATGTCCGCAGAATTTGAGTATATGTGCCTTTTTTATATTTTGTGCTTCCCATTTCCAACACTATCTGAGCTGATATTTCGACGACATCAATCTTATTCTCTCCCACATCCTCTTCCTCCCTCCTGTCCTTTGCCTCCCCCCACAGTCTGGAGCAGGGCTGTTACACAGCTTTGTGGAGCGTCCCAAGCAGAGGAGGCATCGCTGTAAAGACCCCACCAAGCTGGACATCAACTCTCTGACGGGGGAGGAGAGGGTCCCTGTGGTGCACCGAGGCACCGGACGCAGGGTACAGCACACACACACACACACACACACACACACACACACACACACACACACACACACACACACACACACACACACAGTGGCAATATTTCTGATTGCATGAATAAATACTATATTTGTTATGTTGGTCACTGGTTTAAGTTCAGCCATTTTGCTTTAAAAATGTGCATGTGTGTATTTCAACTGTACACATTTTTATAACAAAACCGATAGAAAACCGAATTTCCCCTAGTGGGATGATAAACTGTCTACTTTATGATAAATAACGTCTATACTGAGTCATTTGAGAAACGATCCAGTTTTCCATACATTTGGGAATGCAGGAAAATCTTGAATATTATTAGTGTTCTTGTTCTAATACTGCCTGTGTTTTCTTGCCTTGCAGCTGGGTGGTGCTATGGCTCCGGCCATAAAGGAGCTGTCCAGGTGGCTGGATGCCAACTCAGAGTACTATGTAGCTCCAGACTGGGCTGACGTGGTCAAACACTCTGTGAGTAGAATACACCGTGTTGTCAGTCATAAACATTCCTGCAGCAAAATCTATTGATTTTTTATATTCTTTGTGGTTTTCCCATTGTTACTACTATTGTTGTTGTGCTTTAATGTTACTTTGGATTCCTAAACTCTATTTAATGAATTTACATTATGAAATGACATTTAAATACATTTATTAAAAGCAAAGGTATAAAATACAAGTATAATACAAACAGTGTAGTGTGAGATATGAATAGTTATTTGATTTAATAAAAGGCAGCAGCAAATATAAAAGCCTTCAGTATTGATTTATTATGCTCTCTTAAAGGGGACCTATCATGCAAAATGCACTTTGTGATGTCTTTTATACATAAATATGTGTCCTCGGTGCGTCAGAAAATAAAACCCTGGGTGATCTGTTTGGTATTTTGATAAAAAAACTTCACAGACATGTTTTGTATAGGTATGGCCCTACAATATATGTTTCCAATATAGCATGATAGGTCCACTTTGGATTCCTTTCTTCTGTCACACAGTCACTGTTATCTTCTTCCTCGATGACCCCCCCCCCCCCCCCCCCCCCCTGCAGGGTTTCCTCCCTGAGGGTCAGTTCTCTCGGATCCTGACAGAGCCAGTCAACAGAGACTTGGGCTCTCGGCGCCGAGGGCGACGGCCTCGCAGCGAGATGCCCAAACCCCTCCTCTCCGTCTCTGACTCCGCCTCCTCTGCTCTCGGCCCCCCTCTCTATATGAACGGAGGGTTGATTGGCAGCATGGACTCCATGGTGACCATGCAGAACCTCCGGGGGGGGATCTCAGGGATCCCCATCTCGGGCATCATGGCGGCTGGATTCCCTCACGGCTTCTCTGCAGCGGTGCAGGCTGGGGGGGCCGGGGGGTCGGCAGAAGACGCCAAGAATGGGTTGAGTATGTTACCCATGATGCTCCACGGAATGCCGCACCCCCATGGGACTGGGATCCCTCAACACGCCTTGTTCAGTGTCGGCGCGATGATGGCGCACACCCCTCACCCCAGCTCCTCCTCTTCCTCCTCGCTGTCCGCCGCAAAGGTCACCACGACAACCGCACCGTCTACATCGGAGGCGACCAGCCCCTCATCGACCACGCCTGCCGACAGAGAGAGCAGCGGCCCCCCCGGCTCAGGGGGAGAGAAGGAGAGGAGCCAGGAGGAGAGAGAAGCAGCCAACAAGAGAGCAGGGCTGGGGGAGACGGCGGCCATCATCACTTCCACCAGCAGGGCGCACATCGGAGCTGCCCACCTGGGGGGGGGCAGCCATCTCACCTTCAACCCCTTCCTGATCCCCGGCATGTCCCACGGCCTGCTGTACCCGCACATGTTCCTCCCCCATGGGGGCATCATGGCGCTGCCCGCCATGCCCCCCGGTGCGGGGGACGGCTCCCCCGGCAGCCCCAGGAGGAGGAGGAAGAGGGGGAGGGAGGAGGGGGAGAGGGAGGAGGAGAGGGAGAAGGCAGCGAAGGTAGAGGAGACAGAAAGTACAGTTAAGGCTAACGTCTCCTCCCCCCCAGCCTCCTCCTCTTCTCCATCCGTCCCCTCTACCTCGGATCCAGACCCCACTGAACAGCCCCAGGAACCGGACTCCCATAACCCCTCCGAGGGAGCAGCAGCAGAGGGGAAGGAGGAGAGATCGGAGGACACAGCAGGAGAGGCGGCGGAGGAGGAGGAGCAGCGGGACCCTGAGGAGCAGAGACAGGGGGAGGAGGCGTAGAGGGGGAGAAACTGTCTCCTCCATGCCCAGCGAGTCAGCGACTGAGCAACAGTGTAAAGTTTGTGCCGTGTCTGTCAGTCCATGTCCATGTAAAGACTTTTATTATGATGATGACTAATGATGATGATTATATCCAACTTGGTTATGTTTATATACCAAGACCCCACCCACCCTCTCCACTCCCTCCTTGTATACAAAAAAGAACTGTGTAAGAAACCTCTGTGTATTCTTCCCCTTCATTCTGCATCGAGACTCGTCAGGACATTTCTCAACACACACCCACACACACACTGCAGGCAAGATGTGGTAACCAAGGAGCAGCTTTGGCAGTAATGATCCGGTTATAAGCAGAAGGTGGTGTGACGCAGAGTTTAGTTTGGTGTGTTTGCGCGGAGGTGGCTCTGTAAAGTGTAAGAATCTCTCACCACCGTTTGGGAATTCAGAGAAGCACTTGTGTATCTTTTTGTTTATGGTCCAAACCTGAGCCTGTCTTGTTATTTTCACTTCTGCCACAGTCCACTAAATACATTTTGGGGGATTATATCTGTGCAATGTTCAAAGACTAGATGAACCTGGAAGTGTGTCTTTGTGACACTGAAGAGTCTCAACCAGCATTCCCAGACACATGTGACACTAAAACACCTTTTCTTTTCAATACTAAAGGAAAACTCTGATAAACCTTTTTATGCAAGAATTAATCTACCTAAAAAGAAAGAAACAAAGTGTGGCCCAAAACCTTTTCAGAGTGTAGCCCTTTTGAATATTTTTCAATTATCGCAATGTGACCCAAAGAACAAAATAACATTTGGGAAAGCTACCTAATTATAAAAAAACCATTTGTTTCTGTTACGTTTAACTCAAATTTAGCTAATTGTGACTGTAATATTGTCAAAAAGGTCACAGAACAAGTGAGTTTAATATTACCCAGACATGGATGTTGTATCTTTGTGTAAGATAGCATTATCAGCCAACCCCCCCTTCCCATTTTAAATACTGTCAGTCATATTTCTTTTTTGCTATTATCAATGCTATGGCGTTGCTGCTACAACTTCTTTTGAAAAAGGAGTTCAGAGAGAGTTCAATGTTCTTCACTCTTCCCACTAATGTAATAATCCAGATTCCTAGAAGTGCAACAGATATTCATAACAAGAACTCCAACTTCTGCTTTTACTGATAAAAGCAGAGAACAATCATGAGATTATTCCTTTTTTTATTTCTTTTTAGATAATTTTATTATCTTAATTCTCAGACACAAGGTCACTTTGTGAGAACTGCCCTTCAAGTGTGCAGGAACATGAAAGAAATGTCAAAGTGAAGAGCGCAGTCTGGCCACTAGGGGGCGGTAGGAGGTAGATTTTATTCTAAACTGCAAATGATTGAGAAATGAAGACATTTCTTGTTTGAAGCCCTGAGGCTGCTAACAGTATATCTAGTCACAAATGGAGTGAATCCAAATCACCAGGAATAGTGTAAAAAGGACCTGTAGCAACTCAACTCTGTTTACTTCTTAATTCTGTGATCAGAAACATCTGTCGACCATCTGAGCATCGAAAGGGAATATCCAGTTTTACTGATCAAACAGGAAGAAGAAGGAATCGCCCTGGTTGAGTGCCTCTTCGTCTCGTTTCTTTTCCTCGGATTAGTTTTAATAGCAGTTCATCGTAAGAGTTTCTGAATATGTAAATCTCTCGCTGTATATTGCAGGGTTTTCTTTTCTTTCTTTAAGTGCACCATTTATTTTCTCACCTTTGTTTTTGTTCCTCCATTGGGAAAAAGAATACTTGACAGATGCAAGTGGGAGTTTTGCATTGAGGTTAGTCCTAGTGTTTTTGGTATCAAACAGACTGTACATTACACAGATGCAAGTCACTTGTTTTATTCTGTCTTTTCAGAACAGGGTCTGCATTTTGGGGGTTATTTGTCAAATATTTCCGTTTTATGATGTTGGACTTCACTTTGTTTTGTTTTCATACATGAAAACATTATTTTTGCACAATGTCTTTACGTGAATGTTAACCTGTACTGTCTTGTATTTCTTTTACGTGTGTGAGAGTGTGTGTGAGAGAGTGTGAGTCTGTGTGCATGCATGCGCACACCTGTCGTCGTGTTTCTACTTACAGGTCACATTTGTTGTCGAAAAAAAAAACATAGTTGTTGCCTTGTCACATGTTTGTGGCTACATATAATTTATTATATTTTTCTTTTTGCTTCGCCAAACTTTCACCAAATATGACATTCTTTTTTCTCTTAGTTTCATTATGTATTATTCAAAGTAAAATGCCTTATTTAGCTAGTATTTTTTGTATTGATGTTCCGTTACATCTCCATATAGGGACATGTTATTGTGTTGTCTTCAGTTTGTCCTTCGCTTGTATGCGTACACGGCCTTTGGTGTTGTGCATTATCTTCAAAATCCAACAGTAATGCAATGCTACCACTGTCCAAATCACTACGTTAATTCCCAAAAATCAATCAGTCCTCCCTCAAAGCACAAATGGAGAGTTAACTAAATGTGTTTTCTTAGCAGTGCCTCTAAAATTACTCTAAATAGTTTCTCTTTTGTGGTCTACACTTCATCATCCTCGGGAAAATGAGAACTCTTTCTTGGATTTCATTTGCTGATGATACCATGCTGTTCGTTAAAGGGGAATTGTGGAATGTGAAAACATTTATTCATAAGATAATCACGGTGCTTAAAAAATCGGACCGCACAAACACTAGGCTATGCTATCAGGGATGCTATTGATGTGCGTCAAGGAATTGTGAGAGGCCATTATCTCCTTTTCTTTTGTAAAGTACGGTCCGAAGCCCGTTACCTCAAAATGTAGATAATAGAGTGGTGCAGTAATGAGTCCTTAAACCCGGGTTTATTTGTCTCAAAATCAATGGTTTTGTGGACGTGATTGTGGTAAGATGCTTGAAATAGGGTCTGTGGTTAACACAAGCTAAGGAGATTTTTACGTTTTGTTCAACAACATAAAATACGTGAGTAAACACTCCACTCCTGAATGTTCCAAGCTCCTATGTGTCATTAGAATGGCGGTTGCTAACAAGACACTAAATAAACGACAAAACGTCATCACACCGAAGATTAGCCGCCTTTAGCTTAGCAGTGGTGATGTACAGACCTTGGTGTAGTTTGTTTATCGTCTTACATTAGCTTTTTATTTCTGCAGATTTCATTTACGCTTCAAAAAACACAAATTGGTGTTGATCTGTGGAAATAATCCTGTTGAAAAAAACGGCTTCAATATAATAAACGTGCGTTGGCAAGAAAGCTCTTTTTGGAAATGGAAAAGTCCCATTGCTTTTTGTAGAGGGAGCCCTATTGGGATGCTAACTTCCGCGCCAGGTACTAAAATCCATCATCCACTCTATTCTACCAGCTATAACTATGGCTGCTACTTACTGTACTGTAGATTGTTCCGGATCTTTTCAAACAGTAATCTAATACAAGAAGACTTTTTGAGCGCAACCTGTGACATTGTTCTCTTGACATTTTAAAAACTGTACAGAGTTAGTTCTCCCCCTCTGGTGAACAATATTATTACCAGTTGATTGGTAACAACAACATTCTGTAATTTCCCTTTAACGAAGGCTATTTAATCCCATAGCGTTCTCTCACTGCACGAGGCCTTCTGTTTGGTATCCAGCATGTCTAGGATGGTATTGCACACACAGTACATATCCAGTTTTTGATTGTTCTGTGTTTGTCCAGATTCCTGGGGAAAAAGCATCAGAAGAGAAAACTATTTGTTACTTACGACACCTAAAGTATCTTAACTTTAAAAGCCGCAGCCCATGTATGCACATCACTTCCTGTTACTGACATGTCCTCGTGTGAAAACCTGAAGCAAAGGTATGTGACAGCAGGTGGAGGTCGATGGATGGCTCTGTATTGTCTGTTCATGTCACACCATGCCTTCTTTAACAGTGTTCTGTCTTTTCATTGAAATCCTTTTACTCCTTCAGAACCTCAAAATGTTTTTTATCTCTTATCATGAATAATGTATTTATTGTATAGTTACTGTCTTTACATTGTTGTCTCATGACTGAATAATGGCTGGTTTTGTTTCTCTTGAACGTCCCCTTTAAAAAAAACTTTTGGTTCACATGGAAAATTCCTCTGCTTTGCTTTGTAGCCCTGGCCACCTGCTTTTAAATGCAATGACTCCGTAAAAATACCTAATATCAAAATCGCGGAACTAAGCTAAATAATAATCTGTTGGTCCAAAATTATAAAATGACCACGTGACTGCATTTCAAGAACAAATGACTGAACCATCAGCTTTAGAAACTGCATACCTGAACCAGAAAGCAAGCTTAGATTAAAAAAAAAATTCCTTTTTATTTACTTTGTATTGAAAAAATCAATAAAACTGGATTGTTAATCATGTAGTTTTAGTTTCAGAGTCGTCAATTTGGTAAAAACATATTTACAACATTCATACAAACGAAATGAGAGGGCTGGGTTGCGTGGCCTGATGTGTTTAATTTCCTTTTCATCAGATCTAAAAAAATGTGTCCTTTAAAAATGAGGATCCTGGGGAAATATTTGATGACCATGTCGTCTTTGGCTGTTGCTCAACTGGGACCCAAACATTCATTTGCAAATGACATGAAAAGAATAAGGTGAATGTAGCCAGGTCATGTGAGGGGGGAATCCAAACACACTCCATAAAGCTCAAAAAAACAAACCGTCCTTCATGTTCTGTCTTATTCATTACAGGCTGGTTTCACAGATACTAAACAACTTTCTTAAAAGCAGAAGTGAAAACATAACAGTCACAGCTTCTGGATTTATCCCACTCATTTTGTAGTTTTAAACTACACTAAGCTGTAAAGAAATCTTCTGTTTCTTCAAAATAAAAGCGTGACAAAGGGGCTGCCCAAATAAATTAATAGGTTCATAAAAATCAAATCAAACTACTATGACTCTTTTTTTGCATCCATAATTTTAGGACAGATTATTTTTCTGAGGCATGCTCAAAAGAAACAAACACTTAAAAAACAGATGTTTGTGAATGAAAGCCAGAAGTATAAATATGTGCAGGTTCAGACAGTTGATCAGAAAGGCAAATGAATGAGAACTTCACCTCCACCTCCCAACTCATGTCTGTGAAGCCACCCAGCTCAATATAACAAATAAAGGACGAGTTCAAAAACGTGACTTTTCACAGCTCCTATACTCACGTTATGGAACCAAGTGCAATGCAATCCACACGGATGTTGTTCTTAAAACGGAAGAAAAGACAAATACTGGCTGCTCCTGGAGTCAGGCCGTTACTGAGTAAGTTGTACGGTGGGGTTTTTATCTAGTTTCTTTTATTTTCTTATTTGTAACTATAGCTCTCCATGTGGACCAATCTCATGAGTCAAAACATGGTAATTGTGATCTTTTATCGTGCAATAAAAGATGACTTTCAACTTTCTCTTGTCTTTGGTGAGTACTTCATTAATCACTTCTGCTGAATTCTGAATTTCATTATTTTATTTAAAATGTCAGGTTTATTGACCTTGGTGACCCTGAAGTGGTCTGCAGCTCGTTCAGTGCGCTGCTCTGCTTTCTGCATATTGCATGCTGGGAATGACTTCAGCGGTCCTGTAAGGCTGAGAGGATTGAGCAGGTAGGGAACAAGATCAACTGTCCTACAACCGAGAAACACTTTTCATTTATGTCTAATAATAAAGAAAAGTAAAGCATAAGGATATTTCATAATCTAATTATGTCATCCCTATTGCAATGTTTAAAATATTGCTTGTGCAGCTTTATTACAATCTACCACTAGAGCAGTGGTTCTAAACTGGTGGGTCGCGGACCAGTTTTGAATGTTCTAACGCTGTGCATGCAGTAGGCGTTGGACTGGAAGTACTAGAGACCATAAACTGTTTTGAAAATTTCTGTCACGTAGTGATCATCTTCTCAATAAACGTCCCCACGGAGAATAACTTTGCGGTAGAACTACTCTTTATACATCCATGGGTACAACTTGAGAGAAAAATGAACACATAATGAAATATGACCCCCGGTTTGATGATTGACAGGTCACAGAACAATGGGAGCTATCAACACATCCTCACTCCCAGGTCGGCCTATGTTGACGTTATGTCAAGTCCCCTGTCGGCTTTTTCCAACGCAAGGGGGGGGGCCTTAGCGTCCATTTTCAACGCAAGGGGGGGCCCTTAGCGTCCATTTTCAGCTTTCCGGGATGTCCATATGCTTCTATGGACGCTCATGGAAGCACGGCATTCGTTTGTGTCGGCTGCCCTTAAAGGCAATGTGAGCGTCCATTCTCATTGGATAACGGAGAATTGTACACCCGGAAGTAAGTATTCCCCTTACTGTCGATTGATTTTACAGTGATATCTGCACTACTCATCGACTAAAAAACACCAGATTATCCTTGTTAATTACACAACATTGATTGGTTTAAATTGTGTGCAATGCTTTTGTATTTTTCCCCTTCGATTTGGAGAAACAAATATGTTTTCGGAGTAAAGGATGGCAGAAGACACTACACTACCCAGAATCCCCAGCTATCGTTTGGACTACACCATGTGCTCTGTTTGACGTCACGTGATCTTCAAATTTCTCCCTGAAGAAAAAAAAAACATGGCCGAACTTCGTTTTATTCTCGATGGAAAATGCCTATTTTAAAGTTAGTTTGGCCATTAAAATGCGTTTCGATGTCATTTGATGCGAGAAATATGAGTTGTTATTTCAGATTATGTGTGCAGTGGATGTACATGATCTTTAGTTTGCTAGTTATTACGAAGATTACTTCAGGAAATTGCGTCCATAACGTTTTAATTGTTACCAAGGTGGTTGCTAGGGACGCTGCTATCGATATTATTTCTGTTATGTTGTGTAACTGTTTAATGGTGTTATCTTTATTGCTACCCCCTTCCCCGTCAATGTATAGTGTTGGTCCACAGCGAAAACATATTAGTTTAACAAAATCCGCATCTAAAGATAGCCTACGTTATTTTCCCCTGTGCAATTCCAGTCTCACATCTCACAGCACATCGTCATTAACAAATAACGGAAACAGACCGAAAACATTTAAAAAAAAATACAATAATACTTTATTCCGAGTGTGCTTGCTTTTCTCTTTGGAAGTCATCACATAACGGCATTGTAATACACGGTTCGGCTGCATTAAATGTTACATATCTGCCGTAGTTCTGTATTTATATAGCCCTGATGAGAAGACTTCTAGACAAACATGAGGAACTGAAAACGTGACGTGGATCATAAATATATCAGCCATTAAACAACATCTTACATTTCTTTTCACACAATACGTCTCCTTGCAGTATCAACACTAATTCGGCTGACTTTTATATTTGATCCAATTGGTAGATAGGCTGTATTTACACCATAAAGGTGCACAGCTGATATAAAGGGACACCTAGTGGTTAAAGCATGTTATTGAATTTCATTATTTTTATTATTAGATATTAATAGGATCCCTATATAGTATATTAATTACTCGTTATTCTCTACTAATAGTTAATTAAAGACTGTATATAATGACTATTTTGCACATCCCTTTCAAGATTTCAAGATTTTCTAAGGTTTATTGACATATCATATAGGCCTACACAACTATGGTGTAGTTATGCATTGAATGAAAAACTTGGGTCGCAGGTTCCTCAATAGTGCATTACAAGACATCTATCAATATGTGTGCGTGACTCCAGCAATGTTAACTATGTTGAAGCACTTATTTTAACTGATATTATACATAATGTATTATACTCTTATAGGATGTATGTAGATATTTCATCTCCGACCTTGTCCGGTATTGAACAATCAATAAATAAAGAACACAGAATTGTTGAATATAAAACACAGAATTTGTGTGATTATACTAAATGATTTACAAATAAACACCACTGCATATTTAACTGTTACACATGCTGATGTAACGCAAATGTTCCAACTTGAGATCAATAAAGTATATCTTATCTTAAGCTGATCGATGGCTATACTGCCATATTTGCAAAATGTGCCTCTGAACCTTAACAAGTGCATGTTTCAGGCTTATCAATTCATGTAATGTAATGTAATGTTATCAATTAACAACAGGGGTCACAAACATAAGACCAGCTGTTAAATAAAGCTCTTCTGACCTTAGCTGGCATGTGTGTATATATATATTAATGCTGCCCATTATGGGCACAAGCAATTTCCACCCATTTATTAATTATATGTTTTAAATGTGAGTGTTTCCTATCCCCTAAACCTCCAGGGATGTACACAGTTTAATACTGGCAACTTCTTATTATGGGAAATACGAAAACGTCTTTTAAAACTACAACTCCCAGTAGAGACGTGCCATAGATACAGAACATGTTGCGAAACAGAATAGCCAGCATGTGTAGTTCTGGGGACAGGGTGGGGGAGGGGGGACGCGGTGGACCCGTTCAAATCCAGTTTTGGACAGTCTGCCGTGCTTCCATCCCATTTCAAGTGCTGTTCAAGAATCGGCAACCCTCGGAGCACACTCTCCAATCACAGAGCTTGAGGACTATCACGGGGTTTGTCAAACAGAGCACATGGTGTAGTCCAAACGATAGCTGGGGATTCTGGGTAGTGTAGTGTCTTCTGCCATCCTTTACTCCGAAAAAACATTTGTTTCTCCGAATCGAAGGGGAAAAATACAAAAGCATTGCACACAATTTAAACCAATCAATGTTGTGTAATTAACAAGGATAATCTGGTGTTTTTTAGTCGATGAGTAGTGCAGATATCACTGTAAAATCAATCGACAGTAAGGGGAATACTTACTTCCGGGTGTACAATTCTCCGTTATCCAATGAGAATGGACGCTCACATTGCCTTTAAGGGCAGTCGACACAAACGAACGCCGTGCTTCCATGAGCGTCCATAGAAGCATATGGACATCCCGGAAAGCTGAAAATGGACGCTAAGGGCCCCCCCCCCCCTTGCGTTGAAAATGGACGCTAAGGCCCCCCCCCTTGCGTTGGAAAAAGCCGACAGGGGACTTGACATAACGTCAACATAGGCCGACCTGGGAGTGAGGATGTGTTGGAGCTATCTACCCTTACCCACAATTTAAAGTCATTCACACAGACTCCTCTTTGCTCTTCTCTCTGTGAGGATCAGCAAGCTGTCAGAACAAAGTGAAACACAAACAATGGCATCAAATATTATTAATATGTCGGGTAGAAAAATATTTATTTATTTTCTTCTCAGAGTGTACCAGAATGCGTAGTTTATATGTATTTCTACAAATCTCCTGGGGTTGGGTTTTCAGCATGTTGGGACAGTTCAGCTTTGATTCCATCCTCTCATTAAACCTTATTTACAAGCATACTTTAGTTCTGTTAAGGGATATAAGGGATATATGCACTGCACTTCACTTTAATTAATAATATATGCTGAAAAGCGTATATATTACTGCACGATTTTTTATTGAATAGATTTGAGTGGTTCAAAAATGTTGGGTCGCGATTTATTGACAAAGGAAAAAGTGGGTCCCGAGGCCTGACCAGTTGAGAACCACTGCACTAGAGTGTGGCCATGTAGTTAAAGTATTAAAAAAGCATAAATCGGCTATACTGTAAGTACAAGGACCTTTAATTGTTAAATTGTGTGTGGGAGCTTTCCATTATATTAAACCTTTTGAAATGCAGTTGAATCAACAGTTACAGTGTATATATGACTTCAGCCCTGTTTTAACTCATCTGTTGTTGTTGTTGTTGTTGTTGTTGTTGTTGTTGTTGTCGTCTTGCCAGGAAAAAACACCATGATTCAAAATAAAGGCAAACGAGTAAAGAGGAGAACATTTATATTTTATTCCTTCTGTAAAAAAACAAAACATGTCACAATTTTGAAGGAATCAGAACTCACACTTCTGTACATAGTTATAGGCGTGCAGTCGGTAAAAATATGTAAATAAAAATGTGTACCAGCATCAAAATATACATTTATGGAAACATACATTCATGTAATCTGCATGGAAATAGTGATAAATATTAGACTGACAGAGGCGAGCCAATGGATAGACAAGATATGTTGAATGAGCTCTGAAAAGATAAGGAATCTCCACCCATGCTACACCTTACTGTAGCTTCACTGTGCAATATCAGATTGGACAGGCGGATAATAAGACTGGAGAATACAAAGCTGCTGCTGACGGATGTTCCGACAGGTGTTGGGTGGGGGGTGCGCAGTATGCCTCCTCTCCTCAGGCCTCCTCATGCTCCATGGCGCTCTCTGTCGTTGCGTTCACTGAGTTTCCAGCGGTGTCGTTGGCGAGCAGCCGCTGTCGTTTCCTCTTCCTCCCAAATCCTCCTTTTTTATTCTGTCTTCTTTCTGATGGATGGAAAGCTACGGAGACCCCTAGGGGACATGGAGAAGAAAAAAAAAATTATTTGAAAAAAAAAATATATATGTTTTGTGAGATATCGCAAAACCCCGTTGCAGTTTGTAGACAGTCCCTAAGCACTCCTCTCCCTCCTCCGGCTGCGGATTGTGACCAATTCTTGATGTTTAGCTCGGATGACGGCGCGTATCGAACTATTCTGATCAAAACTACTCTGTAGCTCGTTGTCTACCTTGCTATGATTGTAAAGTCATGTTGTTTGTATTTTTACAACGTTATGTTCATGAGTTATTGATCCGCGAAATTCGAATCTGTCAATAACTCAGCTCAGAGGGACGTGCATGTCCCCTCGCTCTGAGTGTTCTCTTGGGGTGTCTTCACTTATGTGAAACCCGTGCCTATTGCCAAGCACTGATGTTATATATTTATATTTAAGGCCAAGCTCAAAGTAAAATCGATGAACCGCTCCATTGTTGTGGTTTCTGTGTTGCCGTAGCAGCCGAACTGACCAGGTGCTGGGAGTCCCAGCAGCTTCTACTGAAGCCAGTCCCCAACTCCGGGGACTTCCGGCCGGGGACTTTGGGCGGCAGTATACGCCGTGAAGTGGTTTGCGGCCTGCCAGTAAACCCAAAGCAGAAGAAGAAGAAGTGACGTCAGCGGCTTCATTTGCCTAATCCTCCTCCAGGGACTTATTCCGGTGTGAACGCGATCTGTACTTAGTTCATGAGAACTAAAGAGTTCTCATGAACTAAGTTCTCATGAACCTTTGTGGGAAAAGTACTGCGGTGTGAATGCGCCTATAGAGCTAAATGAAAAGTTTTGCGAGTTTGTTTTTTAAAATAATTTTTTTTCTTCTCCATGTCCCCTAGGGGGCTCCGTAGCGAGCCAATTAAAATGGTAAATAGTACAAATATTTTGGTTTCAGTTTGCAGACTACTTTGTTAGGCTTTCACTCATCGCACATCTGTATTTGGTTACCGTTGTGTAACTGTATGGTTTGTTTAATCATTTATAAACAGCCTCACCTCAGGTGCTCCTGTAAGCCCGGTAATGCTGCTGTCGCCCTCTTAGTATCATGTCTATATCAATCATTCTGAAGCTGTGCAGATATAGATAAAGGTCTTGGGCCACCTACACGTTACACCTACAGGAGCTTTTATGACATCCCATTCCAAATTCTTAGGCATTAATATGAAGTTGTTCCCCCCTTTGCAGCTACAACAGCTTCCACTCTTTTGGGAAGGTTTTCTACAAGATTTTGGAGTGTGTCTGTGAATGCTTGCCCATTCATCAAGAAGAGCATTTGTGAGGTCAGACACTGATGTTGGACCAGAGGCTGGCTCTCTGTTCTAGTTCATCCCAAAGGTGTTCAATGGAGTTGAGGTCAAGGCTCTGTGCGGGCCAGTCAGGTTCTTCCACACCAAACTCATCCAACCTAATTTATAACGCCTTGCGTAGGATTCACGTGGGAAGGTTGCTTACGTAGTACAAAGCAAAAAAAGAGGTAAATAAATGTTCCGACATTTTCCGATTCACAAAACATTGCGTACCGGCACTTCCCTCGCCGGTTTCCCTTTATAAATCACAATCGACTCGAAATGCGGCCCAGCTTTTGCGGGCTTCACGTAATGCCCATATTTGCCTATAAATAGTCAAAGAAACGCCCATTCATTCATTCATTCTGACTGACTGCATGAAGAAGATCGCAGGAAATGACGACAGAACAGCTAAAAAAGACATCTCACACTGTGTCAGATTCTGGTTATTTTGGGGAGGTCGAGATAAATCATATTGTTTGGTAGATACAGTTTGAACCAGAGTAGCAGCATGGAGGTCGGATCGTCACCAAAATAAATAAATAAATGGTCTGAAAAAGGTTAATGACAAAATAAATACACATAGCCTTCCTCAGGCAGTGTGTTTGTACCGGGGACAGGAGACCCCCCCCCCTTGATGAGAAACTGTAAGAAATGATCGGGGAATCCCTCCGGAGTGGAGTCATGACGACTGGATCTGAATTATTTTTTTGGTGGTTTGTGTTCCAGCTGTCGATCAGTAACTATATATCCATAATCCACCAGTTGAAGGAAATACAACTAATGTGTTGTGTTATATTAGCTGTACAATTTACCACATATGGTGTTCTTAGTTTCCATACCTCCTGTGTTTTATGAGCGACTTATCAAGTCTTGGCAAACGGCATAAAACACGATTAAACGTGATAGTATATAAAACCATGCTCGTATCTACAACCTATAGAAATACAAAACGGCGTCAGTTTAGACGTAATTCTGTCTTCCTGCTTACCGCATCATTTATGAGAAAACATTTCATAACATTAACACAACATATTCGAGGTGGTTTTAAATAACATCCGTATTTATTTATTTCTCCAAGTTACGTTTTTGTGTGCACTGAGGAGTCTCAAACAGGCGTTTGTTAAATCATTTTAAGATTGGCTTTAATCAATTTGTGAAAATGAATTCTTCATATATGATAAATGAGAGGTAACATTTTATTTATGGTATTATTTCCACATATTTCTCTCCATTCTTCCTTCTGCCAACGGTGTCGCAGTTTCTCGTCTCTCCCGTTGTTGTGCTTAGTGCGTACGCATGGGTTAGAGTTTGCGTGGAGGACCGCACATTTTCCCGTCAAGTTAGTATTTTATAAATCGCAAACATTGCGTAGAAACTGGCGTACGCCATTTTTTGAGCGTATATCTCTTTATAAATGAGGCCCCTGGCCTTTATGCATCTTGCTTTGTGGGGCACAGTCAGTCTGGAACAGAAAAGGGCCTTCCCCAAACTGTTAACTGACATATTTTACGTCATAAACAAAACTTGAAAATCTCAATAGCTTGTTAGAACCACAGATCTTATTTTGAGTATCTTGTTAGTAAAAATGTTTAATCTGTGCAAAACTTTATGGATTACTTTTGGCAACTTTGAGGAAATAAGTCAAATGTGTCAAAAGACACTTGTATTTACATTGCTCTTAGTGTTTTAAGATATAATTAAAATCATCTGAAACTATCTTTTAACAGAAAGTGTATATTTTATAAACGCCTTATTTCCCACAAAGATTTTAGAATGACGAGAATAAGTATTACGGTTGTAAAAACCCTCAGCGCCAGAGTGAAAAGACGTCCATACAAGAACTGGGTGTCTTCCATTTCCCTGTACTAGATCAGTGTTCACCTTATAGGTCTTAAAGTACCATAAACTGTCTGAAGGAAATGTGTGTGTGTAAGACACCAGAAGCTTCCACTGTGGAGCTGCAGACCTCAAACAGCTGCTCTGTTACATTTATATATATTTATATATACAGTTTGCATATATTTGTCAAAGACAAACTGGCAAATGTTGGATTCAGTTGCTCTGACTCCCTCAATTAACTGTTAATATTTCAACACAAGATTTAGAAAAAGTGCTAATAGTGGCTTGAAACATCTGTTTTGGAGTTGAATATTTGGAATCAGGGTAATTATCATTAAGTGTTATGTAAACTGGTGTTGAGTCCAGTGTGTCAGTGAAATATTCTCAATTGTCCTCATACAAAAAACGACCAAATAGGTCGATTGTTTAAACAGCTTAGATTACGACCCATAGCCACGTTTTAAAGTGTAGCACCTCTAGTGGCCGTTTATTCGTTTATTCACAAATAACCCTCTCTGGAAAATCCTAAATTGTAGAATAGTTTGGCCATTAAAATACTTTTTGATTAGATTTCTAGCGAGAATCCACGTCCAGTGGATGTGTAGGATCTATAGTTTGATAGATATTACGAAGATGATCTGAGGTCTCGTCAGGATAACGTGTATGCAGCTTCCATGTAAAGTTAGCGTGGGTGAAAACAGTTTTTCCTGTCTCGAAGTTTTCATAATAAAACCGGATATATTCCCTTCACTGTCAAATGATTACACATTACTAATCCACTAAAAAACTTCAATTTATCCTTGTTAATTACACAATATTGATTGGTTTAAATTGTGTACAATGCTGTTGTGTTTTTAACCTTCGATTCAGAGAAACAAATAGTTTTTTCGGAGTTTAGACACTACAGTTTCCGAAGACACTACACTACCCAGAATCCCCAGCTATCGTTTGGGACTACAACATCCGCCTTGCTTTACAAACCCCGTGATTAGTCATCAAGCCCTGTGATTGGATGTTGGAGTGGCAGTGCAACAAGAAGGGCCGCCCCTGGCCAACTTGGGGCCCCAAGCGACATTGTGAGATGAGGCCCCTTCCCCCCCCCAACCGACAGGGGGGGGAAACAAAGTAGGCTACTTTGCAAATGTAATTCCTGTTTATTATTATTATCAACACAGTTACTTGTTTATACAGTGAGGTAAATGGTAAATGTGCATGTATGTCGTTCAGTATGCGTTTACAGGTGAATACGTCTGCATTTCCTGCCAAATACTAGCCTCAAAAAGATTAAAACATAATTAATGCAAATAAACTACTTCTACTAATAATAATCATAATCAATTCAATAATATAAATACTATATTGTTTTATTATAATATAGTTGTAATATAGTCAAGACAAAACATGCTTATTACATGATCAAAAACTGATATTTCTTAAATCTGTATTCAAATGTAGTTCCCTCTGTCAGCAATGTATCAACAACTACACACACTTCTATCAGTATTTCTCTGTGTTGTGGTTGACATGATGATGACTGTTAAGAGTTAAGGGGAGAGACTCAGCATCACCATGAAATGTGCAAATTGACGTAAAAATTAATAAAAGGGGAAACAATGCTCCATGTTTTTTAGGCTGTAAACTGTTATGTAAGCCAACTAGACAGACAGTGTATCAGTCTTCCTCCTGTACATTAGCAGATAAAAGGCATAACATACTTGAATGAATGGTAAATAAAGAATGCTGGAAATAACTGCATCTCCATTAGCCTATATGCTATGCAGAGACTGCCTTCTTCATGTTGTGAATTGCAGCTGATGTTTTAATATGGCAATTTGACTTATACAGCATATTACTAGACC